CAGGTCCCGGATGTGGTTTCGTATAAATTTTTACGCGTGGTAAATGCTCGACTGAAACGCTCGATACGAAGCTCGAGCGAACACTCTTCGAGCGTCTAGTTTCTGATAACCATGCTTTAGCGTAATTTTTTTTCAGTTTACTCTTATATACAACGCAATTTTCAAAACTTGGTAGAAACTCTGTAGCTTCTTGGCTCCATAATTAATGTAGGAACGGGAGTTGTTAATGTTTATGGAAATTACCACAATTCGATGGCAAACTAAGATATTTTACAAGCCGTCAGGTGATGATAATTTCCGAAAAGCCGCTCAAAATTCGAAAAATGCACCGAATACTCCCCAAAAAAATCGAGCAATATCATGGACGGACATGACATATTCATTTCTAAATGTTTGATGCGTGAGTTTTTCAAGAACAATTGTCGATATTTGTTTGCATATATTTCCGAGGCTTTCAATGACCACCTAAGGTCCCTTATTGGTAGTCTTGCGAAGCATTCAAAAATGAAGACCAAGACTGTACTTTGGCATATTTGTGATACGAGTGAGCACTTGATGTGTTATTCTATTTATGCTGTGGGTACTAGTCACATTAAATATTATAAAAAGGTCGAAAAATTCAGTGCTGGCGGTCGGTGTCTTGTCGGTTTTTTAACTTTACTTTTTACTTAACCCCGCACGAAAGAGGATGGATAACCATTACTGAGAAACAAGAACAGGTGACAACACCTTTATCCCGGAAAACGCTAATGATAAAAGTAAGATAATTTCAGTTCTGATTATTTCCCCAAATACTCAAAGTACAAGTGTGAACTGGCAAGATCAAAGTGAACCGCTCTAAAGTGTTATGGACTTTCATTGGCATTAGATAAGAATGAACCGATGGCCAAATACAATTTGTGGCAAAAAGTACCATTTGCGCTTGTCTCAAAGTTGCCGTTCTACCTTGTCGCCTCAATTATGACGGATGAAACCAACTGCAGAAAAATGGCTAAAGCTCACCCTAAAAAACTCTCAAAATTCTGGCCTTCTTGGAAACTCTACCATTGTTTCAATACAGTGCGAAACAGACGGACGAGGACAAATCTGAATTATATCATTGCTAACATGGCGGCATCAGACTTGCTCATGTACGCATGTGAACCTTTACCGTTCCAAACAAACTATGGCAGATCGTACTTGATCCCCGTGCCTGACTGATAGAATGGACTGTAGGGGCCATTTTGTGCGTGCTCTTTCATTTCTTCCAAGATCTTTGAATAGCTGTGTCGATTCAAAGCCTGGGTATCGTTTCAATAAAAAGGTACAGACCCATAGTGCATCCAATCCTCCCCGCAATCATCACGCCAAAACGATATAAATTGATCATTTCCTCAACATGGTTCGCATCTGTGTCGCTACGTGGAATAGATTTCGACACCACTCGTCTTAACTCTCATAAAAACGCATTGACTTGTGATCTCAGTTAAGCCTGAGAGCTAACATTGACAATATCAAGACACAAGTGGAGTATAACACCGTGCTGTGAGTATCACCGGTTCTTGTACCTTTGTATGTCATAACTTTCAGTTATTCAAAGACTTTCAGTTAGAGTCTGAAAAATAAAGAAGCTGTTATGAACTACTCTTCACAACAATTTCACCGGCAACGAGCTGAAAATACGAAATTTTTCAAGAACATTTGTACCATTGTGGTTTCATTTTGCATGTTGCGTTCATCCAACTTATGTGTATGGGATTTTATTTTCTTTTGTATTGAAATGGAAAATGCCATGTAATATGGACCAATATGGTGTCTTTTCTCATTTGGCCTTGAATTCAAACGCTACAATTTCCTCAGTGATGTCCGGTGTGTATAAACAGCTACCGCCGAGGGCTTTCGGAAGGTACATAAAAGCTAACTTTCTACTTAGATGAAAATAGGATAATTTTACTTTCCATATTTTCTAAATAATAAAAACAAGAGAATATAAACTGTACTTTATATTATCTGAATAATTGAAACTTAAATGTGGAAATTCATAAACAAAGGAAAAAAGGGTTTTCACAAATTTTCTAGCTTAACATTTTGATGATCTGAAATGACATATTTAAAACGCTTTACTCAAAGCTTTCGTGATAAAATTTAATAAAATTCGACTCCATAACAAATGTGTCATAGCTGGAAGAAACTTAATACGCGTCGAGACAATATTTGCACTTCATTCGAAAGATCCTCTGAATATTGTCAGACACACTAGTCAGCTGAAGATCAATTGAGCGAGCTATAAATTACATATTATCGTAAAGGAGCTGGAAACATTTCTGAAATCATTAAAAATGAAAGAAGTCGCATTTTCCAAATTATAGGTGCACAGGAAACTACGGAAGATTTCCTTTTTAACCGCCCACAAGCTAATAAGATATTAAATATCAAGGCCGAGGCGCATTAATGCTTATTTTGTTTGGCGAAGTTATAAATCTGTCACCAAGTGACATAAAAAAGAGGCGACCCTAGTTTAAAAACTAATGAGAATTTTTGCTGATCTTTTAAATTGACCAAATCTTTAACAAAGGAGCCTAGCTTCTGCCACGATGGCTTCCAACTTTTGATCAAACACATACATTTGTTTTCATACCCATTTAACTGTCATATTGTGTAAGAAATTTCTGGATATAATTACAGCGGAAAAGTAGAAAGTAGATGCTACCCTAAAAAAAAGGCTGCTTACGGTAGTGCGCCAAGTATGTCAAAAAGAGCACTTCGTTATTCACTGAGACTAGAAGACAAAATTTCACAATAACCCGGACGCCGCTGAAAGAAGATCCATTCTTGACTTGTTTTCTCCGAGTCAGAGCTAAATTGGTTTGTGATTGACATTTATGTCCACCTGTAAAGTTGTGGTTAAAACATAGTAGATCGATGCGTCTGCTGCTAAAATTTTGAAATTACTAAAAATTCTTTCAAGATGGACCTGAATCTTAAGTGGGAGGAAATGAAAAATCACGGTTCCGTTGCGATATTATGTAAAAAACGTTAGAGTATAGCTTTCCAAAAATTCTTCAGTTGAATCAATTAAAGAACGTTATCGTTAAGCCTTTTCAATTATTTATTATTTCACTGTCCCTTCTTAAGACTTCCCGGTTTCGGTTTCCTATTTTGCTGAAGCTGAGAATCATCTTTCATAGGGCATCCCGTATTTACATATAAGGTTACGTGTTAAAGCAAATGCTTCCGTTGTGTAGGAAATTTACAAAAAGTTCCTCTTTAAAAGAAAACAGTTTCCTTCCTCCCAATTTGAGATTTCAGAGTTTCTGCACAAACCCCACCAATTGTGCTTTAGAAGGTAAGCAGAATTCTTGATTGACTTATCTTTTTAGGCTGCCTTTGGCGAGACATTTTTATGGTTAGCAAAAGGACCGATTGAGAGCGCCTGAAGTAAAGCGAAGTTGAAGTTAGGTCTAAAAAGCCTTTTTTAGTAGTTCGTTGTTATACTGATGGATATCTGGGGCTGTATGACTGCTCTGCCGGCTTGCAGAGCAAGAAAAAATTCATTTCTCAACTCTCATTGGGGCTGCGAATTGAGCTTGCGAGTTTCAAGGCTGTACGTGATACGAATGTGCAAAAGGTCTGTGACGGTCTATTTTGAATTCCTACCCCATGAAATTAAATATCCTTTCAAATTCTGATTTCACAACATTATAAGGCTGTAATGCAATTGAGATCCTTTCGACAAAGAGCTCAAGTTCACATCGTTTCGCGTCACTCTCTTTTCTTCCACGAGACTCCTTTAAGAATATCGACGATAGTAACATCCACTGCAGAGTTTACAAACGCTGTGAAGGATTGGGAAAAAAATGAGAAGGAAAAAGACAAAAATGGAGAACTTAGAATGGAAGAATGTAAAACCGATTGTAAATAACAAATGCTAATCGTTTTTTGACAGTTTCAGCGTAGTTATGGAAATGTTTTGGACATCTCGCTCCTTCATATTTCTTTACCTTTGTTATTTGATGGACTTTTCTACCGCTGAAGATAGATGCAAGAAAGAAGTTAACATACCTGGTATGGCTCTCAAGGGATTCGTCTTTAAAAGAATTTCAGCAACAGCCCCTCATAGGTGCGATATCGCCTGCGAGAGAGAAGTTGTATGTCAAAGCTATAATTATGTATTTGCGGAAAAGGTCTGTGAACTAAACAACCGAACAAAGGAAGCAAGCCCCGACAATTTCCGGTCAGACGAAGTATGGTTTTATATGGGACGCATGAACGGTCGAGGTACGTTTGCAGTTTAACCCTTTCACTCCCAAGATCTAATTTATAATTCTCCTTACTGTCTGTCATATAGTTCTTGTCATGTTAGTTTGGGGAACGTGGTATTGGATCAACTAAAAATCCCCTAGTTAATATTTTTATTCTCATCCCTTGTCTGCTTGATATTGTATTGATATTGTAAGGAGAAATTCTGTTTTGGTCACTCGTAGGAGTCAAAGGGTGATACAGTTTATCGTTATTTGTCATATAAATAATGTTATAAAATAATTCAAATAGTACGCGCGATCTGATTGGCCATAAAACCATTTTACATGAGCGTATGTAAACACGGTTTTCGTTCCTCTTTCATTAGTTATTTTATAAAAGAAATGTAAAATGGTTTCCGTGTTTACATAGCCTGATGTAAACACTTGGGGGGTTGGAAGAACACTCGATAAGCTGGAAACCACTCCGCTTAGCGTCGTGGTTTCCTACGCTTATCTCGTGTTCTCCCAACGTCCCGCGTGTATACATCAGGCTATGTAAACTTCAAAGAAAACCAGAATTTTTCCTGTTTCAAAAATATGACAACTTCACCGTAGTGAATGTACCATTTTCTTTTTATCGCAGCCCCCTTAGGTTCATTACCTGAATTAGCAGCGTTATCGTGCCATGAGATAAAGTTAAGTGAGGGTAAAGACACAATCAGTAAAAAGTACTGGTTGGATCCTACTGGCATTGGGAAACCAGTGTTGGTTTACTGTGATATGAAAATGGAAGGTAAGTGATATCTCCTTTAATAAAATCTGAACTAAAGCGCTCTTCGATTGAGTATCTTAAAACATAAAAACGGGCCAATCAGAAGGAAGGAAAATGCCTTTAAGAGCCAATGGGAACTCAGTGCAAACAACTAAACTTCTTAAAGCGCGGGAAGACGCGGGAAAATGCCGGCAACCCAGTCGTGATCAAAGCGGGTAAGTTTCCATAGAAACTGTAGTTCTGCGTCTCTGGGAGAGTGTAACAGGGTAATTTATTATTATCAACTGATTTGATAAAGTAAATTGGTCACCGTAAAGATTATCAAAGCTGACGTTTCATGCGTTAGCCATTTCGTCAGAAGACCAAGTCGTGATTGGTTTTATTTTTCATCTGATTGGTTGAGAAAGGGACGTGCGTTTTCTGTACTAATCACAGAGCGAGGTAAAGCAAAACCGAAGCAATCACACTTGCCTATTTCTTAATTTTTTTTATGAAGCCGCTGGCTTTCTAAGTTTACTTTCAACTACTTTTCACTCAGATATCGATGAATGCAAAAGTGACAAACCGGTCTGTGACGTGAATGCAAATTGCATCAACACCTATGGCTCATATAATTGCTCCTGCAAAGAAGGATATACTTGGGATGGACGATCATGTTTAGGTAAAAACGAAGTGATTTTTAATTGCGCTTACTTTTTCGCTTCATTTAATAAATAGATTATGCGATGCCGTGTGCCTGCCAAATAATATATTACAGCTTACGTGAAAATGGGGTAAAAGCAAAAGAGCGGTACACGAAAAGCGGCCGGGTGAGTTACCGATGTTCTTACCACATGTTGACGTCTTTTGTGATCTATCACTGGACAGAAACATAGTAACAGGAAATATATTTGTTTGATACGATGAAAAATAAAATTTTGTTAATGGTGACGTCATCTAAGCGTCTTCCTTCCGATAGACCATATATAAGAATCAATCAAAATGCGTGTATAATTCGGCTCATCACATAATAATTTAGTTATCATACGATACTTCTGCTTAAGTGGTAGACGTGTTGGTGATGTGAATGGAAACTGCACCATCACAGGTTTTAAAACAAACATAAAATTTTCTATTTTTTTTTTTTTAAAAAAAGCTCTTCGTCATCCCTCCGTATCGTTTATGCGTCGGGTTTAAGTAGGCGACCATTTTTTGTTATCCACCACGCAGTGAAACCTCAAGTACGATGGTTGTTCTCAACCTGATAAACATATCTTCCCACAGAAACTCAGCATAGGCAAAAGTTAACGCGAGTTACAAAACTGCCGAAAAGATAAGATCATTGGAGAAAATGCGTATTGTTCTTGCGACATTTAATTACAGCAGAAACTAACTTATAGAGCAGTGATATTAGCAACAAAACGTGTACTCGTTGATTTTTATTGCACGATATTACGCGCGTTTTCTTCCGCATGGAATACTACCCTAGCTCATTGACTTATTTAGGAAGGAGTGACGGGGGTAGAGGAACAAATGCCTCTTAAATCGTATATGCTCGAGCTTTATGCTCGAGCTTTATGCTCGATTTCTCTGAAACTCCTGCAATCAACAAACACGTTACGTCATTGCAAACCCATGATGGTTTAAAATTTGAAAGTTTCAAATCATTAATCGTAAGGAATTCCGAACCGAAATTCACACGTCACATGACAATAAACCTTATTTACGACCACAATTGCCATTTCATCTTCTAGCCGATGCATGTTTCCACTACAAAAATCTGAGTGACGCTACAAGAAAGAACACATATAACACAAGCCTTGACGTCTATGATGACGACAAACTCCCTATGGGCTGGTACCGTTTTATGGGAGCCGCAGGAACAAAAATGCCAACAACGTGTGTTCCAGAATTCAGATGTGGCACATATTGGTCGGGCTGGCTTAAAGGTAACCATTCTACAGTGGAAGATGGTGAAGTAACTAGGACGGTATGCTTTACAAGAGGTTCCTGCTGCAGGTATACAGTGAAAATTTCTGTGAAAAGCTGTGGATCCTATCATATATACAAACTCTTTGCGCCACCATATAGTAATATGCGCTATTGTGGTTCAGACTGAATGTCGACTAACTTCGCGTTGTGAGAGAATTTTTAGATCAAGCTTTAGTTCCATTAACATGTACGTCTGTGAATAGATTTAGTCCTCTTTTTTTCTCGTAGTAATTATTATCGTCATACTCAGCAACATTATAAAATAAAATAACGCTTTCAAAGGAGAGGTATTATCGTTTGTCTCACAATGTGGTCACTTCGGATGTGGATCGAGACGTGCCGAATGCATACTGCTAGTCTTCTTAAGACGATGAGGGCGGGGTCTGTTGTTCGAGGCTGTGATTGGATGGAATTTCACGACTATGATTGGCGCATCTTCGGAAGGTTCCCTCAGCGGTCCGCTGCCACACGGCTCCTCTGTTGTTGTGTCTGTTGATCTTCAGCATTCAGGCTTCTTAGATTTCTGCCTCACTGTCCCTGTTGATGTTGTTAAGGTGAAGTCTTATGCGAATTGTCTCTTTCACCTTGCGCGTATAGAAATGGGGATCTCGATCAATAAACTTTATTTCGTTCAAGAGCGGGCGGTGACTAGTGTTGTGGGCGAGCTCTGAAATGGCGGAGTTCTGCGTCCTGGTGAGTCGGATATTCCTGTCGTGCTCCCTGATCCTCTCTTGCATAGATCTTCCATTCTTATCGATGTAGGCTTTGCCGAATCCACGGGGAATCCTGTGGACTACGTCAACCTGTTTTGCTTGGTCATCAGCATCGTTCGGTCGTACTAGGTATGACCGTAGCGTCGTCTCACTTCCAATACATTTTTGATTATGGAATGATACTACAGTTGTTTTACTTTTTTTTTGTATATTTTGTTTTTTGCAAACTGATCCAATAAAGTGGAAATAAGGTTTAAAATCACAATAAAGGGAAATGCCATCCCATAAAAGGCGTATTAACTTATTTGCGTTTCTTAAAATTTCATTTCTCTGTTAGAGGAATCTCCTTCCTTCTCGTATGGACGTAATTAAAATCCAACGCTGATGGTTTAAGTTTAATTCATCAGTGAACTAAATTAACTGTGTGAGCAGACCATGTTGATAACCACGCGAAGTTTGGAGATCACGCAAGATGCTGAAGAATTACTGCTCGAGGCGTAGCCACAGGCAAATCTGGCGTAATCAGTGCTCTTCAAATTGCTCAAGTGCTTCATATCTCCATAAACGCACAGCTGGCATATGAAGCAATTTTGTCATGACGTTTGCACGCAATAGATTTGATGTTGTTCAGAGAGAAATTCCTTCTGCTCTGCTTCCATTCATATACACGCGTCAGCAGCGTTCTCAAGGGAATTGTGAAGCACGCTCATGCTTTTAAATCTGATTCCATGAATTTGCTACCTATGTTACGATCAATTTTATAATAATCAACACTCATTGCCATACAATAAATTTCATTCCCCTCGGTTTGGGGTGTTTGTGTCAAACTATTTATTTTTTAGGGATGTAATTTCTCTGTTTAGTACCTAATTACTAAACCCTGTCTTTTTTTGTAATTTTAAAGGCTAAAATCAGCGAAAAGACGTTGGGAAGCTCTCGATGCTTTCACTATAATTTGTGTCTTCATAATTTGATTCAATCTATCGCTATATGGCGGCTCGAGCGGGGTGAACCATTATGCCGAAAAAAAACTTTCTTTATAAAAATCTTCCCTCAATATCAAGCTCTTTGTTTCACCTCCAGAGAGTACTAATGTACCTGAAAAAACGACGTATTCTGATTCAGAGAGTAATAGTGTACATTTGATTCAATTTGTCGCCATATGGCGGCTCATCAGGGTGAACCATTATACTAGAAGAAAACCTTTATAAAAATCTTCCCTCAATATCAAGCTCTTTGTTTCACCTCCAGAGAGTACTAATGTACCTGAAAAAACGACGTATTCTGATTGGCTGAAAACAAGGGCATTCTCAAGTAACACGAGTGCAAAGCTGTAACCCACTGAAGCAAATGACAGATAGCGCGCACGCATTCAATAATTTCGTCTGTCTTTTCTTTCTGCGATGTTGTTTTCATGTAAATTATGACAAAGTAATTGCATAATTTCTCTCGCAATTTGGTGTAATAAGCACTCGCAAATTTTTCAAAGACTAAAAATTGCACACGCCCTATGGGTTTGTGCAGTTTTCCTATCTTTGAAAAATTTATTCGTGCTCATTAACATCAAATTACACTGAGAATCATGTTATTGCCTACACAGAACAAACCGAAACTAGGAAAAAAAAACGGCTTTTAGCATCGCAAAGTGTTGCAAAACTGCGGATTACGGTGGTTTGGTTGAGCCTTCAAGGCTCCAATTTGTCTGATGTGACATGACTGGAGGAAGTGGGCTAAAAAAGGCCCTCCCGCATATAGTCTTACTTGGCTGAATTCATTATGAACCCTTTCACAAATCGTTAACAGGAGTTTATTTTAATTATTTTTGCTGAACTTTACAAAATTGACGGAGGAAAATCGATGAGAGGAGATGGATAGCAGTTATTCACCGAAGTTGGGTTATATATCCACAGCCATCATCGACACTGAGGTAAATAACTAATTTTGTACAACATACAAGAGACGAAAAAAAAAACTCATTACGGTCCATACATCATAAAATAGTAGGAAATTAAACTTTTGACGCGCGGTTTTGTCTCTATGGCTGCTCGGAGGTGACAAGTACTTGGTAATCACTTCCGACCTAGCCCAAAATTACACGCTAAAAGGATTGTTCAAGTGTGTAGTATCTACTAGAGGAAGATATTGATATAAATATATAATACTTAATCTATTGAGCGTAAGCCCTATTCCCGTTTTACGGTAACATTAGTCTCTTCTTAGTATGACTGAAAAAGCTCGGGTCTTCAGAAGTTTAATTGATGGGGAGAGACTCATTTAAAGACACTTGCATGCACTGCCTTCGTTGATGATTTTTCTTAAGGAAAGTTCTGGCGCCAGTTGTTCGAATAGCTCTCAAAATGGTTTGTCTTTCGAGGAATAGAGTCACGAATGGCGATTCGGAGCGCATTTTGATTCAATATCCCAAAACTAAAGCTAAACTAATATCGGCCGCTAAGAGGGATGAAAGAGAGTGCCCCAGGTGACCCAGAGCCCTGAAACTCAAAGTAGGCTGACAAAAGCTTTGAGCTTTGTTGTTGACGGGCTGAGAAATTGCAGCAGATGTTCTTCACCAATTTTACAGCGAAAGTGAAGAAAAACCACTAGATAAGTGGATCACTTAGACACGCTTTTTAAAGCTGCTTTATCTTATAGATAATATTATTAAAACTTGTCTCGAGTGGACCTTTTCCTTTGTGATAACTGCCACGAAAACACTGAATAACCACTTCTTTAGGTGTTAAATGTGGCTAGCCGCTTAAGAGAACCGACTCTGACTCAGTTATTTTGAGATCGAACCTTATTTGTGTTTTGGTACATTTTCGTGTATATTCGGCTATTCGTTATTCTGCATCATATCAGCTCAATTTCCTCTATAATAGACAGTTCATAAATCCATTTTACTTTATTTTCCTCATGTATCTTTGTCTTTGTGCTTTCAATTTGGTCAGTTTTACTCTACTTAAAATGTCAGCCTCTCATAAAGATGTCCACACAAAGCTGTCCACGTAAAGCTGTCCAAAGACTCCTTCAGAAGGAGAACCAAAATGGTATTTTGTACTTTTGAAAGCTCTCCGTGTTACTATCAAATTCCATGTTGTTCCTGAGGCACACAAACGTTCAAACTGATGAAAAGCTTGTAATCCCCGAATCTCTTACACTTATTCGCTCGTTTCCGCGGTGGATTGAAGCTTTTTTTAATTCTAAATCATCCAGGTTTGAAATGTTTCCGACGCCGTCTTTTCCCCAAAAATGTTTTGATACTGTCTTTAACATGTCCTTTAAACCTTGGCGATATCTGTCAAAACGCACCAATGAAATGATGGGGGATATGGCAGAGTTTGAAATTAAAGCGAACCTTGAGAACACACCAAACTGAATCATATTACAAGGAGGTTTCCATTTCCACACGAAGTAAAACAAAATAGCAAAAATGTCAATTGGGAGGACACAACATGCAAATGCGATCATAATAGCACATACGTTCTTAAAAACTCTGCTGTTTTCGGCGCGATGCTGGGAAACCTCTGAATTTCTCAGAACCCAAAGAATTCGTGAGTAAGTAAAAATTGTGAAGCAAAAAGGTAGGAACACATTTAAAACCAAAACCACTGCCACAAATCGCTCCATCGTTTGACGATTGTCAAATTGTGGGTCCCAGCGGAAGTCGCAGGTTGTTGTATTGTTAATAGACTCGAGGCGAGCGGCGTAGAAATATATTCCGTGTAGGGATACAGATGCAAGCCATATAAGTGGAATGATGAATTTACATCTCTTTGGTGTAATGACTGCGGGGCGAAACGGATATACTATCGCCCTATATCTTTCCATAGAAATAACAACTAAGCTTTGAATTGAAACAGCTGTTGAGATATCTTGGCAGAAAAACACAAGCTTGCATAAAATTGAGCCCATGATCCCATCGATTAGCCAAGTTCGTTCACCAAATATGACTTGGCACAGTTGATTTGGAACAGCGAAGATTGAGACCAGCAAGTCTGATGCTGCCATGTTTGCAATGAGGTAGTTTATTGAAGTCAATGTGCGGGAGTTTCGTGCAGTTATGGCGATAATGGCGGTATTTCCAAGTAGCGAAGTAATAAGTATCAAACTGTAACACAGAATCTTGACCAGTTTTATCGGAAAAGGTTGGTCTTCCAGATTCCCACAAACAGTTGTGTTCGCCATAGTGGTTTGAGTAGAATACCTGCCGAGAAAAGAGAAATTCATAACTGGGTTAAAATCATTCGTTACATGAAGATGACAGATCAACTTCAAAATCATGTATTTGCTCACGTACTGTAAAAGTTAACATGCACTTTATGCGTATGTGAGTTCCGCCAGCATTATTCCATTTGCGCGAAACGTCAAAGAATATTTTAATTTTCTGTGAAACGTGATGTTTAAGTTTAATTATTTTTCCGTGATCCATGATCCTTGTCGAGGAAACATGTAGCCGTGGGCGTGAAGGAGGATTTAAACTCTATTTGATTGGTGAGTCGTCTTGTTTTGCGGAGATTGAAAAAATTTATGGTTATTTTGGCGTTTCAATTAGTTTATAAATCAGATGTTTTCAGCGCTCGAATTCGAAGTACTTTTTAATGGTTTTGAAAAGGTAAAATTGAATTCAAATGCAAAATTTGTTGATAATATCCTTGAGATTTTCCAGCAATGGTGGAAAATGAGAAGATTGAGCGATTTGCATTGTGAAATAATAAGATGCTATATTATTTTCATCATATTAATAATATCTCAAATAGTTTATTTAAAATCAATCTTATAACGGACTATAGGTTTTCTCTCCATTTAAGGATTTAATCCTGACACTTCGTGATCGATATTAGCGATGGCTTATCATGAAACTCATAACTCCTCTTGTCTTGACTAAATGTAGAAACCAGAGTTAGAGTAATTCTAAAAGCTTAATAGAGTTTTATGGATCTCTCTCCGTATTTATAATCGTGGTCAAAATTCCTTGTCACACCTTCAAAAAACCCGAGCAAAACTACTATAATTCATTCTTTATACCCGCGTGCAAATAAAAGCTTGGTAAGCGGTTTCCCCTCCTGACTATGTTAACGGTTTACTGGTAATGTCAAAAAGATTCAAATCAACTGAAAGGGGATGTGTGATTTAAGCAATCATTTTGCAAAAGTATCCCCAGACTTTGGTAGAAGATTAACCATAGCATCATCGAGCTTGATCAAAGATATTGGTAATTTTTCAGAACAGAGCCAAAACAGGTCCTCAGGCGAGACAGCTTTAAGCTGAAGTGGGTCGGGCCAGCCTGTTTAACTATTGTAACTATTGTCCATAGATAAACGAATAACGCTATCGAAGATATAACTGCCGGGAATTATGACTTATTTCCTTTTCCGCGCGATTGCGGTAATAACTTTTGAGCCGACGAGAAATTCTTACTACGTTTTTCGGGGGATAACACGAGACAACTGCTTTGGTTTTTAAGTGAACCAATATTTACATTAAAGCGAAGTGAAGTTCTTAACGAACTGATGATTTCGTCAAGTGTCTGAACTGAAGAAATATTTGTAAGTATGTTGCTCTTTCCTTAGTTTGGGGATAATTAGTTGACTCAGTACTAAATTCTCTGAACCAACATTATAAGAATTGTATGGTTGACAGTAAGGAGAATTACAAATTTAATATGTAGCTTTCTGATCCTTCTCCGGCACAAACCTCTCATTTTTTTAACTCGTGAATTGCGCGCATACTCAAGAGCGAGTTGTAGATATGATGTGGAGAATGGCACTCGCTCGCTCGCTCGATTGGTCGATTCCTGTAAAACTTTTTTCGATTTTAGGCTTTTGAGTGCATTTGATAGTTTTTGGCGAGTAATAAACAAACGAAATGGCGACTTTTGCTGCTAAGAATAGTGGTGGGGTGAAAAAGAAGCCAATGATAGTCTTAAAAGAGTTTATTTTTTTTCGTTTTAGTTTCAACAAGCGGCGCCAACGACTGGCAGGCGTTCAAGGATTCACTGAAATAAGAGAACAACCGTCGTTTTTCATAAGATTGTAATTTACAATCCTTGAACTTGAAAACAATCCAATCCGAAGATTCATTAAAAATTTCACTTACTCCGAAGCGCTCGGAGTTAACAGGTGTTCAAAAGCTTTTACTGTTATGGCGTGAGATTGGGGACAAAAGCGATCATTGCATTTCGTATCGTGTGTTTTTTCAGTGTGAAGCAACAAAAGGTGCCGGCGACTAACGAAATTACAGGTTAACACGAAAGTCAAATAACACTTAAACAAATAATTTTGGCTGCCGATTTTCAGTGAATTTTCAAAGAACAATTTTCTTTTAAGGTTCAAGACAATTTTAAGTTTCAAAATAAATATTACGTACTAAAATGCGAAAGTTATACACTACAAAATTAATAAATAGGCCTGAAATGAAATTCTATCTTGGTCTTGATTACACGTTGCCTTGACCAAAATCTACCCAGGCGGAAATCCAAAATGACGGTTGCAATCTGGGCTTCGTTATATCGCTCAAAACTCGTTCCCGTTTGTCTCATTTGATAAAGAGGGAATCATTAATGTTTTCATTAAGACAGTGTTGCCTTGATTTTCCAATATTTACAGTGATAGACAGTAAATTTCACTTTTCATCTACATTTACTTCCAACCTTTTCTTTTGAACCAGAAACAAAAGTGATATATGTTTAAAACACATGACATCATCCACCCTTGTCAAATGATCATTTCAATTGTAATGCCTTCTTATCCCAACGTTACTTTGTTTCTTTGCTACATTAGCGAACACTGAACTACTGCTCGTACTCTAAATATGACAAATCAACCACAAAATTCCCTAAAAGCAGATAACATGAAACATAATCCAAAAATCATGTAAGTCATCTGTCAATTCACGAGTTTACTCACAGAGTACTTTTATTGTTTACTGATGCTAAACAGTTTCCTTTTTGTTAATATGGAGAGAAATAAATGATATTCGCCTTTAGTAACAAAACTTTGTCATGAAAAGACATGGATTGGTTGCATAATGGCATTTTTTACTGCCATGTTTCCAAAAGTTAAGCAAATTTTCAATTTAACCCTGAGCGAAGCATAGCCTTATGCCCCATTCACACCAAAGCTTAAACATGTTTAAAAGTTGTTTTGTTAAACACAGTTTAATTTTTTTTTCTTCATAGAAACTATTTAACCGAATATTTTTGACTTGAATGTAGCACATTGGAAATGCAAGTTAGCAAGTACTTGAATCCAATGGAAAATCAAGTTTTTCAGTTCTCTGTTTATAATTTTCATTCAATGAAAACCAGTTTAACAAAACATGTTTTGCTGGTGTGAATGGGGTATTAGTTTATAGGTCGGGCGTTATCAACTAAATCAAATGGCGACCTCATTGAAGATTGTTAGTTTGTGTGTGCCAATACGAATAGATTTTAATACAAACCTTTTTTTGCTTAGCATCGGTTGCTGCACAACTGAATTAAAAGTGGACCAGTTAAATGGATCAGATACGTAAAGTAGAGGTTTGGAATAACTGTATCGCTCATATCGACTGAATTTGAAGCTAATTGGAGTTGCTCTATTGCTAATAGCCAGGTTGAATTCAATTTAATTAAAAAGAGTCATTATTTAATCGAGAATGCAACTAATCTGACCGTGAGTTTCTTTTTGAAAACAATAGATGAAAATGCGCATATAAATGTTCATAGGGAGACTATATTTACTTCTGATGAAATAAAAAAAAATAGAAATTTTTGTTTTTTAATTTTTTATGAAGGCTCGACTCCACAAAAAACGCGGTTTTCAGTATATGCTTTTCAACAAAGCATTCGTAAGATGCTCGTCTAAATTTTAAGTAGTCTAAAGTTAATAGTAGACAGACAGCATCAAACAGAGAAACCAAGCTGATCTGAAAATTAGCTGCTGTAAGACGTGAACTGCAATTCCCGCCGAACCTCTTTGTGATAAGAACCCGCAACTGAGTAATAATTACATATAGTACATGTACAAAACTTTGAGTCCCTAGCTGTAAATATAGCAAATATAACATGTCTTGTACCTACAAAATCTGTCGATAAAACTGTTTAAGGCCAGCCTGTTTAACTATTGTCTATAGATATACGAATAACGCTATCGAAAATATATCTGCCGGGAATTATTAATTATTTCCTTTTCCGCGCGATTGCGGTAATAACTTTCGAGCGAACGAGAAACTCTTCCGACGTTTTTCGGGGAATAACACGAGACGGCTGCTTTGGTTTTTAAGTAAATCAATATTTACATTGAAGCGAGATAAGGTTTTAAACGAACTGATGATTTCGTTAAGTGTCTGAACGAAGGGAATACTTGTAAGTATACTGCTCTTTCCTTGATTTGGGGATAATTAGCTGATCCAATACTAAACTCGCTGAACTAGCATCATAAGAATTGTATGGTTGACTCTAAGGAGATTTACAATTTTGATATGTAGCTTTCTGATCCTTCTCAGGCACAAACCTCTCACTTTTTGTTTACTAATGCTAAACAGTTTCCTTTTTGTTTATATGGAGAAAAATAAATGATATTCGCCTTTTAGTAACAAAACTATGTTATGAAAAGACATGGATTGGTTGCATTAATAGCATTTTTTACTACCATGTTTCCCACAGTTAAGCAAAATTTTAACACCGAGCAAAGCGTAGCCTTGGTTTATAAGTCGGGCGTTATCAGCTAAATCAAATGGCGACCCCATCAAAGATTGTTAGTTTTTGTGTGCCAATACGAATAGATTTTAATAAAGAATTTTTTTGCTTAGCATCGGTTGCTGCACATTTAATTAAAAGTGGACCAGTTAAATGGATCAGACACGTAAAGCAGAGGTTTGGAATAGCTGTATCACTCTTTTCGACTAAATTTGAAGCTAACCTGAGTTGCTCTATTGCTACTATAGCCAGGTTGAATTCAATCTAATTAAAAAGAGTCGTGATTTAATCGAGATGGCAACTAATCTGACCTTGAGTTTTCTCGTTGAAAACAATAGATGAAAATGCGCATATAAATGTTCGTAGGGCGACAATAATTACTTCTGGTGAAATAAAAAAATAGAAATTTTTGTTTTTTAATTTATCATGAAGTCTCAACTCCACAAAAAACGCGGTTTTCATTATATGCTTTTCAACGAAGCATTCGTAGGATGCTTGTCTAAGTTTTTAGTAGTCTAAAGTTAAGAGTAGTCAGACAGCATGAAACAAAGAAACCAAGCTGATCTGAAGATGAGCTGCTGTAAGACGTGAACCGCAATTCCCGCCGATCCTCTCTGTGATAAGAACCCGCAACGGAGTAATAATAACATGTCATGCATGTACAATACTTTGGGTTCCTAGAAGTTCCTTTCCCTGTAAATATAGTAAATATAACATGTCTTGTACCTACAAAATCTGTCGATAAAACTGTGTCAGGCCAGCCTGTTAAACTATTGTCTATAGGTGAACAACCAACGCGATCGAAAATGTAACTGCCGGGAATTATGATTAATTTCCTTTTCCGCGCGATTGTGGTAATAACTTTTGAGCGAACGAGAACCTCTTGCTATGTTTTTCGGGGGATAACACGAGACAACTGCTTTGCTTTTTACGTGAATCAATATTTACATTGAAGCGAAGTAAGGTTTTTAACGAACTGATGATTTTTTTCAAGTGTTTGAATCGAGGAAATACTTGAAGTTATGTTGCTCTTTCCTTAGTTTGGGGATAATTAGTTGATCCAGCACTAAATTCTCTGAACCAACATTATAAGAATTGTATGATTGACATGAAGGAGAATTAGAAATTTAATATGTAGCTTTCTGATCCTTCTCCGGCACAAACCCCTCACTTTTTGTTTACTGATGCTAAACAGTTTCCTTTTTGTTTATATGGAGAGGAATAAATGACATTCGCCTTTTAATAACAAAACCTTGTTATGAAAAGACATGGATTGGTTGCATTAATGGCACTTTTTACTGCCATGTTTCCAAAGTTAAGCAAAATTTTAACACTGAGCAAAGCATAGCCATGGTTGATAAGTCGGGCGTTATCAGCTAAATCAAATGGCGACCCCATCAAAGATTGTTAGTTTGTGTGTGTGCCAATACGAATAGATTTTAATACAGAATTTTTTTTGCTTAGCATCGGTTGCTGCACAACGTAATTAAAAGTGGACCAGTTAAATGGTTTAGACACGTAAAGAAGAGGTTTTATTGGATTAGCTGTATCACTCCTGTCGACTGAATTTGAAGCTAACCTGAGTTGCTCTATTGCTAATAGCCAGCTGGAATTCAATTTAATTAAAAAGAGTCATGATTTAATCGAAAAGGAAACTAATCTGACCGTAAGCTTTCTCTTTGAAAACAATAGATGAAAATGCGCATATAAATGTTATTCGGGCGACTATATTCACTTCTGCTAAAAATGTAAAAAAAAATCAAATTTGTTTTTTTATTTATCATGAAGTCTCAACTCCATAAAAAAACGCGTTTGTCAGCATATGCTTTTCAACGAAGCATTCGTAGGATGCTTGTCTAAATTTCTAGAAGTCTAAAGTTATGAGTAGACAGACAGCATGAAACAAAGAAACCAAGCTGATACGAGGATTAGCTGCTGGAAGACGTGAACTGCAATTCCCGCGGACCCTCTTTGTGATAAGAACTTGCAACTGAGTAATAAGATCCTTTCCCCGTAAATATAGCGAATATGACATGTCTTGTACCTATTAAATCTCTCGATAAAACTGACAAGTTCTCATTAAACGATGGATTTTAATTTATGTTCGCGGGCATAAATTTGTTTTGGGCCCAACAAATTCATTTCAACCCGAGCTGCTAAGCAAGGGTTAAAATGTCTCTGACAAGGACCCAAATAAACCTTTCTTACTTTTATTATCACTTTGGAGGGCATCGAGAAAAAAACTGAACTGAAATGACAACAAAACACCTTGAAAGATTATTCGAGCGGGTTAAAATAGATTTTAGCTCGCCAGGATCTCCATCTTAACCCGCAAAGTGAGCCACAATGCCCAAGAAATAGATACTATTTCTCTTTTACGTACATACCTTTTTTTGCCTTGTTTTTCTTTCCCGAGGCTATCCACTTTTTCTAAGACAGCCTCTCTGAATACTGCAGCAAATTATTTTGGTGATATTTATATTGTACGTATTCAAATTCCTGATGGCTCGAATGAACTGATTACTTTACTTTTGAGTCCACCGCAGGAAATGATAAAACGTCTTCAGCCTTGGAAGCGAAACATAACAACAAAATGATAAACCAGCCTGTACAGCGTTCTTTCCTCTTAAAAAAACCCATTAAAGTGCTCGGTATCATGATAAACCCATTAAGCGAATGTACTGTGTCGTCGTTGTTTACCGATGAAATTCATGTTTTTTCTTTTAAAAATTTTGTGTTGCTTCTGTAAATAGAAATTTAAAGTTATAAACAAACTTTTGTCACACATGCAAGTCTTAATATGTTAAATGACAGAGGTAGCTATGACAACTTAACCTCCATGAAGCACTTCTGCCGAATTTTTAACCAAAAGCGCGATAAAATTATTCTCAGAAGAAATGAAACTGTCAATCTGGAGTCCTGTCATGGCGCGATAAAATTATTCTCAGAAGAAATGAAACTGTCAATCTGGAGTCCTGTTAGATATCCAGCGGAAATTTTCTTTGAAAAGCGCTAAAGCTTCTATTTTCCAACCGCTGATTCAGTATCAGCTGTCTGTTGACAACCCTCAATGGGTTAAATTAGGACATATTTAGTTTTCATGTTAATCAAAAATAGTTATCTCCCTCTTGCCGTCAAAATATTTTGAACTCAGTCCATTTAAGGGTTAAACGTCCTTCCCGAAAGTCTCAATGTTTAATTAATTATTTCTCATTTCGGTATAATTTGATTTACAGTTTTGTCGTAATCACAGCAAGCAAACAATACAATGCACAGCCGAAATGCAAAATTTTCTAACTGATCAAAAGAGCCGATCAAATTTAAACTTTTTGTTTGACATTGCTGGCTTTTAAAATAGAATCTGAGGGAACAAAAGAAAATCGAACTACCTCAGAAAGCCAGAGAAAGACGATTTAAACTGAGTACTTCCAAATATCAAACAACGTTTTGCTTAGGGTCTGGTTCGTCTTTTACTCCTCGGATTGAAACTAGTATGAAATAAACAAAAGAATAATCACTTTACAGCTGACTGATGGGGTTCTTTTTTTTTTAAGCAACAACATGCTGGACTCCGACAACTTAACTGTACTAAGAGTTTTACCCAATTAAAGTTTATATTCCGAATCTCAGTTTTAAGGTATAGATTGTGGCATTAGTCATGTATAGAACATTTTCTAAGCACAAAACTGTGTAACCAGTTAAGCCTTCTAGATTGGACCTCTGTAAAATAGGATTGTGTTTTTACTTTCTCAGTCAAGTCTCAGAGAAGGCCTGCAACGGTAAAACCGGGGATGATCACATAATTCGCGATCACCGGTCTAATCACTGAGCATGATCACGGTGTGATTACCAATGAAAACGTTTGATCCGTCTAGAGGATCAGTCTAAATCGAAAGGAAGAACTAAAAATATTTTGCGAATTGGAGCAGAGTTACTTACTACGACTGACTACCAACCGACTACCACTGACTACTAATTACTTAATACATAAGTTACTTGTTACTTCGTGATTTCACCTATAGGATTAACTTTTGTACCCATTTCAACGGATATAGCTTATAAACGCCAAGGAACGATTCACTCGGACAACTTTATTTGCAGACAGAGAAAGAATATAATTTCACTCACCGGAGGGTTCCCTAATTTTGCATCATCAGAATCCGCCGAACCGATAAGTTCCCTAGGCGAATACCAAATATGAAAAGTCAATACTGTGCATCCAATACAGATTCATATTCCAAACAAAGAGCCTTCCAGCTAAAAGGCGGAAATTCACCGCTAAAAAAGAGTATTACATCTAGATTATTTACCTAAGAAGTCATATTCAATGCGTGACAGTCTGATTTGTTCCTTTATCAACCTAGAAATAGTAGGGCTCAACCAAGAAATATTTGGAAAATATCTGTACACGCGTGTTAAAGCGGTACGAAGAAAGAAATGACTGCTTTAAGAATATCGTTGAAGACCACGCGCAACATTGACAACTTGGGCAGAAAGTTTCAGAAAATTGTTGTTTACAGACTAGTAATTCCATGGATAAAATTTTGAATTTTATTCATGGCAAGCAGGTTGTGGCGAGAAAGACTTAAAGTATCTTGACAGAGTATAGTAAATTTCTCTTAGCCTTTTATACAAATCTCATCCAACTTAATCGTACCTTCCTTAAGCTTCCTGTTCTGCAATTTCAGACGCAGCACACTTCAGACTCCTTAGGTAAATAAAAGAAGGCTTGATCTTGATCAAACATTGTTGTTTACTTATCTACTTGTTTGTATTCTCTCACTCTGCAGTTGAACCCTCTCTTGATATGAAATAAATTTTCCGTAGTGCTCGATGTGCTTGCATCTGCTTATTTTTATCGCACCTGCCATCTGTTAAGGGGACTTCCGCGTAAAGTGAACGTGGACGCTAAAAACACGCACATCTACCGAACCACCTATTTTAAGCTCAAATTTAGCCGAAAAAAACAATAACAATGCGAGGTGGAGACACGCTTCTTCGATAACCCGTTGCTTCGACCAAATTTTCTTGACGAAAAATTGAAGCTGAATTGAAATGATCTCTTAATTGACATAACAGAAACAACACCGGAAAGAGCAGACTTTTAACAGCAGAAGGTCGACACGTATTTCTTGTGGAATTTTCCAACTTTTGCATAACATGCAATTCTATTTTGGGCAATTCCTTGAATGATTTTGCTCACCAGGTGAAGTTCATAACGGCGATTAGAAGTAATCCCAAAAATAATCGAAAAGATCTGTTTTCCCCTGTTTAAACGTCGAACTTCACATGAGACGAACTAAACCGAAATAATTAAGTTCTTCACTAAACCGAAATAATTAAGTTCTTCACTAAACCGAAATAATTAAGTTCTTCACTAAACCGAAATAATTAAGTTCTTCAGTTGAATTCGTCCAACTGAATTTATATCGATGAATACGTTCTGTCCGTCTGCTTTAGACCGATAAAACGTGTTGGTTCGTGGCGGCAAAAATCTGTTACAAATCGGCGCCAAAGATTTGTTGCAAATGATTGGGAAAAGGATTGTCTTTCATGTCACTCTTACAAACGCCAGATGAAGTGCAACGAGATAAATTACAGTAGAACCATTTTAAAATTTTTGATGAAGAAACGTGGGCCGCTGAGCTAATGATTGCGCTCTGACTTCTTCTTCGAGAGTGGAAATATTTAATTAATTGTCATAGAAAGACTAAACGGCCAAGTTTAAGTTCTGAATTTAGTTTCCAGTAGGCTGGTAGCTAAGAACATAGTTAAAAAAAACTGACGATCAACCGTGAACTTAAAACGGATTAATTATAGGAAGTACAGGACTCTCTTGATTAAGCAATTCTCCTTACTGTCTGCCATTCAATTCTTATGATGTTGCTTTAGAGAATTTCTTGTTAGATCAGCTAGTAATCCCTTAATTTATATTTTTATTTATTCTCATGACTTGTCTGCTTGAAATTGTATTGATCTTGTGAGAAGAAATTCTGTCTTGGTCATCATATTCAGGTACACACTGAAATCACTGAAATCAGGTGTTATGCAACTTAGAAATTAAACAGCCTCGCATTAGACTCATGATTATGCCTATACCATCACAATTAACGATAATACCTTCCTCAGTTTTTGCATTCCAGTACCAAATATATATGGCTAAAACATAACATACGCAAATTCTAGTGTGATAAGAACTACGTATTTTCCTCTCCAACGCTAGTGCCTCCCACCGGTCGAATCGTTTTGATATCAAAATACATCTCCTGTAGCTAAAACAATGACTTTTGAATATTGTGTCAAAAATAGCAGAAAACGAAATAATACTCGTCGCCTTTCCGACGCTTATGGTTTCCATTTCACCCACTCCTCCCTCTGTCATCACTGTGCAGTGAACTTGGCTTTCAAATATTTTCCAAAGGCTGGAGAATTGCTGGTTATTATTATTAACGGGTTTACCGACTTGACATCAAAATCACTCCACTGTGTCGGGGACTGCAATATATTTTTAAATGTACCTTTTAATTCAACATTATAGTTTCAGTGCACCTAGCCCTATATCAAACTTAAAAAAAGTAAAACATCTCTAGAATGAAATAACATTTCATGCACGCATTTGAATAAATGATCCCAATGACGAGTTTGAAAATAATGAGTTTTTTCCTAAGGCCGGAGGGCGGTCCTTTTAATTAAATGCGATTTTCAATTAGTTTGAAAAGCCATTTCCAGCTATAGGCTGACGTAAATGAATTGATGAAAAGAAATCCTAAATTAAAAAAAGCCACCACACTGTTCCGACTTTCATGTACCACAATTTGATCCAAAAAACAAAGGGAAAATAAAACGGAAAGATGGAGTCGTCAGACTTTCCTCTCTAAACACCCACTAATCAGTGGGCGTATCAGGTGTATATGTTTAAAATCGTCTGAACTGGACTCAATTTGTATAATGGAAAATATAGTAAATTGTTAAGAAAAAAGTGTAAATATGTCAAATGATAAATTTAAAACTGCCTGCACTGACGGTAAATAAATAAATTTAAGCCGAAAAGGCATTTCCTGTCCGCTTAACTACACAACAGCCCACGCAAACAAAAAACCTTTGAGAACCGTGAGGCAAGGGCGGTGATCGACTTAATAACTTTTCACGTATTCTACACTTCGTTTATTGGGCACGCAAACCGATAGAATTGCCAGCTATTGCTGTTACAGAATAGCTGTGAGCATGTCCATGCAAACAGTAAACGGCGAGTTTTTGACCGGTCAGGACGCGATTTGTAACATCCGTAATTCTGCGCGTCGGAGTGAACTGAATTATAATTAACCATGGATTAGATTACCATCTGCGCCTTTTAAGTTGAACTTAGTCAAAAAGACAAACGATTCAAAATTTACAACTGTGTTCCTCAGCACTTCTTGATCCTTCTACATCACTTATTGTAAGATTGTCGCAGTAGACTTCGAAAGGTCGTTACATAAGGAAGTCATTCCTTCGTAGCCAGAAATCGAGGACAATTTGAGCCCGATAACTATTGTCAGCGGTACATGTATATCATATTACAATAGACTATCAGGAGAATTTCATATGGCAGGCAAGTTTAGAGCGGAGTCACCTGAATTAATGCGTCTCTCTAGATTTTGTACTTCAGAACAAAAATGAGTATGAACTGTGAGGTCTGACAAAATAAAGGAACTAAGCCATAGAAAACTCAGAGCTCAAGATGCGACTTTATTGCGGATTAAGCTGCATTTCGTCTATTTTGCTCTAGAGGGTGCTCCAAAATGTTTACAATTTAGGCTGTGATCAACCCCAACCAAAAATGTTTACACTCACGTTAAGAATGCAAGAATTGCATTGTTTTCATCCGTTGTTAATGGCTAGGTTTTCTATGTCTATGCAGCACATTATGGTCAATGCGTTGCGTATTTTTAGTCGAGTAGGTAGTGTATTCAGATCTGGTCAAGAAAGTGGGCAAATACTTTATCGCTTTTCTCATTTATGGCATAAAAACAGCACATATTATTTCAGAAGGAAAAACGCCTCGGTCATTATTTTGAAAATATTCCAAATTAGTAGCAGTTGCTGTTTAACTTCATAAAAGCTAATTTTCAAAGAAAGGAAATAAACAGAATCAAGCGATATCCTTTCGAAAAGTTTCGCACCTAGGTCTCGATTTTAGCTGTGGCTCATAATTTATTGTCACATCCAATGCAAATTTTCAGCGTGAGCTGAATTAATAATGAAATGTTATTGCTATTTAAATATTGACTATTGTATTAGGAAAAAAATGGAAAGAAAGCCGAAAGACTGAAGTATTACCGGCAGCTGGAAGCTTCAGAAACTTCCTTGCTTATTTGCAGTTTTCTTCTGTTTGTTCTTATTAAACGCAGGTAATACATGTTCATTGAACTTGAGATAGTAAGACAGTGCATACATAAACTTTTGCTTTTATCTTTCTTTGTGTTAGCACGAACTCACTCGAATGTAATATTTATCATTTCATTAGCCATTTAATCCGTATAAATTTCCTCAAAATGATGTTGGCTATCAACAGATACGCTATTTGTGGCAGCTGCAGGTAGTGGTAATTCGAGCCTCGAAACCAGCAACTCAACCTCTAATGGCAAATGGATACTTATTGAGGATTGCTGAATACTGCATATTTCCTTTTAGCACAACCTGCACGTCATAGTGTTCATTGTAACTCGCAGCTAATTATTATTCTTATCTATCTAAAATTGACGCTCAGCCGACATGAAACTCACCCTTGCCCAGGTGTTTCCGGTTAAAATTTTAATTAACATCTTTTTTCATTGGCACACGACATCGGCTTTACGCTGAACAAGGCTTTTTTGTTTTTTGTTTTTAATCTTCGTGATCTTAATTAGTTTGACAATTTTTACAGTCCTTAATTACGAATGTCGAGGTAAAATCATTCTTGCGATTGTAAAGTCTTTTTACACGTCTTTAAAGTTAATAAAGTTTTCCAATTTTGCGGTCTTTGTTTGGTACACAGGTTTGGCTCAAAATTCTCTTTTTATCAAAAGATGCAAAAATTCCCACTCTTCCATCAAATATTTATTACTTCGATAGTCTCGCCTGACATGAGATACTAAAAGTGTCTACCTTGCGCCATTAGAATTATCCAAAGCGCCCGAGAGACCGCGGCTGTTTTCAGCATCAGTTGTCTTCTGAGAGAGATGTGCAAAACCAGTTGAAACGAGAAAATTAGTTTGTACGCACGATTCCACGCAAAAAGGAAGTTTACTTGCCAAGACTCCAAGAAATTCTGGGGCACTTTCAAAATGAGCAAAATATCAAAGGGATGATTTTGCTTCGAGCCTTTCAAAATAAAGAAATTAAGTTGCAAAAAATAATGTTTTTGGAAATCCTGAGGTAAATTACTGGCATGGACTTTTTGATCAGCTACCTGAGCATTTCCATGTCGGGTACATGCAGCAGTAGGCGTCCTAATTTCTGACTTAGAGTGAAGCAAAAGATTTCATATGCAAAATTATTTGCTCAAATAATAAGTGTCACATTCACGAAAATTTCAGATAAATTCAATCATGCGGTGTCGTTTTCACATTCAGACGTTGTATTATTTCAAATACGGTTTGGAAGTGAAACACAATTAATCGCCAAGGGAACAAACAGAAGCCAGGTAGTAACAAAAGAAAAGCTTGATGACTCACCACGGTAAATCGCTTGTTTAGGAAATTACAGATCGTATTGCGCTTCTACGTCAATACTCTTGGATCATCACCACTTTCTATAGGATCACCCGGCAACTGAGTTTCTTGCGATATCGACTTCTGCTTCCAAATATCCAAAATTACAGCCTAGCGCTACCGATCGATGACAGCGAAAAAAAGTGACTGTATTTCTGAGTATTTGATGCGATATTACTCGCATCTTGACGTGAATGGCTCGTACATAATTCGTTGCTTGGTAAATGTCCTGAAGAAGTTCGCTTGCATTGGCTTGTCAAGGCCAACACAACATGATTGCGTAAAACTGGCAGCTGCAAAGCCGGTTTTGAAATTTTTAAGCAAAGATGAATTAAATAAATTTTCAACATATCAATATTTTGTGTACCCACTGATCATGTGGAAAACGGAAAAATCCTTGACTAGAAGCGCAGCGAGGTGCCTGCGAGTGGTAAATAATTACTGACCCTCATAAAATCCTATTGTTCTCTCTCAGCATTATATCGGCGATTTCAGCCTGAGAAAATATTCATATTCAGTCAAGTCCAACTGTCTGAGGAAAACGGTGGCGGTCCTTTTTGGTAGCAGGGAAATTATCAGGGGTAATCCTAAACGCGCTAAAACGTTCAATATTGCAGTGGGCTGGCTGCACTGCAATATTTTTAATAATGCAGCCTGCTTCCAGCAATATTTTTAATATTGCTGCATGACTGTGGTATTTAATTCGTTACTTTTCCACTCAGTAATTTTTGAAAATTCGCGAATGTCCGCGCATAATTTATGATGAAGATCTGAAGCTAAAAAGTAAATGAATACACCATGAGAAGTACCATTCCAGGAGACGTACAGACGAAAACATTTTACAGTTTATTTAGGGCACATCTGACAATGACAGTCTTTCTCACTTGTAAGAAATAACAATTTTCGTACTGTGAGTACTAATTACAACTGACTGATTATAATCTTCGCTCTGGTTTTCGTCTAAAACGACCTCTGGCTCTGCGTTATGAAAATGGCAGATTCGTCTTCCGAAGAATCCTCCATCAAGCTTCAAAACAGTAGCAACTCTTTGCCTTCCAACAAACAACTCAAATAACCAAGTGCATTGCGTTAATATACAATGCAAATTACGTTTGCATGAAATTCAATCACACACCTGAAAGATGTGGAAAGTTACATAATCTTTACAAGGATTTAACAATGACTAAATTCCGGGAAATGAAAAGGGTTATGTAATTTGTATAACTACTAGACAATACGTGCTAATTGCATTGTTAGAGAGAGAAAATAGTAGGATTTCATGAGAGTCAATGATTATATCATCTTTGCAAGTAGTTAACAATGGCTGAATTGGGGAATGAAAAAGGATTATGCAATTTGTATTATTACTGGACAATGCTTGCCAGTTGCATTGTTGGTGTACCAAAACATCAATATGAAGGGGCGACTGAAATCGTCGATGTAATGCAGAGAGAGAACAATAGGATTTTATGAGGGTCAATAATTATAATAGTTAATTACTTCGGTTCGCAGCATTATTGGGTATAATGCTGCGAACCTCAGTAATTATCTATTAAATATCGTCTATCTAGCCCCGCGTTACTCATGCAGTCAATAATATATATGTCCTTGCGGCACACTGTTTATTGTGAACGCTCCTAACGCAAATAATTTTTCTATACCATCCTTTGCACTCAATTAAATTCTTGCTACTTGGGCTTTTGCGATACTTTATTGGCGGTATTGAAGTTGTGCGTGTGTGAGAGATGACGAACACGACATGTGCAAAATCAAAATAATAGAAAATTAATACAGTTTCAATAAAAGCCTCTTACTAGCAGTCTACCGCTACCTTTAAGCGTATGTACGTCATGTATGGGGAATTTTTATGGAAATTACTGTATGTATGTAAAGTATAGGACATAATATTTATTGAATAGATAATAATTCCCTATACATGACGTACTTACGCCTTTAAGACCTCTTACCGCTGTCTGTTAAGCATGCCTGCTTGCAGGCTCTCGTGGTTAGGTTTCGCCCTACGACACAAACTCCTATTACATCATAAAGCCGCTTATGGAAAAAGTTACTCAAACTTCTGTTACAGTAAGGTATGGAATTTTGTGTTTTTATGGCTGTTTATTATATTGAATGCCGACAAGTACAGTTGATACACAGGTTAAACGTTTCTATAGAAATTGTTGTGCTGCGTTTACGGACTTAAGACTTCTTTCTTATAATTTACAAGTTCACGACAGTAGGTAAACCGCTGACATAATTGCTGAAAAGCTGCATGATGTTTTGAGCGAAGTGCTTTGCATCAAACGTAGGCTTTTTAAAATTCGCTACGGGCCAGATTTATAACGCCTTTTTTACACCCATTTTGAAACCACTGGTGGTCCCTGTTATCTGATTGGCTCTGATTGGTGCGATTTATTCAAAAATCGCACCTATTTTTGCTTTAAATCGCATCTTTTTCCCAGCCAATGAGGAGGCTACACTAAAAACAAAACTACCGATCAGATTTCAAGGTTTAAAGGAACCAATCAAATTGCAGGAAAATGAAAGGCAAAGAGTATCATGTGGCAAATTTTGCAACTTTTGTTTCCAAAACTCTTATTTTTTTCCCCCCATAAATGGATGAATTTAATTTCAAACCGGCTCAGTACTGTATCAATAAAATATTTGAACTGACCAAGTCCTGTATTTGGGCGATTTCAAAATGGATGTAATACAGTGGTTATTAAACCTCGTGTCGTGCAATTTTGGTCTGAAATCATACGTGATTTCCGCCCAAATTGTACTTCACTCAGTTCAATTACTATTATTTATCAATTAATAGTTGATAGTTAAAGATATGTTTCTGTGATTAGACACTATGAGTAATAAAAGGATAAAAAAAAGGCAGTTGGGATATGATTTAAAATAAACTGTTTCCTAACTGCAGTCATCGTCTCAATAGTTTACATACGAGGAACATAGTAATCAAGCGTCTGCGCATATGCAAACGTTTTAGTGACTGTGGGGCGTTTTTTCAGGCTGTTAGAACCATGTTGTTTCACACGAGTTACAAATAATCATTCAAGCCAATTATTCACGGTGTTTTAGGAGCGCATAACATTGGTAAGGCTCAAAACAGAGCGCTAAATCGACAGAATGACTTGAAGAAGCTTTGCGTACTCTCACTTCTTTAACTAAACAACTTGCTGAATTTCAAAACTTGTTGAACGCATAAACTGCATCCTCTTGTCGACTTTTTCATACAGCTCTTGGAACTTTTGCTCGAAAGCTTTGGCAACCAGCGCTCGTTTAGTCTTGAAAGTTGGCGTCAGAAATCCATTTTCGACGGAAAACAATTCGTTGTGTAAGTGGATTTCCTTAACCTGCGGGTAAGACAACTGAGTTAGCTTAGCAAAATAAGAAACTCATTTTCGTTAACAGTTCAACAGATAGCGCAAAACAATTTTCAGTTACTCCAAACTAAGATCTTTAACGTTTTTTGACCGTCTGAAAGCAACGAATCTCACTTCCAGTGATTTCCAAAAACAATAAGGCAAATTAAGTGTCTACTCGACAATAATCTACCAAGCTATTTACCTGTTCAAAGGAGCTCAACTTGCCCTCCTTGCCTTTTTTAGTCATGTCATCCATAACTGCTTTTTTTACCTCCTGAAAATGGAAGATAAGAGTAAAAAGAGAGGAAACTCGTTCGAAGGCAAGAGAACATTGTTTCTTCCTATCCTTAAATGAGATGATTTAGTATATAAAGACAGACGTTTGATCTCCTACATAGAGAGGGGCAATGTCATGGTAATGCGTCTTTCCCAAAGCAAAACGCATTAAGCCACTCAGGTCTCGAGCCAAACCCCTCATCTGAACGACAATCTGGTAGGAGTCAGAGAAAGTATACAGGCGAAGGAGAGGAGACACGGTTAGGTAGCTGAACAAATGAAGACACACACGTACAGAGATTGTGACAGACAAAAACAGATGCACTGACTAGATTTTAACAAAGTTGAAGTTAGATTTCATAGCTTTCCTACTTCGTTCTCACACAACTCTGCAAAGTCTCCATGGATGTTTTTAGATCGTGCCCAAGGTTCCAACACCTCCTGATCTGGAACGATGATTGCCACTACAAATGACTGAAAACAATACATACAATTTAGCATTTAGATAGCTTAAGCCTTTTGTTTGGATGTAAAGGAAGCTTGCGCCCTTGTCAATCTATCACGTGATAGAAATGTCGAGCTCATAATTCAACCGTTAAATAGAAAGCGAGTAGCACAGCCAATTAGATTGCAGCATATGTGAAAGAGCGCTGGTAGATTTACTCCTCACTGTGGATTAAGAAATCACCCTTCGGATACGATTCCTTTACACACCCATGCCATCTGATTCTAAACTCGTTTTCAATTATCATGCCTCCTTACCTATCACAATAAAAGAAATAGTGACTTATAATTATCTCCTGCGTTTACTGACCCGTAAGCTATCTCCGTGTACAAACACTTGGGCTACTAAAGTACTGCGCAGGTAAATATTTTCGATTTTCTCCGGAGCAACGTATTCACCCTGAAAAAATAAAACACAACACTAATTACTGCTTAGTTAGGTTACGTTAATGTAGATTCAAACTTTATTTTCCTTCATTTTTGGAATAGTAATGTGTAATTCTGAGTTTTGAAGCATACTAAAATACAATTTGAAGTTCGCAATGAAATCTAATCACTCTATTTGCATGAGAAAAGCCGGGAAAAGAATCTTTGGGAAAGTAAGGTTTAGTGGAAACTGGAAGAAAGTTGAAGGCAAGAAAAATGGAAAAGTATTGTAGTTATCTTTTCACAGACGAGCTGCTGGGCTCTTAACACCTTCACGGAAATCGAACGATAATTTCGTTCCACAATCACAGAATCACGTTTACCTGGGCAAGCTTAAAGATATGCTTGACACGATCAAATATCTTCAAGGTTCCATTCTGTAATAGAAAAAGGTAAAATTTAAATTTTTCCTTTTTCAGGAAGTAACAAGCATTGACGAAGATTTATTGAGAGCATTTTGGAACATGATTTGTTGATATTTCCCTCACTGTAGAACCAATGAGTTTGCTCGAGGCCTCTTCTATAAATTTTGCAACCGCACTCTTACCGGAAGCCATTCTCCGATATCTCCGGTGTGGAGCCACTGATCCTTGTCAATTGTCTCGGCAGTTTTCTCCGGAGCTTTCAAGTAGCCTTGGAAGACCGTCGGTCCCTTTATACAGATCTAAAAATGTCGAAGACAGCAGAGTTAATATAATTTTTTCGATGTGCACCGTGGCTTATATGGTTACCAGTCGTTTCGAATTTGCACCCACGGTCGTTTCGTACCCAATTAGATAGCTCCGTACCCAGTCAGTTGAGTCGTTTCATACCCAGCTCGGTCGTTTCATAAGCTTATAAAGTATGTTTTCCATGTTAAAAATTGGAGAAAGAATATCACACTTACAAGAACTGTTATTGGTAAACAGAGGTCACGAGTATAAACAATAGACTTTTCTGTTTAAAGTATTACACTTACATTGGGCAATAATTGCGAGGATTTAGTTAAGAAGGTCACAATTATACGCAACAGACCTTTGTTTGTATCTTAGTCGTTCGAGTTGATATCAGTATTCTCCTTTGAGGGCTTTTTTTGTTCCTTTCGATTCAGCAGTAAACGTAAGGTATGTGTAAGGGGATCAAAAACGAGCAAAAGACAAAGCAAAGACCAAAATAAAGGAATGAACAGAAACGAAAAGAATTATTTGAAATTTAGGGCGGATCATGATGTACTCTCAAAACCGTTTCAAAAATATGGCTCATCATAATAAAATAATTATAATGTTAATCTAAAAATTAAAAGAATAGAAAGATTATTATACCTCTCCTTTACCGTCTTTTGCGTAACACTCCTTTTCTGGGACGTCTACCAACTTGATGAGATTACAGGGAAGAGGTGCTCCCACGTGACCTACAGACATGGTAATCATGTGACAAAAAAGGATAACTTGGGTTCTGGTGTTGATCTGGAGAGGAACCTGACCAGATCCTCGATTGCGCCTCACGCCCCACTGATCGATGCTGATTTGCGGACGCAATAATAGACAATGAACTAAATTCTTTTAGTTTGTGAAATTCGTTTTCAGGATAAAGGTTCACAGAGTTTGAGAATAACTAAATGTAAACTATGAAAATTGAATTCGTCTTCGGAATGATTCGACAATACTTCCCTCGTCTTCAGAAAATTACTTTTGACTAGTTATAAGTTTGATAAACATTTGAACGTTCTCTTCGCCTTACCAACAGACGTGTCCCTCGGCCAAGTAATAGTTGCTGCTGCAGTACTTTCAGTTTGTCCATAGCCTTCTACGACCTTGAAATAGAAGATAAAAAAACAACTTCATGAGCACTTCATTCATGCAATTGCTGACTGGCGAGAAAAAGGACCTAACTGACACAGAATGAAGAAGTTTAAATTGCGCAATGATGTAAATACAAACTGTACGCTGTAACAAGAGAATAATTTGTCCCTTTCGTCTCTCGCAATCCCGCTTCGAGACGAGACGAGACAGGACGGCGCCGAAGTCGACAATTAATCGTTGTTGACTTACACAACGGACAGTTGAGAAGGAAATAAAAGAGATGGGACCTGGGAGGGGACGGATCGCCGAACGTTCGACAATTAAGGGCATGATGATGATGATGACTTACACAACAAACTCCCATAGTGCATCTTAGAAACATCATTACTTTAGCCGACAGGGGAGCAGCTCCAGTGACAATCAGCCGAACATTTCCACCAAGGGCCATCTGTTGGAACTCAATCAAACACTTGCTAATCAGATCGTGAAGAATTTTCAACCCAGCAAATGCCAGGTGACCGTCTACCAACAGCTAACGTATGAATATTCATAGTTATGGAAGTGATTATCAACATTAAACATTTGAACTTCGAAAGCCGAAAAGGGACAATCCAAAATTATTTTGCAAATCCGAAAAACCATGTAGAATCGATATCTTTCAGACAAATCGCTTTTGAAAAGTTTGTCAGATCGAAAAAAAAATTTCAAATCCTGGCTTAATTCATAGATCCACAAATAACTTTCATAGAAATCGAAAATAGTTTACGATCCAAGAATCTTTCCAAAATCCAGAAAATTTTCGCAGATCGAGAAAAATATTTTGTCACTTGACACTTGCGCCAGTAGTCACCACTTTGTCAAGATACAGCACATTGTGGCGCACTAGGTTGCACTAGGTCGACTTGGAGTCACAACGCCAACGGACTAAACCGTACCAAGTGTATTGAAATGTTATGTCACAAAAGTGGAAAAGAATTAGTGAGAAATGAGCTATTCTGCCGTCGATGTATTGTTCAGTTTTAAGAAAAATACCATGGTGTTTCTATGAAACTGAGGAGGAGAAGAGAGAAGAGAAGGCTGCGTGAGTATGAGTTGAGAAGAAGAAACGAAGTCCTTTCAAAGCGCGAAGTTCGGGAGATAATTAAACGTGAAATCGAAGGCCCTTCATCACTTCCTTTTCTAAAAACTGAACAATAGTATCATAACGGAATCCTCTTTCAAAGTAGTGTTCAATGGCAGATCTCTCATCTGACGAACTGTGCAACAAATTTTTCTGTTCGAGTCTCTTTAAAGTTCCACATCGACGGCAGAAAAAAAAAATATATAGATATAGCCTGCTCTCGAGCTATATCTATACCTGCTACCCGTTCGACCATTGCCCCTCCACAATAATTGAAAGAGCTCTAAGAGTGATTTGACTGACCTTTATTCTCTTGAACACAGTGCGATCCCAAACTGTATCACCTTTGATTCTTCCCCTTCAGTGAAAAAAATAAAATGTGGAAAAAAAGGGTGGAAAGAAATGCCTACTGATAACAGGTTTCATAACCCTTTCAAAGAAATGTATAGAAATAAATCCCGAATTTAAGAAGTGTGCAAAGTTCTCATATAGTTCCAAACTATACTGACTGGAAAAAGGAACGGAACGCTTTGATACTGCTCGAGTTTTTTTTCCGTTTTATCTTCCCCCCTCTCCCTCATTTCAATGTTGCCTGGTGCTAACAAATGGTCTCAAATTTCTCACAAAATAAGGGAAAAATTATTTGGGGGACTTTCAAGTAACGTGTCAGGGATCATTTGCAAGATTTCTATCTATCGTGTTATGCGGAGAGTTGTCAACCACTTATCTCGTACCCAGATCCTACCGTGTAACTGGAACTGAAATGAAGGGACCTTGCAACCGCTTGGGTGTGGATGGTACGGGTACGAGAGAAGTCGACTACCTGCTAAGGGGAGGCGTACCAACTACTTTTGCTCTCGCTGTCACGGTCTTATAATGTCGAAAGAATTTTTTTTTAATTCTAACCAACGGAACAAACTGTACATGCGTTCTATTTGCTAATAAGTAAAAGCTTTACTGTTGACTGCGACGGAATTTGCTCTCTCGTAAAGACGATAAATTGCGAAGTACTTGCATCAAGCAATACTAACTTTTTTAAACCGGCCTCTTTAGATGCAAGTGCTTTGTTAAAAAGCCAGCCTTTGAGCTTGCTCTGGGAAACTTGTGCCATCACCTTTAAGGTAAAAAAAATAATTATGGAATCTTTACCATACAAAAATAGATGTCTCTTCGCCGCTGGCGTCAAGTTTGCGACTCAGCGCAAGAAACAAATTGCAGTTTTTCACGGCGATTTGAAAATAGATTCATTTGGCTGTCGTATACACTCGAATTCATATTGTCCAACAGTTACAGCCATACAGGTTGCTAATAAATCCTATGACTAATTTGCGCGCGTGAGAACAGACAGACTCTGCAGATGGAAATAACCACATTGCAAGGGAATAAAACCTACAGGGATGGGGCTTTTGAACTGCGGGCTCACGGGTTGCGTGGGCATAGGAACTAAAGAAGCTAAAGAAACGTACGCGTCCAGAATCAGAAAAGAGAAAGTGCACGTGCAAATACAAACATGTGGAAACAAACTGCCTGCTGGTGTTTACAAATTCAAGAGGGAAAGTGCGCACGCAGAATTCTGTCGGGAAATATGAGCGAATGGGTACGGATATTCGAGAGAGAACAAGCGCCTGCAACCTCGAACATGCGAGAACCAAGGTGCGTATGTTAGCACAAAAAGTTGAGAGGAAATGCGCGCATTCCAGTAAATACATCCGCCGAGGAAGGTACACAAAAGAAAACGTACACGCTCTAGTATAGTTACCTTGTCATAAACTCTAGTGAGCAGTCTTGGTACAGAGGGGAAAATCGTTGGCCTGAAAAGAAAATGTCTTTTGTTTTAAACCTAAATTAAATGATGGCTATATTGACAATGCTGTGCAAAGCATGGCCGAGTTAATGAAGTAAATGCGTATTAGAACTAAAAGGACGAGACACTTTCGTTCCAGACTCCCCACACCACCCAGGCAAGGTTTAAATTCCCCAATGGCACCTACAATGGTCAAATGCCCGTGGGTTGCCTGGGGAGGGGGGTTTTGAACTTCAAATTGCTCGGCGCATAATCTGATGGTGGCTCTTAAGCCCGCTCAAGGCGGAATACCCAATTTCACTCCCAAGCCTAGCTTTCAAGGTGTGGACTGGTGAATTTTTACAGGAAAGTATTCCCGAAACATTTTTATTGAGGTCAAGTCTCTTGACTCTCTTGACCTTCTGCATGGCATCCGGCGCATGAACTAGGCAGATAGCGGTAATGAAGTCCCTCTCACTGGTAAGAGATAAACTGAAAGAACACAAACTTACTTTAGTTCTTGAATATCATCCAGCAGTAGTTTTACGTCACCCCTAAAGGAACCAATTTTCACTCCATTTAAAAAGCACATTGCCTGCAAGAGATAAAGATGTTGATTTAAAAAGGATGTCAAGCTATCAGGATAAAATCAACTTGTATTATACAATCAGACAAAACGATTGAGACTAATAATACAAACTAGCAGGGGCATTCCGTGGAGCTCAACTCTTATTCCATTCAAAAACTTTATCTCAACTTTTGGGAGAAAAAACCTCCTATTTCCTGCTGAACAGATGAAAATGACTTACGAGCCAAGGGAGTCATTGTATGGAAGCTCCACTGCTTGCATTTGGAGCTCCACTGCCTCGTTCATTAAGCGATGAAAGATCCGTTAGTCAAGCACGCCATATGTAGAGTTTGAGATGTGAAAATTTTAAGCGTCAGTAGTGTTCGCAAGTCAAAAATCAGTGCTCCATAGTCAACTGGTTCCCAGTGTAACCTTAAAGCATATTTCTTGACACCTTGCTTGCTTGTCACTAAAACGTAATATAAAAAGGCACTTTTGATAGCCCTAGTTTGCGCAAGCGTACCTGAGCCAGTCGCTCATACACGTGAGCCAGTGGAAGATAGGAGATCATACAGTCTCCTTCTATCATCTGGAGACCAGATTCCTGTTCAAAAATAAAATCAAAGAGTTTTGTCCTTAAGGTTCGAGCTGTAGACGTTGACTGTGAAATATATTTTTCTGACTCCGGTTGTTGAAGGGTAGATAACGCTATCCAGTGGATAAATCTCTATCCATTGGATAACGCAGTACGTTTTGTTTACACTTATCTGTTGAATAGCGATTTATTCGATGGATAGCACTATCCGCCCTTTGGCGATTGGGCCCAGGAAAATTAAGCCCCAGAAACTTTGTGGAAAACCCAGATAAAAATAAAAAATTTTTCATAGTCCGTAAAAAAGAGTGAAAAAAGGTTAAGACAAGACATGATGGTTTGATTAGGTTATCACATCTGATCGAATCCTTTGGTACGCTTCGAGGGCATACAAGGTAACTTTAATGGAGCCATGCTTCGTATTTTAGATAACGTGGAAAGTGTAATGTTTTCGGCCTTTTTTAACGGAAGAGTTGAAATCAGGTTACCGGAAATGAGAACTAAGAGAACCATGTGAAACTAGCCAAGAACGTATTTACACCCTCCCACCCCCTCTCTCACCTCCCCACCCTTCCCCCCTTCTTCTCCTCTCTTTAACGCTGAATCTATTATGAAAGGTAACTTCAATTTTGCTGACACAAACCTCATATTGGACTTGAATTCCTGCGACCCCAGCATTTATATTTCCATGACTTAACATGGCACCCTTCGGCGTACCTGTTTATCAAAGGACAAAAGAAAAAGGGACAAAAACGGTGGAAATACGAAACATAGAAGCAAGTACTCATAAAGTCACGAAAAACACACACATACCCGTTGTTCCACTTGTATAGCAGACAGTCATGGTGTCCTCAGGTCTCCCAGGCTGAAAGAGTGAAAGCACCATATCGCAATTCGTTTTTGCTATTGTTTGTTGGTGAATTTGAGCAACTTCATATAAACATAACAACTTTCGAACAAGCTCTTTCGTCGCGGAAGTGTTTGCGCTATAGAAAAAGCTTCAACAACACCAGACATGCTTGCAAGAACCTATCAACTCGAGTACACTAGATTAGGTGATGTGACGATTCGAACGCTTTTTAATATCGGTCTCTTCTGAACAAATTTATTCTACACGTCTCTTCCTTGTCATGCGACACTGAAGGGTAACCCTCCAATCCAACCAGGCACTTCTCGACACTATGCTAGTTTCTACGTCAGCACTTCTATTCATACTATATCCATGCCTTTTCTTTGGCATAAAAATTTAATATGATGACGTATTTACACATCAAGTAAATGGGCAAAAAAACAATTGCCTAATATCATTTAAATTCTGGTGGTTTTGCTTATTAAACTTTTACCTTAGTTCTTACCTTTCTCTCTTGAGGATTGTTAGAACCCATTTGCTGAAAAAGGAAAAATATGAAAACATGATTTTAAAGAATTTCGATTGAAGAACATCTGAAACAGCCACGACACACAAGTTGTCAGCCGTTGTCCGACTGATCACCGCTGGGCCTAAGCGCGTCAGTGTTTTGGAGTGATAATGAAGTACTATTTTCCACCCTAGCCTTACGAGCGAATACAAAATCTTAAAATGAATGGATTTAAGTAACAGTGCACTCAGAAAGTGAGTGGAAGTCAAATTGAGGATTTCGCTGTTTTCAGGGTTTGTGGAAAAAAAGAAGATCGGAGAAAGCGGGGCTTACAACGGTGAATTTGATCGCTGGCGAAAATCACCGATATCTGACATGTCAGACATCGGTGATTTCATTCGCTGATCGCGGTGACCGCGATCGGCGTTAATCGAAATCGCTGCACTGGGCACACCAAGCGATTTTCCTTCCCGAGTGTGTCGCCGGCTTTAGGGGGTGGGTGGAGGGGTGGGGAGGGTAGAGGGGAGAGGGGAAGGTGGAGGGAGGAGAGGGGCGGAAATCATGCTAATTTTATTATCACTCAACTCAAATTCCCCTCCCCCCGTGATAAATAAAGACCTGTCCCTTTGTAATTAGTCTCTCACCTCTACTTCCACGATATATAACAAAGAAATTCCAAGGGAATCGGCTTCTTTTTTCTCTTCCTCTGTTACAGGCTTGTTCATCTTAACGATCCTTTTTACCTTCTCACATTCTTTGGCATTGTCGAAGATGAATCGCAACTTATTACCGTTGCAAATAATCGTCTCTATATCCGCTGAAATAGTTGAATGACACTTCATTAAACAATTAGAGTACAAATTTTCCAATGATTTTTTTTGCATTCTGTTGCACTTAACGGATGATGTGGGAAAAAATTAACCCCCTATGTCTCATTACTAATTCTCCAAACTGTCTGCCATACAATTCTTGTGACGTTATTTCGGAGAATGTGGCGTCAGTTGGATCAACCAATAACCCCCAAATTGATAGTCCTCTTTATTCTTATCACTTGCGTGCCAGAAGTTGTATCGATATTGTAATGAGAAATTCTGTCTTGGTAACTCATGGCCATAGCTACGTCAAGCCTAACACATTAAAAGTATCTTTCAGCTGATATTCAAGAATGTTCTTCATTTGTATGGAAAAAGCAAAAGGAACAAGTACGTTTTATCCTAAAACAATGAAGTAGGACAAGGATACCTATTATACGCAAATTAAACTTTTACCCGCTAAAACCTTGATTCTATTATTTGCGACCACAAACTTGCACACCAAGATTGCGTATTTCATTTTGGGACATCGAGCCAGCGGGACGAAGCAGACGGTGCATTAAGTTTGCTTAAGTGGCAGATGCAGTTCCATTTTATTCCCTAAAGAAAACAAAACCGGGTTTCCCTCAAAATTAGAGAGTGCCCTATGTTTTCCGTCTCTGATCAGAACTGTGGTTACAAATGTGTGATCCACCCCCTCTCAGTCCCAACATTAATAATTTGATAGAAATCTTACCATGGTTAAGGATATAAACGCAGCCTTCTGGTCCATGTGTATCGTAAATTGGCACAGAAATCATGGAATACATCTGACAAGCCAGGTCTGCTAAGTCCCACTGAAAATATTAAAAGATGTCAGGTACGGATTTTTACCCTGGATTATTCATACAGATCTATTGACTGAGTTTAGTTTTATTATTAACTGACCGATTGTCAGACTGGCTGACTCATAACCTGACTGACTGACTGATTGACCGATGGTCTGACTGACAGACTGATATAGTGACATACTGACAGACTGACTGACTGGCGGACTGATTATCAGATTGACTGATCTGAACTGATAGACTAACAGAGATAACACGACCATTGATAACGTGTTTTATCCATAGCCCGCATGGACAGACCAACCAGCCGACTAACTAGTTGACAATACAGGAGCTTGTCATGGAGCTTGTCAAAGAAGTAGTAAAAACCCACAACCCCCCCCCGCCCGCCTAACCCTCCCCTCCCTTTAGATCCGCCACTGGCAGGAACTTTTGAGAAAGCAGTTTGGGAGTCCGTTGTAAGTGGGGTTTTTGCAAACCCCAGTAACCCACCCGATCACTATTAAAATAACTATCACACGTACGCTTACCTCAACACAATTAGGAGCATAGATTCCAACAAATGTATTTTGGGAAGGTTCACAACCAAGATGTACCAAGCCTGAACCAAAGTTAGTGGCGCGGTCGTTTACCTGTCGAAAGCAGTAAAAAAAAACACGCACATAGATGAGAACACAAAGCAAGTTCAAGGTACTTATTGAGCTCAGAGGTTCAAATTGTTTGAATCTGGCTCACTGTCATGATTGCTAAAGGAGTTACATCTCAGTTCACGCATCTTACAATACTCTCGGCAGAGGTATTTTCTAGACACCAGGTTATTTTTACCTCTTCTTCGGTTTGAGATTGCAAAGAGCTATCTAACCGTTCAAAACATTTTCTTCAAAATTGCCATTTTAATATCTGGCTGAACACGCAAAACAACGACAATATGAAGGGGAGGCTGGAAACAAATTCTCCGCGACGGAAACGCGCAGGGGCATGAGAACTATTTGGGAGTGCAGGGTACTGGGCTTATCGTTTGGGTGTACAGCCCGCGAAAATGAAGACTGCAAAATTATTTACTGCAAATGCGTTTACAACTTTAAAGCTTCCTGCACTAGAACCGTTCTCGACCCTTTAAGTCCCACTAGTGACCAAAACAGAATTTCTCCTTACTCTATTCGTACAATATCAAGCAGAAATGAAACGAGAATAAAGACAAATATCAATTAGGGGATTACAAGTTGATCCAATCCCAAATCCTCCAAACTAATATCACAAGAACTGTGTGGCAGACAGTAAGGAGAATTACTAATGAGATCTTTGGAGTTAAAGGGTTAACTCATTACCTCTTTATATGTGATCCACTGATACTTGTTATCAGGTCCCCCTCTTGTTCCCAAACATGGCTGATCGCCTGTGCGAAACGAACTTGCATGTTAGAATTACAAAAATTCAGCTGGAAACAAATTCTCTCCAACGGAAACGCGCAGGGGCATGGGAACTATTTGGGAGTGCGGGGCACTGGGCTTATCGTTTGGGTGTACAGCGCGCGAAAATGAAGACTGCAAAATTATTTACTGCAAATGCGTTTACAACTCCAACCCATATCACTTTATCCGGCATTAAACGCCGCAGCCTTTATAATACTGTATTTTTTGTGGTTTAAGCAATGCAGTCTTTTCCTGTGACAGACTGAACGATGCGAAACCAGAAAAGCCATTGTTTCCAGTTTGAGTTGAAACTCGGATTGTTTTTTTTTTGTTTTTTTTTTAAGAGAGAGAAAAACCCGGGAACCAGGAGGAAAACTAACTCTCTACCTTTTACACCCTTACATCAGAATCCACATTCTCCAAACTCGTCTCTATAAATTTCCTTTGGTACTGACACGGAGAATTCGTTTAACAATCAAAGCTTCTTAAGTTGGCGATCATTTCCTATCTTCTCAAGAACTTAATGTTAGATTCAGAGGTGACACTATGTGGAGAAATTAGATGCTGGTCACTTTTAAGGGTTAAAGGATTAAAGTGGCAAGAAGTAGACAACAAACAAACAAACAACAAAATCAGCCAAAAAGACATTAGACTCGGAAATTGGTGCGTGCAATGAAGGAGGGACGAGTGCTCTCTCCACCTCGCAATCTCTCATTCTATTTCTTGTAACGAAGTGCTCACCTGAGTTTTGAACAGTTCGAAGGAAGCCTTCATACGGGGTTGTAACGCCATCAAAAAATGTTGTAATCAGCTCCTTTCTTAAAGCATTTCGTCTGGCTCCGTTGTCTACACCCCCCTGAAAACGTTTAACCAGTAAAAGAGAATTTTACATTTACGTTTAGTTTTTGAGGGGAGAGGGAGCCGGTATCGAAGATAATCGTAGAATTTGGGGGTGGGGGTGGGGATGGGGGCTGTGGATGCTTTTAAGTATTAAAATAGTTTATCCGTTGTGCCCTTGGTACTATATTGAATTTTATTCGCTTAGAAACCGTAAAAAGCATTAAGGTGATAATTTCGTCTCCAAGCGAATCAAACAAGTCTAGTCACGGATCAAAAATTTCATTACGGCCAATTTTCAATAATGAATTCATTTCGCATTGTTTTTCAGTTTCAAAGTTAGCGGGAGGTGTGAATACAAACAAGTTTTTCAGAAACTTTGAAAACGTGACGAGTTCTACTTTTTAGGGGAACATGGTCGACTACGTCAATTTAATACACAAGTTAGATTACACGGACTAACCCCAATGTCGTGGCATAATTTTGTGTCAATAACAAGCGATTCATAACCGGATGTTAGGGTCAAATTAAAAACCTCTCAAAACAAGCTATTGTAAGAATCCAAGTTGTTCTTAGGAATTTACATAGCTGAAATATTTAGCCTGTTTCAAAGTAACAACCTCATAAGGAAAATTATTGTTGTAAGGCTGCATTTACAAAATATTCGCCTTACAGCAGAATCCAATTTAAAACCAGCCGCGAATTTCTTCGAAAAGTAAAACGAAAGCTTGCAGTCTTTGCGTTTTGTAGGAACATCACATTTTGCATAGAAATTTCAACGAAGCGTCCATTGCAGCACTACACCGTGTTGGAAACTCTGACATGGTACTGCCTACTTCAAGTGCCTGTAATCGTTTTACTTTCGTCCTAAAACAAACATTAGTGGGTACAGGCTTATTCAAAATTCTAAATAATCGCAACATTTGCTTCTCGTCAAAAGCGATCTTAGTTTTATAACGCGCCACGGCATGAGCTCTTTAATTAATACATGATCAACAAAGTCAACTTTAAATTTGCAACAAATTTGTTTGTTTTTCCTCTCCTACATAACTTAAGTAAGAAAAATAAATAATTTGATCAACTCACCTCAACTTTTACGGATTGGTTTTCTAAGTCCATCATGGACACCTATAGTTGTTTGTCAGTTTACAAAGGGAACAAAATTAGAATATAAATGACGCCTGTATCTGGTTTTGTTAATTAAGCATAATGAATTGCTTGGTGGAGCATGACAAATCTATTATGTTGGCCCCAACAACAAAACGATAAATTGGAAATACTCCAGCAACGGAAAAAAAGATATTTTTTTGCCCTTTTGAAAAAAAAAAATCCAAATTGCGAGTAAATAATAAAATGATGTAAAAAATAATAATCTTGATACCTCCGAAACCCAAAGAGTCGTGAAAAACTATGTAAAAGCACAATCGAGATCAAAAGCAATCCTCCACAAAGCTTGAGGCATTACAGAAATTTGCACGGCTATTAGCGCATACGAAATATTTCTTCCACAACCGGTTTGTGAAATGAAACTATTTTCTTAGAGAAATTACAACAAAATAGAGTTTAGCAGTATCCAATAGTCAGTGTTGTTTTCCTCCTAAACAAAGAACCTCTTAAAATATTACGATGTTCCGTTCAAACCATGCACGAATATGACGTACAACTTCAATTGAGTACAATATCACGCAATGAAGTGTATCAGATAATAATTTGCCTCAAAATAAATGTTTTTCTGTTTTGTGTGCCAAAGGTGTTGCATTATATGGTGGAGATGGTGGGGAGATAGTGTTTAAGAAGTCTTTACATGCGCTAAACCCTTGTTTCACGAGAAAACTTATTAAAAATTGGGTTTTATGATCGTGAGTAGAGAAGATAATCCAAAATCAATTACGTCGTGGAAGCGGAACTTCAGTTAAAGCCGGTCATCGGCGGTTTAACGCCTATCACGTAACTGTGACCTCTTACCACTGTCTGTTCAGCCCGCTCGCAGGCTCTCGTGTTTCTGTTTGGCCTTATGACCCCTTTTCCGAGCACAGCAGACTATTACACCATCGGCAGCCGCATATGAAAAAAAGTTCTTGAAACCCTTGACTGGGAAGGTTACGCCCTAACATTAGCAAGAATATTTTCATTACTGTCCGTATACATTTCCTAAGGTATTGACTTGGATAATTTGTTCAACACTTAAAGAGTTTCTTTGGTCAGCGATTACCTCCTTTATCCCCAGGATCAGGACCTTTATGTTAAAACAGGCAGTGGTTATGAGATCCTAGCAGCCCTTCCGGATTTAGGGGTTAACCACCTCTATCCGCCTCTTTCCACAAAAATTGAAAACATCGAAAACCACAGTTAATCCCGAACACCACTCGTTGCATGCCATGTTTGCAGTATCACAAAATACATTTTCTGAATTTTTGCCGGATGCTGTTGGAATTTCTATTGGAATTCAAATATCGACGTAACTGAAAAATAAAGAAAACTAAATTCCGAGTCATGTGTCTCCTCTTTTTGACAAAGCCCATGGCTAAACCCTAATTTATCATGTAACACAAAACTTTGGTATGCCTGTGGTCGCTTATGGGTCAGACCTTTTATCGTTTAAGTTTCCTTGCGATAAGCTCTCTCTTCTCTAAACCTTCACACTGTAAGATCAGTATGCAGATTCTCCATACTATTCTCTATAAATTTCTTAAGGTGCTGACAAGGAAAATTAGTATTCTGATGACGCGTTGAAGAGGTTTGCGTGGCATCATGAAAGTTTCGGATTTAGGAAAATTAAGTTATTCTAGGTCGGTAAGTCTTATGTTTGACCACTTTCCTTTTTGTATTTGTTGTAATTTTGGTATTCCAACTCCCTGTAAAATATTATTACATCATTGATTTTTCTTTGTGATTAGTAGTGCAACCAGGTCAGTTTCCCCTTTCCTCAGGGTATTGTCCTGCTGTATTAGATGAGGAATACGATTCCACACATTTTTTGGCAACATCTAAAGAGTGGATTTTTAGAGGTTTTTCGCATCTGGCGTAGGACAGGTTCGTTTTTTTGACTCTTAGTTTCAGGGTGCACGTATTAAGATTGTATCAGGATGCGTATACTAGAAGACTGACTGACTCATTCCAAATAAACTTTTCACATTGAATGTCTCGTGTAAGGGTATTCAGAATAAGATAGGAGATGAAACCTCTTCCAATAATTCGTTTTCGCTTGAGAGAGAGGGGGAACTGAGAAGGCCATGGAAAAATGTTTCTCTCTTTGTCTCTTTTAGAGGGTGGGGGACTCAGCTTGCTGTGCATTTTAAATACGTCATGGATCGTCCATATTTGCAAGACACTGTCCTCGATTGCGAAAATCATAAATTTTGTTCTGCATTACTCAAAAATAAAAAAGTTATAACATTTTTAGTACTGATTTTGCTGGTTGAGCAACAGTTATACTTTGGGTTTTTTATGCATAAAGCTTAGAGCATACAGAAGACAGACATTACCCGACCAGATTCTATGTTTCACATAATAAGGGGCTTGAATCCACTTTGACGGGATATGGCGGCCACCATACCCGCACGACACGCCACACATTTCCTTGTAAACTTGATGCACAAAAAAGTTTAGTCTTAATGGTCTCCAGATCTTTTTTGGCATGTCATACATACTTAATTTTCGAGCCGTCTGCCATAAAAATCATCTAAAACAATTTATGAAAAAGCTTTGGGCCTTCGCCGTAACTGCTGCAGTTATTTCCCGCCAGTGGACTTACCCCTAGTCCTCTCAGGCCATCTGCCTAATAGGCTGAAAGAAGACTGGAGGCGATTCAAACAAAATGGCGGCCGGATTGTTGACAAGTGGTGTTCGTCAAAATATTCCTCAAAAAGAGGATTATTAACGCTTTTCTGGAAAAAAGATCGGATCGATTGAGAACTTCTTTATCATTGTATTAAGTGGAAATAGTTTATTGCATCAGTCAGATAACGCATAAGTGGATTTTCATCGTCTGTTTCTCACCGTGTACAAAATATAGCATCCTAGGACTTCGTAGTATTTTTGGCTTAGATATTACCATGGGGATCAACTATCGAGGCGCTTAATGTGGGGATCAGAGAAGTAAAATCCTGATTGCCAAGGATAACTGGTTGTTATTGACACTTATATTATCATCGAAAGAGCCCATCTTTGGAGTGTACGCCGTGGGTCAAACATGTCTGACGCTGTCATCTCATTAACGGCTTCCCTTGTGCGGGAGTATCTTAGCCGAAAGGTAAGCTTTTGTTTTTTCTTAGTTTTGAAAAAAAATTGAAAGAGTTTAAATTTCACGTCCTTCATTCATCGCGTTAAGATGGCGATGAAATGATTAAGCTCGAGGTCTTTCGATGCACCGAACTCAAGCCATTAGGTGACGCGTTCTAGACGATTATAAATAATAGATTTACAGGTATATGATTTAAAATAACGATCCATTTGTGCTTGTGTCTTTTGTTGCCATTTATAAGAATCAATGTTTCTTGTAAGCCCAATATTTCAAGACTTTTCTTTCTATTTTTCTTATGTAAGTTACTAAAGCTATGAAACAATATAATTACCTTGCGTGACGAAATCTACATTTAAGAAAAATCGTTTGCAAAAGATACATTTTGTAATCCAGAAAGCCTGCTAACTAGTATCCCATATATAGTAATGTGCTTAAGTGATGTTCATTTTCCTCTCTTTGAAAACTTCATGGATATATTTTACAAAGTAGGTTGCCACATCTCCTCAGCTGGTCTTCATTGCCAGATATAATTGTCCCTTAACCCTTTACACCCTAATATCAGTATGCATATTCTCCATACTGTTCTCTATACATTTCCTAGGGTGCTGACAAGGAGAGTTTGTTTGACAATCAAGAGCTTCTTTCGTTGGTGAATTCACAATTCCCTTTATTTTTGTGACCTCAATGTGTATGTTCAGGGGGTGCCAATATTGTAAGGAGAAATTAGATGCTACTCCCTCTAAGGAGTCAAAGAGTTAAACAAGGGGGGGCAAATGGTAACCTCTAACAACGAAAATTACTGTTTACTATTTATAATGATAATTCTAAAACCAGTTTTGTTCAATATTTTGTTCATTGTTTTGATGTTTTTAATATAATTACTATAGGGATTAAAGAACACACTGCAAACCTTGGATAAGGAGATGCCAAGGAGTGATGATAGGTATGGAAATTTAATGTTTAACTTATCATTTCTTGTAAAACCCTGGAATATCAGTTGATTATGCAGTCTTATCTTTGAGGCCTGGGTTATTCAAAGGGCTACTAATGCTACCAGATAATTGAATAGATAAATCCCTGTCCAGCAGATAAATGGCTATCTAGCAGAAGTGTTAACCCTTTAACTCCCAAGATCTGATTGTTAATTCTTCCATTTAGCTGCTCCATATTTCCTTGTAAATTAGTTACGAGAATTTTGTGTCGGTTGAGTGTTCTAAGTCAAGTTCAAGAAAACCTATTGGTTAGTTTTGCTGGGAAATTATCACCTGTGAAAATTAAGGATTGTTAATGTTGATTGTGATGGGTCAGTTTTGATCCCTTAGTAAATTTAGGTCAGTTTGTTCCTGTAAACTGTACAGTATTGAAGTATGACACTGATTCAAATTTGATGAATTTTGCAAGTTTTAACTGTACATTTAAAGTATTGATTTAGTTTTTTGATTGCAATGCTCTAATTTACTTTATTTTTCTCCTAGTATCAGCAACCGTGTTCAACTTGCAAAAGAAATGCACATTGAAAAGCTCATGAAAAAGAACAAGGTATGATTGTTCAATTTTTTCAGTTGATGTTGAATTCATCATTTTCTTTATTGCCAGTGGAAGGGGGACAATCTTTGGGTATTTTGTAGTCAAAATACATTGTACTTTCCTGTACATGATGTGATTAGTCAGCTTAAAGAAAAGCAAAACCAATGAAAGTGATGTTAATTGTTACTTAAATTCAATATTATGGTTGATTTTGACAGTTGTGAAGCTTGTGGTCTTGATTAGTAAATCAAGTAACTATGAATTATGTTCAATTTATATAGTTACCAAATGACACTCTTATTGGCCCAAAGTATTTCTTTTAGTTTAAGAGTGAGGTGGCTTCTTCTAGAATTTGATTAACCTCTTAGTGGAACGACAAACAAGAAATTCATTGTCAGTGGTGTTGGGGAGGGAGGGAAGATGGTGATGCATGTATCCCCCTCCCTCCTCCTCCAACCCTACTGTCTAAGTGTCTGTTTTAGCTTGATGATGATTAGCTCTCATTCTGTCGGTTGTCATCATTGTGTCTTATTTTCTGTAGGAGCTTCCTGAACCATTTCGAACCATGTTGGAAGTCATGGTTAAGTGTATCAAAGAACAGGGGGGGTTGAGTTCCTCATTGTCTGTTGGAGCTGAAAAAGTACATGAAAGACCCAGATCATCAAGGTATTTAATTCTTAACATGAAATGCATAAAACTCCCATTTCAAAGAAAGAAGCCTGGTGGAACAAATCATTCTTAAGTTATCAAAATAAAGCAAAAGTTTGTGGACATAAATGGGAATGAAGCATTTATTGTGAGAAAAATTGAAGACTATTTTTTAGAAATCTCTTTGTGTTGCCATGCTGGATCGTATGATGTGTTATGGTTGCCACTATTAAGACATAATCCCCTCTACACTGATGACACAACACCACATTTTCTTTTAAATTAGAAACTTACCTCTTTATTCTTCTAAGGACTATTCTCACTTGTTCATTCAAATTTTGTTTTCATTTTTAGGGAAGCCAGAAAAGATTCGAGAAACAAAACAATGGCGCAGCCATCAAACAGTGATGTTCTGAATCAAAGTGACAAACTTGATGATGAAGATGACAGAAAAGATTATGACGATCTCTTGAAACAGCTGGAAAAACCAGCACGAAACACTCCAACTACCAAACCAAGCTTGCTAACCAATGATTTAAGGACAAAAGTGAATTCTAATCAATCATACAGCATTGGAGGGAGTGCAAATTCATCTGTTTCAACAGGTTCTAGTGGTTTCTCAGAACCCTCAATGACTACGCCCACAATGTCAAGTGATTCAAAGGCAAAACTCAAAAGTAAAAGGAGGCCTCATGCCACAGGAGGACCAGTGATTAGCTCAGGTTTAGCGGGTAAAAGAGACTTGAGGCTGCGTCCTGGTAGTGGCAGACTTAGCAGCAGTCTATCAGCTCTGAACAATGGAAGCTTGTTTGGAGATGATGAAGTAAGTAAAGAGCAAAACATTGCACAGACCCAAAAACTGGATGCTCAAGATAATCATGTAAGTACAATGTATATGTAACAATTTGAGACCTTTCTGTACCAAGTTCAAATATTGTGCTCTGATTCTCTGTTAGATTTTTGTTCTTGTAGCTGTTGGTAGTCTGGGGTTTTGAACAATGTTAAACTTACATTTAGTTACCTAATGACTTCATGCAAAGCTGTACCGTCTGCCCTCATAAGCTGGCTACTTTCATTTTGACCCTTTAACTCCCATAAGTGACCATGACAGAATTTCTCCTTACAACATCAACACAATATCAAGCAGACAAGTGATGAGAATAAAGAAAAATATTAATTTGTGGGATTATTTATATCAAATTCTCCAAACTAACATCACAAGAACCATATGGCTGACAGTAAGGAGAATTACTAATGAGATCTTGGGAGTTAAAGGGTTAATTTACCATGATTGTGACAATGAAGTATAATACAACTATTTAAATATTATTTCAGTCATTAAGGATGATTTTTACTTTATGTGGCTTCATAGCTCAGCCTATTGCAGCACCAAATCAGTACCTGGTTGGCAATTATATACAATATTTTACAAATCCTGAATCAGTTTCCATTTTCTGCAATGACTTTATAATTTTAGTCTACCTTTAAAATACATTTCATGTAGTAACTGTTGCAAAAAAGAGGAGCTGATTCCAGACTATTTATTTACTTGTCTAATACTCACCTTGAGCTAAGGGGGGGGGGCAGGGCCTAGTTTTTTGTCGCTTTCCCTGTGTGCTTTTCTTCCTTCTGCAATTCTTTTTTTTACTCAGAATTAGGGGGTGCCAATGCCACCCAGGCCTCCCAGGCCCCTCCCATAGATCTGCTACTGTATGTGATTAGACATGTGATTGTTTTTCTCTTGTCTAGATTGATAGGCTTCCTAGGTCACAGGATTTTTCTCTTGATCAAAGTGGCAAAGACAGCCACCAACTGTAAGTACAGGCCTGTTCAAAACCCCCATCTCCTCACCCTTTTTTTCTTCCTCTTTCTATCAATCCATCCCTTTCTTCCCACCTTCTTGGAGGTCCCTTTCTTCTCTGTCTCTCTAACCACAGCTGCACCATGTCTAAGTATGCCACACCTTTTTACTGAACCCTCTACATCCTGACATCAGTATGCACATTCTCTATACAGTTCGCCATCCATTACCTAAGTTGCTGACAGGGAGAATTTGTGCAACAATCAAGAGTTTCTTTCGCTGGTGATCTTTTCCTTTATTCTCATGACCTTAATGTTTGATTCAGGAGTAAATAAGGAGGAATTAAAAGCTAGTCACTCTTAGGGGTTAAATGGTTTATACATTATCTTGTAAAATTCTCCACTGAATAATATGGCCTTAATATGCTGCATTTCAGAGGAGACATTTCTCCAAGGGAATCAAGAAAAACTACATCTCATAGGAGTTCAACAAGGTACTACTTTAACTGTAACAGTAATTTTCTTCTTGATATAGTGGTTGAATAGCTAAAGAATCAATTGTGGTCTGTGTTGATGAGAAATGTTGCTTTTTTCTATTGCAGAAACCAGCCTCCATCTAACTTCAAGGTGCACAAGGTAACTGGATTGTCTGTGTCTCTGTGTCTCTGTGTCTGTTTAAGGTATCGACTGAGCAATAGATATGGTCATGAATATTGTAGTGTGCTGGCAGCCCCCCACCCCCTCATTGCAGGATGTGTGTTTCTTCTCCTATGGGAAGATTTGAGATGAGTCAGGGAAGGGTTTGCCAGGAGTCTGGCTGAGACCTCGTACTGCTCAGAGTAGCTCAATGCCTCATAATTTTCTCTGTAAACGTTCATGCTGAAGAATTAATAAGTAATGAGGGTCTGCTCACAAGCTACGAATATTGTCATAGTATTCCATGACAGGAATGATAACTTAACCCTTTAACTACCATGGGTGACCAAGACAGAATTTCTCCTTACAATAATTATCATTACAATATCATTACAATATCATTACAATATCATTACAATATCATTACAATATCATCACAATATCATCACAATATCATTACAATATCATTACAATATCATTACAATATCATTACAATATCATTACAATATCATTACAATATCATTACAATATCATTACAATATCATTACAATATCATTACAATATCATTACAATATCATTACAATATCATTACAATATCATTACAATATCAAGCAGACAAGTGATTAGAATGAAAAAAAATATCAATTAAGGGATCATAAGTTGATCCAATACCAAATTCTCCTATCAAACATCACAAGACCTGTATGGCAGACAGTAAGGAGAGGTTACTTATGAGAACTTAGGAGTTTTAAAAAGGGTCAAAGGATCATTTGCACTCCACAAATCATTTTTGTAACAATTATCATTATTATTTTTTGCTCAGGCTAAAAGTAGTGATCTGGTGTTTGAAGATGTTGATGAGGATCTTGATCAGGAACTTGCGCAGTTGTCATTAGGTAGGTATACATTGTAAACATATAAATTTTATGGCATTTTTTAGTGAAAGCCATTTATGACCATTTACCCCTACTTTTAAACATCTTAATCAACCTTGCATAACTGTGCTTTACACAGAGTTTTCCTCTTTTTTGGGGTTTTTCTTAGTTGGGACAGTTGTTATCAGTGGTACTTCACTTCTTGTCGATATTCTGCCAATAGAAACCTCAAGTTTTCCTTCCAATAAAAGAAGAAAGAGCGGATTTGAGGGACATTAAGTGGAACTAAACAACATAATGTCAACCTAAGCACTGTTGTTACTATCAATATAATAAAATGGGAAGCTCTTATCATTGTTATCATAACATTCTACAAATTGAATGTGTGATTTTGCTTATACATATGCATTTTTTGTCTCAGGTCCAAAGAAGATTGCCTCAGTTGATGTTCAGAGTAAGCCTATATCGCTAGAAATTGCCATGGTAAGTCAAAGCAGGTAATATTCACCGCTTGAAATGATTCTGGATTGTTTGTTTGTTTGTTTTTTGTTCATACTATATTTTATCTCTTTTTTTTTAATCAGGGTTTGAAAAATCTTATCTTTGGAACTGCTACAGCAAGCTTTAATCCAGAATGGAGGAATCAGAGCTTTTCTTTCTGTGACCTTTATCAACTAGAGTACGGAATTGTTCAACTGAAGGTAATGAAAACGTCGCTTTTGTGGTGAGTCTTGTTGTTTTTGTCATTTGGTCTTACTTCCTCTTAAGAGGAGATGAAATTCCGCTATGGACCAACATCTCGTGAACGAGGAGAAGAAATCAAAAACGGGATGACTTGCCAGATGTGTGATATTTGATTCGTGATATGTGATGCGCACTGCGTGATACGAAATACATAATACGTGATACGATAGTCAGCGTGATGGGATGATTTTCCTCAATCTAGGGAGGACCGTGTGGTGTTCTTGCTGCTGTTCAAGGATTTGTCCTAAAACATTTGCTGTTCGGAGGAAAGAAGGGCGACAGGAAGAAGTAAGCACTATACTCTCTCTTTTCGTTTGGTACCTGCACTTTTGGTAGGCTCTGGTGTATGTGTCTGTGGCAAGATATTGCCATATATATTGATATGTGTCTGAGCACTCTGTTGTTGTCGACAGGAAACTCCAACCTTCGTCCCGAGAGAGAACAAAAGCTCTAACGTCTGCTCTGAGTGAAATTCTTTGGAGGGCAGGAAACAGCAAAACAGCTACCGTGGCTTTGTGAGTTAAGCAGAATTAACCCTTAAACAAGAACTGAATTTTAATTCTCCCTTGTAGCTGCCATAATAGGCTCCCGTGTTTGGGTTACGCCTTGCGACCCCTTTTTCGGGCGCAGCAGACTATTACACCGTCGGAAGCCGCCTAAGGAGAAAGTTATTGAAAGCCTAGAATCTTGCACCATGTCCAGCGCTCAACTGAAATTGCTCCTGTTTAAGAATTTGTAAATTCATGATCGAGGTGAATAAGGAGAGAGCCTGGAGATCACAGGCTAATTTGAATTGCGATGCACCGTTAACGACCACAGAATACTACTTAGAGAGATACAGACTCTTACTCTAGTTCTGATATATAGCAGTTTAGTTTAAATGTCTGTTCTGTGGTTTATTGTTTATTTAAGTGGACTTTGTGTTCTGCAAAATTGACTTATGAATATCTATAATGCGACTTTTAATTATTTTGCCCTCTTAAAGACCTACCGGTGGATCCAACTTTTTCGGTGCTGGAAGATATAAACCTGACCAGCTGACAGAAGCAGTAAGTATTATATTTTCTTCAAGTGGCTAATTCGTCGGAATTTTTGGTTAGTGATAGATACATTCTTTTCATTAAAAATGATAAGAGCTTTTTGATCCAAGTTGTAGGTAAATAAATTGATGTTTTGCAATGTCAACTGTTCATGAATTTCATGATGGTGTGCTTTACCTATCATCAATCTCTTTAGCTTGTTTTACATGATTTCAAGTCTTCGGAAAGTCTTCACAGCTTTCTCTCCCAAAACATAACTCAGGTAAGGTTTGTTACGTTTTAAAATTTATCTGCAAAGACCGGGAAAGACGGCACGCAGTAACTTGCGAGCCATTTGTAGATGTATATTTACAGTGTTTTGAAACCTTAAATGCTATTAATGGCTCCATATATTTTTGAAGCTCGAGGCAAGAACATAAGTTTAGAATTCTAAGAGTTACATGCATATAGGTAGCCTTGAATGTCTTAAAGGTGTCCTTAGCGTGGTTTGTTAAGCAATCAACTCCTTCTAAACCAAGAAAGAACAGGGATGGCCAAGGATGTCTAATGATGGCCAATATTGGCCAGGAATGGAAAATATAGCAACAGATTGCAGATGATGAGCTTAAAAAGCCTAGGAAAAATTTTTCGAGATTCATTCCTCATGAATTTAGAAAAAAATAGCACAATCTACACTTGTGGTGTCGTGTATCATTTGTGATGTGGTATATGCATTCCATATATTTCCTTAGCGAGTCCTCAGTTCTTTAAGCTGATGAGACATTAAGTTAAAAGTCATGATAAAAATAATGGAAAATACAGTTCTTGCTGGATTTCTTACAGCCATGTTTTTTGTTTTACTTTTCAGTTTGAATCTGACAAAAGCAGTGGGTGTATTTTGTTGTTATATTCCGCAATATTGTCAAGATCAATTCAAAAGTACGTGTGTTTTCTCGGTTTTTCTTTCGAAATTTATGGCTCACTTGTTTAGCTGACTAAGTTATAGTATTCGTCTTTTCGTAGGGTAATCTCAGATATGGATGAACCAACAAATACTCTGATGGGAGCCCACGGTTATTGTACGCAGGTTAGTCATAATTAGATTGCCTTGAATAGAGCATCAAGTTGAGAGAGACTGTTTTCCTCGCGTGACTACAGCAGTCAAATGTAACGCATGCGCAAATGAGGTAGTTTTGGCCAGCCGCGCACTAGTTTCCCACGCAAAATTTGAAAGGGAAGTGGAAGAACTAGACGTCGTTACGCGAAATTTACGAAAATAATTTGCAAAAGGAAGGAAAAATGGGGAAAAGAAATCTTGAGACTTGTCGAAAGCAAAATGCGGGTATTCTTTTTACTTACCATTTTCTTTTGAACTTTATCAAAAAAGTTACCACAAAGGCTTCAAAGACAGGAGCTTGATGAACGCAAACACACTAACTACAGTCTCACTCACTTTTCTGCCTGCTTTCTACGCGCAAAGTTCCCGGATATACTTTCCTTTATGCTATACCGCTGGCCTGGTATACTTCACTTTGTCTTATTGACATCCTCTCGTTTAAGGAAATGGTCAACCTAATTGTCACTGGCAAAGCAACATCCAACACATTTGACAACATTATGGAGATCGACACTGGAGGGGCAAAGAAGGTGACGTCTGTAACTTCACTAATACGTTTTGGTAACGAAAGTTGTTCAACCTTGATCAGTATAGAGAAAAATCTTTGATAGGAAGCGTTTTCAGGCACACAAAGACGTGGAACTTCTAACCGGAGCATAGGAGACTCGATAGGCAGCGGCTGTTGGATGGAAGAAGGGACTTCAAAAAGGACTCTAACGACCCTTTTTTTTTTTCGGGGGGGGGGGGGGAGAAACCGTGTAGGGGGAGCAGGGGGGATGTGGAGCCTAGGTGAACACTCGGATGCATGATTTTTCTTTTTCTTTGCTTGGTGCACAATTTCATAGTTCAGTTATCGAGGACTGTAATTGTAAAAACAATTTTTGTCTTTTTCTAAATTCTCCTTTTAAATTATTCCTTTTTCTTAGAATGTATTTAAAGGAATAGAAAAACAAAGCGACATTGGACTTCTGTCGTTATTTGAACACTACAAGTCATGCGAGGTGGGCTACATTTTAGTCACGTTGTCTTTGAACGTTTCATGTTGTAAGGCAGATCAAATATTGTAACCAAATATTGTTGGTAAGTTTTATTTGTTGAGTTCCCCATCGGGCTTCCGTTTTGATCTTATCCAATCTCAGTCATCCTTGTCTTTTCTCGGTGCATTACCAGCTCATTCATCTTTTCTTATCTTACCCAACCAATATATTTTATCTCGGTAGAGTCTGCGGTAGCTTTGTACCGTACAAAGAGTCCTTTCATAATCGTCAAGAAGTTCTTCAAATTCTCTAAGCCCCAGAGTCTACCTATGAAGTCTCCCTAGAAGTCTTCATTCATTTTCTTGTAACAACTGTGGTTAGAATTTGTCACAGACAAGAGCAGTTTCTATTCAGAGATCACTTCCTTCATTCTGACATGTAATAATGTGTTGTTTTTTTTGTAAAGAGAAACTAAAATCTGGTTACACTTTGGGCTCAAAGGATCGATGAAGAGATGATCATGCTGCTGAAAGATTGTTTGTTTTTGTCTCATTTTAAGGTTGGTATCAACTTCAAAAGCCCCAAGTACCCCATCTGGGTCATCTGCAGCGAGAGTCACTTCAGTGTACTGTTCTCTGTGGACAGAAACCTCTTGGATGATTGGTAGGTACTTGTTCCTTTTAACACAATGTGTTAATTGAGGATCGGCATTTGTTACCTGGCTATAAGAACATTTCATTTTTGCATTAAATTCGGGAGGGGATAGTAATGTCGTGATTTAAGTCTATCAACTTGACTTTTTCTCTTACTTTCGTTCTCATCGTTGTACTGTGGAACCTCGCAAACTCAAATTTGGATGACTCGAAATTCGCGCAATTTTCCTTGAAGCGTACTTCGCAGAGAAGTAAAATGAGCTAACTCGAACTCCCTCAGTTTTCCGGACTGTTTTCCAATAGAATGAAGGGGGTAAGGTTCTAAAGAAAGTGTAGTGCTGCGTCATTGGGAGAGTATAACAAGGTAATTTGGTATATCAACTGAGTTGATGATGTAAATAGGCCACCGTAACTGAAGAGTTTAAAAGCTGATGTTTCGAGCGTTAGTCCTTCGTTAGAGCGAATGGCGAATGGATAACGCTCGAAACTCAGTTGATAATACCAAATAACCCTGTTTTACATTTGCCTTGTCAGTTCAACTGAGTAGGGCTCTGCTGTAGCGTTTTTACACGAGTTTCAATTTCTATTCCCTTAACAAATGATTGAAAATGGCGTGCTTCGATAAAACTTGGAAGGTCTGGGTGGAAAACCGATAAAATAACGAAGAGACTGAGTACAATCCAAGCCTTTCGTGGTAATACAACTTAGCTAATAACAAATTTTAATGATTTTTCTTTTTCGCTGTGTAGGAAGTTAGAAAAGAAGTTTGATCTTTATTACTATGACGGTCTGGCCCGCCAAGAGGAGGAAATCAAACTAACAATAGGTAAGGTCGTCATATGTAAAATCAAAACTCGTGCCTCAAGCGTAGTCGGAGAAATGCGGGTGACGAGGGCGCGATTTGTTTTTGTTTGGCATCTGATTGGTTCAAAATGGGTGTGAAGCGTTATTTCTTGACCAATCACAGAGCGGGAAACAAAAGTAATCCTGGATTACTTATTCGACTTTAATACATTCAATGAAAATAAGAACAGAGAATATATATGGCGTCACACTGGTTTTAGCAGTGTTGCCGTCTCAGAATATAACTGGCTAAGTTACGCTATGATGTGAAAACTGTTTTGGCAATTACGAGGAGAAGGTCTGTAGACTCGAAATATTTTCAGGGTGAAATATTGTTGAGATTTGCTCAGTGAATGATGTTTGACTCTTACCGGTGGTTCCCACAATCAAACAAGTCATTATATTATAAATGTAAGCCATTTTAACAATAGATTTGGCATAGTACTCATGTTCATACTTAAATCTATTCATTTGGCGTTAACTAGATACAACAAGGGAATGTCCTGATTACAAAGACACCGATCTTGTCCCTCCACTAGAACACTGCATTAGAACAAGGTTTGTAAATCATAGTGATTTAAGAGAGAATTTTTTTGTTCTGGAAGCCTGCCCAGGTGCTCAGTTAGAATTTAGCGTTGCAAAGAAAAACACGCGGAACAAATGCAAGGGTGAAGAAAGCTTGTTCAAACCTCAGTCTTTTGCGATCATTTTCCTGAAGGCCTGGATCGTTTCAAAATGACGCCTTGCAAAAAAAAAAAAAAAAAACTTCAAGTAAGAACTATCCTTCTGAATTTAATACAAAACATTTTCACGTCTTTGCTGAATGCTAGCCTAACCAGGAGTGGATATTCCTATAGGCGACCCTATACCCTTTATGTGGACAAGTGCAACTGAAGTCTGTCCCAGGCCCTTCCAATTCTTCAGTAATATTTTGATCGCTAACCTTTAATTCGTGCTAAAGGACAAACAATCGACTTTGGACCATAGCCATTCCTACAACGTCTGTAATAAATTGCGAATCCGATATGTTTCACCAAAGAAATTATATTTGCCACTTTCTCTGCAGATGGAAAAATGCTGTAGTAGACTGGAATGGATCGGAGCCAATTTTGTGATGTTCGCTTGCGTGAATTCAATAAAACCAGGGGTTCTTTTGTGGGTGGATCTACTAGCAGGAATTTGGAAAATGCCTGTGAGAGATATTCCTAAAAATATTTTTAGCGTAAAGTGCATGGAATCTCCCCAGAGATAGTTAGTATTGGATACCTGAGGAAAACGTCCATTTGACTCTTTTTTGTTGCAATGGCATTGTTCAATATGGAAATAAACAAACAGATTAACGGTGCGAGTTGCTTAGTAATCTCTGTAATGTAGTAACCGACATGGTAAATAGCAATTCATTTTCTCTCACATTCACGTCTACCTGACCAATCTATAAAATCGATAATTGATAAAAATTGATAGCAGTCGTACCAACATTTATGGATTTCCATTGAGAGATTTTAATGAGCAATAGGGGCACAGAATGGTCCTTGCGAGTGTTAGAGCACTCTGTTCTAATTTGCAGTGATTACGATTTTCATGCACGATTTTCACAATTTTAAATTGCCATGTTCTATGGCGATGATCCTTGTTTAATTTCTCGCCGTTTTTCGTTATTTCGTCTTCGTTTTTAAAATAATTGGGATATACGGCTAATTCGGCGCAAGGAAAAACTACAGTTTTGTGCGTGAAACCTTCAAACCCCTAGTTACACGAACGTAATTTCATGCAAACAGGAAACCAACCATTCATGCGAGCAACTGCAAAATTTGTTCGTGCACCAGCATGCTATCGAAAGGTCTATTTGAGCTTAAAAATTTATTGGTAGACCATTTTAGAACATTAATATTCGAAGGAAAATTTTAGGCCTCTTAAAATGATCCACTTTTGTAGATGTAATAATTGCAAAGAGGTTTTATCCAAAGCAAAATTATTTGAACAGCTGCTGTGCTCATTAATTGGGGTTTGTGGTCCCACTTGGGGTTAATAAAAGAAAACAATCCTAGCTGACCCCTTGTTTCCCCAATAAGTACCATGCGAACATCCATTTAATACTGCAATTCTCGAAAATCAAATGAGGATATAGACAAGATCATTGATAGAATAATTATTAAGAGGACAGAAATAATTTAAAATAGAAATGAATTTAATATCTTTACTTTGCAATGTATAAAAAATTTCATGCCTTCCATTCAACCATCCTAAGCTAAATTGAAATTAAAGCATAACCTGGATGAAGAACATTGCAACCTAATGAAGAATAAAAATGTACTAGTGATCCAGTCGTTTCTCCTGCCACGGTTGGCATAGGGAACTGGTATCTGCTTTCGCGGCAAAACAACAAGGGACGTTGCATTGTGTTATCGCTTTGTTATGTTCTTTTTAGTAGCCGACAATGAACGCATTTTGGCACCAAAATTTGAATATGAATAGAATACCATCAAAACTTATACCAGTTATATATTGACTTTGGTTTTTCAGTTTACATTGTAATCATTCAACGCTTCCCTAAGTTATCTGAAAAAAAAATTTAGGTTTTTTTTAATTGCATTCGATGGTGAAACCTTTTTCAGTCAGATGCAAATGCTGACACAATGACAAGCTTTAAAAATTGTTTTGTGCTCTTGTATATGTCTCTTTACATATTTCCATATTTCAATATATTTATTTACAGATATATTGATATGGATGTATAGATACGTGGTGAATGATCGTGAACATTAAAAAGAATTAGACAGAAGCAAAGCAATATTCAAACTCATCAATTATTTGGTATGATGTAAACTTTCCTTAAGTTGTCCCAAGAGTCAAGTTTGGTGATAATTGGCCAAACACCTCTATGCCAACAAAACGAAAGTAATTATACAACAAACCCGCTTAATTATTCTACAAGTCCATGTTCAACGACACCACTCTTAAATCGCAAGTGCAACCATGTTGGAAGAGCTGGCATGGGTCTTTCTAGCAGTAATCGTTGTTAAATTGATCTTGGATCACTTTACTGCCAACAAAAATCTTCCACCTGGACCATTTCCGCTCCCGATCATTGGTAATGCGCACAAATTGGCCGCTGATTCACGCCATACTGACCTTATGAAACTTGAAAAACAATACGGCAAAGTATTTCGTTTGTATCTCGGTAATCAGCTCGTGGTAATCGTTAGCGGTGGAGAAGCGCTGAAAGAAGTTCTCGTCACAAAATCGGCCGATTTCGCTGGACGTCCGAATCTCTACACCTCACAGGTTTATTCAAAGGGAAAAGCAATCGCGCTGGCAGATTATTCTCCGGAATGGCGACTGCATCGCAAGATTGCTGTCTCTGCGCTCAAGATGTACAGCAACAACAGAATAAACCAAGGATCCGTAATCAATGAAGAGTTTGATCTGCTGTTAAAAAGGGTCCATGCCAGAAATGGTCAACCACATGACATCACAAGAGAGATACGACTGGCTGTGACGAATGTGGTTTGTGCTGTAGTGTTCGGTTCGAGATTCGAACTTGACGACCCGGAGTTCACAAAGTTCTTAGACATCACCAATGCTTTGGCGAAGATGGTCGCGGCTGGGAGCATTGTGGACGTTTTTCCTTGGCTCGGTTGGATCCCATTTAAGTCTCTTCAGAATCTAAGGGAAAAATGCAAGGAACGAGATGAGCTTCTAGGAAAGAAATTTGTTGAACATGTGGAGGCGAACAGAGTGTTACATCCACAAGACCTGACAGATTCGTTATTGAAGGCAAGAAAGGAAGCTGAGGACGAAGACTCCGCTGTCAAAGGATTCCTCTCTGACGAACACCTAATTATGACCATGAGCGACATCTTTATTGCTGGAATGGAGACCACTGCAAGCACCTTGTGTTGGGCACTGATACACTTGATTCACAACCCTGAGGTCCAGCAGATGCTGCATCAAGAGCTGGATCACGTCATTGGCCCGGATCGTTTGCCAGAACTAGGAGACAAGAAGAATCTTCCGTACGTAGAGGCGACCATAACAGAAACTCTGCGCATCTCCTCTCTTGTACCTTTGTCAGTTCCTCATAAGGCAACAGTAGACACCTCTCTGCAAGGATACTGTGTTCCAAAGGGAACCACAGTTTTAACTAATCTATGGTCCATTCACCACGATCCGGATATCTGGGATGAACCATACAGCTTCAGGCCTAAAAGATTTCTTGATGAAAATGGCAATTTCGCTGCACCATCATTTGACCGTTTCCTGCCCTTTTCTGCGGGGCGCCGTGCCTGCTTAGGAGAGCCTTTGGCACGGATTGAGCTTTTTCTGGTCTTTGCACGTTTGTTGCACAACTTCAGGTTTGAGAATCCGCTCGGATTTGATCTTCCATCCGTTGAACCCATCGTAGGAATCGTTCTGCAACCACAACCGTTTAAAGTCTGTGCTCTGAAAAGAAGAGATGTCACGCATTCCAAGTCATGAAAAGAAAAATAGTTCGTGTGTTTCTTGTTTGTATAAAGGTTGACAAACTATTTGACAGCAGTGTTAAACCATTGTGTGGTATATTAGCTATGTATTTCCATTGCATTCAGTGAGAAACTTTTCATCTTAAGAATGCCTGACTCATGATGAAGCCAAGAGAACGTACTTCAAAACGGTCTATGTTCTCTTGTCGAAACATGGAAGGTTTCACTGTACATATATATATAGTAAAGTCAATGGCTGTTGATTTTACCGATACTTTTTTTCCAATACAAATCTTTATTTACGACATATATTACTTGCGATACATAAACTCTATTACAACACGTTATTTACACGCACTCATTTCCTAACAACACATTCCATAAATTACGCTACTTCAATGAGCTGCGTACATTGAAATCCCATGATTATTACACTATTTACAATGTTTACATTAATCGAATACTGCATTTCTGACATTAGTAACATCAATTTCATTATTTTGAATATGTTAAAAAAATTTTAATTCTATTACCAAGAGTTGATGAATAACTCTGCAGATACGTTAGTTTTCGTATACTATTTGAACCGTGAGATAATCTCTTGAACAATTTCCTGATTCTGTATTGTTTGTAAATATTTTAATCATCGCGCCAATTTTGGTAGTAAATGATGGTCAGAGGCGGTATTGGTTATTCTTTATTTCGCACTCATTTGAGCTACTCAGGATGCTTTGAAACTTTGTCTCTAGCTTTGAGAAAGAGAACACACCGCATACCTCCATAGCCCCGTTATTTCCACGAGGTCTAACCCAAAACACGGTTTTACGCAGTCAGTGGGCCTCAGTCTTTCTCCAGAAGAGGGTTGATTAAATTAAATAATAATCCTTCCACTTTTAGTTTACGGCCCTCTTGACACTGTTCTCAAAAATGAATGTTCAAATAAAAGATTCAGTTAAATCGAAGATTGTCTAGGACGCGGTTTTTTGGAACAGCGGCTTAACTTTGTTTAAATAACCGGCCCCTTAAGTGTGGTGATGAGGTGAATAAATGCGAAAGTACGTACGGAGAATACCCCTTATCTACCACAAGTAATGTTCACTGTGCATGTGCTGAATAGTTCTCTTAGAAAAACCAATTAGCTCTGTATTTCAGGTACTCCTTTTGGAGTAAGTTTATACGCATTTAACGAAAAGACTGAGGGGCCTTTGGTGTGCGTTTATCAATTTGCTTATACAAATCAAACCAATGACTTACTCACAAAGAAACGCGTGATACTTGGCTTACCCTACATCCTGTTTCAAAAAAATTTGACACAGGCTCTTTAAATACGCGGTTTATTATTATCATTTTCATCATCATTGTCACCATCATCATCCATTGTTTCATCAAAAAATTTGACACAGGCTCTTTAAATACGCGGTTTATTATTATCATTTTCATCATCATTGTCACCATCATTACCAATACCATTTATATAATCTGATCATTGATATCATGTGGCAGTAAAACGTAAGGATGCCTCCTTAAATAAGATATTGACAAGGCGCAATCGCGTAGGTTGTCATTACCATAGCCTAAAATAATTCATAAAATAAAGAAATTCTCAAATGATATTAGAAACCCAAAAAGTTATGGGTAAAAGTTTGGCAAGTTCGTAGGTCCTGCGCAGTGAGAACTTTGAAACTCCGTGCAATGTTAAGGGTACTTGAGATGACTGCCTTTTGCATATCCAGTAAGATCTTATCTGCTTCTTCTTCTTCTTCTTCTTCTTCTTCTTCTTCTTCTTCTTCTTCTTCTTCTTCTTCTTCTTCTTCTTCTTATTATTATTATTATTATTATTATTATTATTATTGTTATTGTTATTATCATTATTATCGCTTTTACTAGTTTGTGTCGTTTGGGTGGCCATCATTGTGCTTGTAAGTTTAACCGTCATTCCAGTGATTGCGCGAACAAATGAAATCTCTTCAGATTCTTTCAAATCAGCCTTTTATTTATTTTTATTTATTTATTATTAAATCATTGAAAAAATCAGGTTTTCTACATATTTGCCTTCAACACTGTGTTTTTAAAATTTTTACGTGCAGCAAGCACCACGGAAGAGGAAGGAAAAAATACGTGCTCAATGCTCCTTGACATTTGATTTTCCTCCAACCCTTTCACCCTTTGACTCCCAAGATCTGATTGTTAATTCTCCCCTCTAGCTGTCACACAGTTTCTTGTAAATTGGTTTTGAGAATTTGGTAAAAGATCAATTTTACAACTCCTTCCTTATAAGTTTGAATATTCTCATTACCTACTTGCTGAATAATGTATGGACATTGTAGGGAGAAGTTACAGTTAGTCACTTTTGCTGGGAGTCAAAGCGTTAACTCCTAAAGTGATTAACATGCAACTTCCTTCTTAAATGTCCACTCATTATCTAGCAAACAGGTAATGAGAATACTTACATTTATCAGGGAAAAGTTGCTATCTTGATCTAATACCAAATTCTTGTCACCTATTTACAAGGAAATGTGTAGCGACTGGAAAGGAGGATTGACAATCAGATCTTGGGAACGTTAAAGCATCCAAAGCATCTTACGTACTTGGACTAATGGATAACCTGCTGATGTCACAACTGAACTTAAACTGAAAGTAGTCGGCTGCAACATGCAAAATTAATTATTTCTGGTTTATGCCGTCGATAAATCAAGTCAACTCTCCCTTAAAGACTACTACTACTTTATTAAGCGATCTCGTCCTGTAATTAACCGCTTTCTGTCTCATACAGATCTCTTTAAGCGACGGCGCCTGCTATCGATGCAAAGAAGTCGACAAAAAGTTTTTTGTTTTCGATAAGAGACCATTATGAATCATTATGAAGGTTTTGCGAAATCTTTCCGTTACACAGATGTTACAAAGATTTGTTTTGTGGAAGAAACGAAACGTACAGTATTCTTACCCAAGAGAATATCACAGTTAATATTCTCTTGTCCTATCATATTGCCAGGTTTTTTGGATAACTGATTTTACCATGATCTAAGGAGGAACACCGTAATTTCGAAATGCAAAGGTACATGTCTTAAAAGCCAAGAAAAAATGGGTGCCTAGCAGACCGAAGAACGTTGACTGATTACGAATACACTTGTCAAGGGGAACTTTAACAATTGACAAACGCAACAAAAGATTTATTGGATTTAATCACTTTCTGGCTCTTTTTGTAAGGAGACAATCTTCATTATAAGCGCCGTTTTTACAATGACATAAGAGAAAACTTTTTTTTTCCGTAAACTTGAAAATCGATACATCAATAGCAAAAGTGAATCCAGATAAAGCACTGATCATTTGTATTCTACAGGAAAGCTCTAAGAGTTAGAGATGTAAGAAGAATAACAAACGTCCTTTAATTCAGAGTGGAGTCAAACAAACTTTATGGTCTTTTAGTCATCGTGTCTGACGGTAGCACACACTTTAAATGGCTGTGGTGTCAACAAAGCTCCCGTGTTGGGCTTTAGGGTGGGAAGATCGTAGCCGGGCGGATTCTCAAATCTAAAGCTGTGCAATAATTGTGCCAAGATCAAGAATAGTTCAATACGTGCCAACGATTCCCCCAGGCATGACCGACGCCCTGCTGAAAATGGGAGGAAGCGATCCTGTTTTGGAGGAACGAACTTACCATCCTTGTCGAGGAACCGCTCGGGCATAAACTTGTCGGGGTTATCCCATATTGCTGGATCGTGGTGAAGGGACCACAGATTAACTAATACTGTTGTACCCTTCGGAATATGATATCCTTGTAAAGTCGTATCCACTGTTGCTTTATGAGGAGCTGATAAGGGCGCCAGAGACGAGAGACGTAGAGTCTCAGCGATGGTGGCCTCCAGATACGGTAGATTCTTCTTGTCCTGCAGTTTCGGTAAACGATCTGGGCCAATGACTTTATCCAGCTCTTGGTGTAACCTCTCCTGGATCTCATTGTTGTGAATAAGGTACAACAGCGCCCAACACAGGGTGCTTGCAGTGGTATCTATTCCGGCCAAGAAGACTTCCCCCATAGTCATGATGAGCCTCTCGTCGGTTAAGGATCCTGTAACAGATGAGTGTTCGTCTTCAGCCTGTTTCCTCGCCTTCAATAGCGTATCTGTCAGGTCTTGAGGAGCTGCAACTCTATTCGCCTCCACATGCTCTCGATAAATTCTTCCAACCAGCTCGTCTCGCTCTTTGCATTTCTCTCTCAAAAGCTGAATGGATTTGAATGGATAAAATCTGAGCCAAGGGAAAACATCCACTATGCTTCCAGAAGCAATCGTGTTTTCTATGGCGTGCATAATATCCAAGAAATTTGTAAACTCAGGGTCATCTAGTTCGTATCTTGAGCCAAACACCAATGCACATATCACATTTGTCACAGCCAGTTGTATCTCTCTGGTGATATCGTGAGGCTGTCCGCTTCGGGCGCGGACTCGTTTCAAGAGAAAGTCGAACTCGTTAGTGATGATGGACTCTGGCTTTCCTCCGCGTGCACTGTACATTTTAAGTGCCGAGACGGTGACTTTGCGATGCAGTCGCCATTCCGATGAATAATCCGCCAGAACGATCGCCAATCCCTTTGAGTAGACATCTGCGGTGAAGATACTCGGACGTCCAGCGAAGTCGGCCGATTTGTGGACAAGAACTTCTTGAAGGGCATCTCCACCACTGACAACTATAACGAGCTGGCTTCCAAGATACAGGCGAAATACGTTGCCATATTGTTTTTCCAATTGCATGAGGTCAATATGTCGTGACTTAGCAGCAAGTTTGTGTACATTTCCAATAATCGGTAGTGGAAAAGGACCTGGGGGCAGTTTCCTAGAGGCAGTGAAATGATTCACGAACAGCACAACGAGAATTGCCACCAAAACAAACCAAATCAGCTCTTCAAGCATGGCAGCAGTTGCGAATTTGTGGTTGAAGTGCTATTTATAGTTTGTTTTGTTACATTTTTCAACTATGGCGAAATTTGCAATTGAAATTTAATATTTAGTACAATGGAATACCTTTTGACCCGTTGTTGGCCTCTTTGTCAAGTTGTCTATATGAAAATTTTTGATGATCGATATTGGGCGTTCGTGTCACAATCTCTTCGGGGAGACTCAAGAGACAACCATATGGTTGACATCCTCATGTTATACATATCAACCTACAGACAATCCTACTACACTCATTACGTAGAAGCTCTTTGTAGACTAATTTTTACACTGCTTGTTCTTTAAGAAACGAATTAATTCAGCCACGCATCACATGAACCGCGGAATGCAAGGTCACGCAGCCTCTCATAATTATTTAAGAAAAGGCCTCAAGATGCAAAAGGGCATTATCCAAGTATTCTCAACATAACTGCAGTAAAGCAACCGTTTTACCATCTTTTGAGGGTCGTCTACTCTACCCTTAAATCAGTTTACACAATCAAAAATCTGATCATAGGTTAGAGGTGAAAATGAAAACAAAGGGGTTGTGATTTATTCATTGTGTAGCCTTGGAAATCATTATTTTAAGATATTGATTTCAATTTTGGGGCAGAATAAAATTACTTTACTTTCCATAATAGCTTTAGGTTAAAAAGAAGCTTAGAGTGTATTGCCAAGTTCCCTGAACGTTTTACAGGAGGTGTTCGATATACATCCCAGTATTATTCTTTCCAAAAATATATTTGAACGGTTGCGTCAGAACTCCAAGGGAGACAACGATTGTCAATGAGTTGAAATAATTAAATAAAGCCGTGTATTTCAAGAGCCAGGGACACGAACGTTTTGAGAATTTCAGCTTCATAACAAGATGTCGCAATAGAGGATCTAGAACGCAGTCAGTGACAGATGGCTTGCCTTAAAAAGGCAAACACACCGTCTTGGTCCGGTACAAAAGGCTTGAAAAGCTGTCCAAAATCAAAGCAAGACTTGACTAGGATATTGCGTCATTCTTTGTATCAGTTTGCCTCTTTGGAATACTAAAAATTTAAAGCTCTAATGATTTGCTTAAATTTTGTTACTGATATACTTAGGCCTAAACCATTAATCAATTAAGATGCCAAAAGAGCGATGAAATTTCCTTTTGTATTCACCGTTCACCGACCGATTTAATTTCAATTGTAAATCTTGGTTGATACTTCCCCTACCTCCCCTCTCCCTCTTCTCCTCTTTAGAGAAGATTCAAGAGACAAACGCCCTAGAATCATAGATATAAAAGGATAAGTGAATTCTTCTTCTCTAACCGTCACTAAGACGGAATTACGGTTCCAAAATCGAAATATTTGAGACTTTCCGCGTGGTAACCAATCCAAATATCCGTATCAAATAGCTCGCGACAGGCGGTCATCCATCGGTATTTCTGCTTGTGCTAAAATTAGTACTTTGCCTCGAGATTCATCATGATTGAACAACTGCTTTGGTTTGTTTTAGTGGTTATTCTCGTTACACTGACTGTGAATTATTTCATTGCCACCAAACATCTTCCTCCAGGTCCATTTCCACTACCGATTATTGGAAATGCGCACAAACTGGCTGCCAACTCACGCCATGTTGACCTCATGCATTTGGAAAAACAATACGGCAAAGTATTCCGCCTGTATCTTGGAAGCCAACTCGTTGTAGTTGTTAGCGGAGGAGATGCTGTTCAAGAAGTTCTCGTTACAAGATCGTCCAACTTCGCTGGACGTCCGAGCATTCACTCCTCGGAAGTTTATTCTAAAGGAAGGGCAATCGGGTTCGCTGATTATTCTTCCGAATGGCGACTGCACCGCAAACTAGCCCTCTCGGCATTGAAATTGTACGGCGCAGGCGGGATAAAGCAGGAGGCCATCGTCACTAATGAGTTTGACTTGCTTATGGAACGTGTCCGCTCCAGAAATGGGCAGCCCCATGATATCACCAGAGAGATACGACTGGCTGTGACAAATGTGATATGTGCCTTGGTGTTTGGCTCAAGATACGAACCCGATGACCCCGAGTTTTTAAAGTTTTCAGAGATCACCAACTCGATAGTGAGTATGCTTGCGGCTGGAAGCATAGTGGATGTTTTCCCTTGGCTTAGATTTTATCCATTCAAATCCATTCAGCTTTTGAAAGAGAAATGCAAAGAGCGAGACGAACTGGTTGGAAGAATTTATCGAGAGCATGTGGAGGCGAATAGAGTTGCAGCTCCTCAAGACCTGACAGATGCGCTACTGAAGGCAAGGAAAGAGGCTGAGGAAGAAGACTCGTCTGTGAGTGGATCCTTTACCGACGACAAACTCGTCTCGACCATGGGGGAAGTCTTCATTGCTGGAATGGAGACCACTGCAACTAGCTTGTGCTGGGCGCTGCTGTACCTAATTTACAACCCTAAGATCCAGGAGATGTTACATCAAGAGCTGGATGAGGTCATTGGCCCGGATCGTTTACCGGAGCTCCGGGACAAAAAGAATCTACCGTATCTGGAGGCCACCATCGCTGAGACCCTACGTCTCTCGTCTATTGGGCCGTTGGCAATTCCTCATAAAGCAACAGTGGATACGACTCTACAAGGATATCATATTCCGAAGGGTACAACAGTATTAGTGAATTTGTGGTCCCTTCATCACGACCCAGCCATCTGGGATGACCCCGACAAGTTCATACCCGAGCGGTTCCTCGACAAGGATGGTAAGTTCGTTCCTCCAAAACAGGATCGCTTCCTCCCATTTTCAGCAGGGCGTCGGGCATGTCTAGGAGAATCTTTGGCACGAATTGAGCTGTTCTTGATCTTGGCTCGATTACTTCACAGATTCAGATTTGAGAATCCGCCCGGCTCTGATCTTCCCACCCTGGTGCCTATTGCAGGGCTTGTGTTGATGCCTCAGCCATTCGAAGTGTGTGCGTCTTGCAGGCATGAAAGCTGACTGAAACAACAGGGAATCTTCTTACGACTCTAACGGTTACCGTGTTCACTTGACTCAATGCTGGACTCTTAGCAAAATGTGGCATCTGTTAGAAGCTCTTACGGAGAAAGAAAAAAAATTGATATAACATACCATAGACGTTAGGGTGCACCTCGCTAATCTACACCACATCACAACCCACACAATCAGGTCTTAGTGATATCTTTTGTGACATCCAAGATTACCACTGTTATGAAGATAAACATTCTTAGAAAGGTTAGGGATGTAATTCGGTTACTGGAGCATTATTCAAGTAACACTCTGGAACGTTCTAAATATTCTACTGAGCAATAAAATCTAGTTACTAAAGCAGTTTCGTGTTACACTCTGGATCGACTTTGGAATTTTAAGATTTATCCTACTGAGCGATAAAATAATGTTGTATTTCTAAAAGAAGAATTGTTTGCAAGCTTCCGTTACCTTCATGCATGCTTCTTAAAAGCAAATAACGAGTCACTCTTTGTTGCTGTCGGCAAAGGTCAGCTATTAAGAGAGGCTATAAAGAGCTGTTGTCGTTACCTGTGGAAGCTTGTCTTCAGTCAAAAGTTTTAGAAGAGATTTGAAGATAGTAAGGTTAACCGTGCGTTTATATCAGTGGTGAAAAAAGTTTACGTCAGTAGGGGGGAAGGGGTCAAGTAAAGTTTGTAGTAGGTGGGAGGGGTTCAGTAAAGTTTGTAGAGGGGGGGAGAGACTAAGTAAAGTTTGTTGTAGGGGAAGGGGTTAAGTAAGTTTGTAACAGGGGGAGGGGTTAAGTAAAGTTTGTAGTGGCGTTAGAAACTGTAGTATATGTCAGTTAGTCTAAATTGATCGACTTTTCTACGTTATTTCGATTTCTGCTTATAACACCAGTATGCAATATATATATATGCAGCATGTGTTTTATGCCTCTTGAGGGTCTTGTTCTTTGTACTTGCAAGCCCCTCGGTTCTGTCTTCTGTGCTTTTCTTAACAAGCTTGTAGCTGTGAGTGAAAGTTGACCAAGCGTTGTATTGGAATCGTACAATCACGTGATTAAACAGAGACGTAATTAAAAGGCGTATTACAACCTTTTACGTTTTCGACAGCCGACTGTGTTTTTTAGGGGTTGCTTTGACAGTTACTTAACAAATTAAAATACAGTCGAACCTGTATTAAGCGGTAACCCATAGGGAATGGCGGGGTAACCGCATAATACAGGTTGGCCGTCTAATACAGGTTGACCAGCGAATGACTTGCTTGATTTTCTCTTGTGCGTAACATTTGCTCTAACAGTCTTAAGGGCGAAGATAATCGGCCAAGCGTTGAAAAAGTAAGAACTGAAAGCATTAACATTAATTCCGGAAGATAACCGACCGATAATACGATGCTGCTCCATACAGATTTTACTGTATACTAATAATGAAATTAGTTAATTTTTACGAGATAGATGTTTTGGGTATTTTCAGTTTCTTTCGGCTAGATTATACCGTTATACCATAGCAACACTACAACCTTTCAAATACACTCTTCTTTTTGATTTTCAAGTTTTGTGCCGGTCGAAAAAAAGGAAAAAAAAAAGAAAAAAAAAAAAGGAAGGGTCCCTCATCATTATCCCGTACTGAATAAGCTGTCATTGAAGCTTAACAAGTTTAAAAATAGTTGGCGATAGAAACAGGTTTCCTTGTATCCGTACTATTTTGGAAAGCGAGGGAGAGGTGGGGCGCTTATTCGAGGGGGGGGGGGTGGCCTTGTTTAATAGTATGGCTTACAGGGCTCGCACTTATTCGGGTAAGAAAATACGGTAATCATTTTAAAACGTAAAAAAGGGGGAGACAGAAAACGAAGGACAAAAAGGGCGACGCAGAGAAAAACTACATTTCACATTGACACATTCATCTAAAACAACTTCAAGATATGTGCTAACTCCTAGAAATTGGTCTACAATTTTTTCTCTTCCAATTGGAATTGCGATAATATCATTTTCTCCAAAATATTAAATATAATAAAGGATTGTATAACATTAAATATAATAAAAGATTGTATAACAATATTACTTTCCATTTTTTTTTCAGCACACTCATTTTGCGCGTGTCCAAATAACCCGGTGACGTAATTATATCAATTCATCAAAATTCTGAATACAAATTGTTCTTGATACCATCACTAAAAATTTTCAAGAAAATTCAATAGTTCGTAAAGTGCATTTCGAACGCAGTATATCTCACTGGGCTCAGCTGTTCGAAGGCTGCTTAGCGCTAACCCGGGGTTAAATTTTAATCCGAGTTTCTTCATCCCTCTGTTCAAAAGCCTTTCAAGGATAATTTTCTCTCTTCTTTGAAAGGCATCCAGTCATCAAATTGTAGACAAAAATATTTGTCCTAAATTTTGTTTTAAAGCCTTCAGATCTTCAACCAGATTTCTCATTAACTCTGAGGTATTTTAAGAGCCTTACAGCACTAGCGAAAAAGTTGTCTATTTAGACAAATTTTCTGTCGTCACTAACATTTTACAAGTGCGAATGGTTTGTCGCGACTTGAAAAATTTTGGCCGAAGCGGACACATCTTCAAACGCACTTTGACAAAATTGTCCCAGTTAAAAACTGGAAAAAATCGACAAAATAAATAAACCGTAATAACCCTGTCGATCATTTGTCGTTTAAGCTACGACCAGCGTGTAATTGAACAGAAGTCAGTTTACAAGAAAGGAAAAAATTATCTTTTTTATGCAAAACTCGGGGATTCTAAAATTTTAAAACGACTAGTGCGGAAAGGGCCTTAACCAAGCTTTGAACAACAAGACCCTGACCTCTTAAATCCTGGAATGATTTACCAGCAACTTCACCCGACTAGACCAGTGCAGTATACTGCAATCGAGCGAATAACCTTTTGTCCTTACAGTGATCATCATCTAATTTCTCCATACCATATCACCCCTGAATCAAACGTTACGGTCAAGGGAATAAAGGAAATGATCTGCAACTCATGCAGCTCTAGATTCTTAAACAAATTCTCCCTGTCAGTACCATGTGAAGCGGTGAAAAACAGTACGGAGAATAAACATATCAATGTTAGGGTGTAGAGGGTCAAAAACACGATAACAGGAGTGTTAGGTTGACGTAACACCAAATTTCTTGGAATAATTTGCAAGCATCTGGAAAGCAACCAGAAAGGAGAGTTAAGATTCAGACTTTGGGAATTCAAGGGCCTCTCTCTCTCTATGTGCTTGCTCAGCCTCATCTCCAAAGTTATTCCTGGAAACGAGGTTGGAAAGGTATTGGATGACGTCAAAAATCAATTGCATTGACACCATGAATCCAATTCAACAATTCAACAGGTGATTGTACAACTGTCAGTACTCTAGAGGACCTATAACCGGCCACATTGGCAGGTCATCGGTGAGGAATTCGCTCTTAGTTCCGACTATTATCACCCAATCTAAAAACAGTACACGCACTCGAGATCACTCCGACAGGAGCTAAGCTCTGACACACTTCAAAGTCCGTCTACTGGGGAGTACCTACAGGACGCCAACTCCAATCGAAGGTATTTCAGCCTTCAGCGATAAAAGAAAAACCACTGAATCGACAGCTAAGGTGACGTTATCCGCATGTACTTCTCTCCGCTGACAAACTCCCCATCAGAGCTTCCTGCCATGTTGGCTTCGCTTCTCTTCCGCGGTCTGATGTCCGGGTCGTCCACAGTACCGTGGGTCGCACGACCTTCCTCGTGATCCACAGGCTCAGACTTGATGCGGATCAGCGCTGGGCACGGAGGAGTTCCCCTGTTCTGCGTCCTTGTGGTCCCTCGATTAAAATTTGTCAGCGTTTCCAAAGTCCGCTCCAGTCTCTCACGTCTCGTTTGATGCTCCTCGGTGCCAAATTGATTTCCAGTTCTCTCACTCTTTACCGGTGATGACGTCATGCCCTCATTGTTGCCCGTGTGCGGATCATGAGAGCTTCCATACAAAGTGTCACTGTTGACATGAAGGCGAGGCTCCTGGTGACGTAACAACGACGCCTCGGCCACTTGGAGTCGTCGAACTTCCTCGTCAATCAATCGCATTTGCCACGACCAATGAGTGTTGTACAAGAACGGTCGGAGATCGAATCGATTGTCGTCCGGGGAGTAGTTTTCTGCGTGGTAGGCAGGTGTCAGGGTTGTCATTTTGTGCCGGTTGATTGAGTATGCGCGGAAGAAACGTTTAATTTTCTCAGCCACTTTGGCAGGAGTATAAGTTCCTCGCCAGGTGTGGATTAGTTTGCAGAACATGCTGTACGGTCCACAACGAGTTACCTTCCTTAAGCAACCGAACATTGAGAGTTCGTCGTAAGTCATACCCATATCCTCCTGAAGAGGAAATTTAAAGTTAATATTGCCTTTGGTCCAATGTAAACGAGGCAGACCGAGAAAAGAAAAATTCGAACCTACGATCTTTCGAGCACCTGTCCCGATGCTCTGCCCCTAAACGATCGAAGACTTTTGGGAACCAAGCCCCGTTTCTCGATAAACTCAATAATTTAACGGGCCCGAAGCAACGTTTTAACATCAAAATTTTAAGATTAGAGAAACAGGTTCTGGCACTTTTAAAAGCCCATTGTTTCTTTTACTGATATTTTAAGAGCAGAATTTATAAAATCTTTCCAAACTCTCATCTTGAGGTAAAAAAAAAAAAAACAGCTTTACGGGCCTGTGAAGTTGCCGGAACCTTCGAGAAACGACCACCACACCCTTTAACTACTTTCATGCGTTAAAACAATCTGCTCCCTTCTGAGAAAATTTGGAATTTAATTGTGAAGCCTTGGCGTCAAAATGGAAATGTGGTATATTTTTAAGCGATGAGAGGGGACGACTTCGTGATAGGGGGCAGCCAAGGATACATGTTGCCAAAAACTAAGGGAAGAATAATACGACGTAATCACTATGAAATAATCTCCTCCCTTGCACGTCTCTGAATCAACAAGCAGTTTCAACTCGTACCTTATTCAACTTCGATCCCAGGGTCCTCTCTCTAAAGAAAGAGAGAGTACCCTGGGGACGAAGTTTCATATGATTGTCTAAACACCTGTCGCACAGACCAGTGATGGGGAAAACTCTCGTAAGTTACGTAAAATTCTAGAATCGTAAACAAAGAAAAGAGAACGGAGTATGAAAAGCACGTACCTCATCTGTCTGTTGTATCTGGCCGTCTGCTAACGGCTCAAGCTCTGCTGTGGGTGGTGCACCAAGGATTCGTATCAACGAGCTGAAGTTAAACTTTTCTACGCAGTAGAAAATGAACGATTTTAGATCCTTTTTGCTTATTCCACCGATCGGGTTAATGTCTGCACTAGAACAGTCGTACTTGGTCAGGTAGCCGCACAAACTGAAAAGTAAATCAATAGATTTAACCATTTCACCCCAAAGATCTACATATCGATTCTCAGCACCGTCTGGCTCTGCCACATATTTCTTACAATTTCCTTGCTTTGAATTTGATGTGAAATAAAAATAAAAACATCATCTGATTGCTATCTACATTTCTTCTCGTCAACTCTCTGCTTGATAATGCAGTAAAATTAAAGGGGAACGATTAGCTTTTGGTCATTCCTGTGAGACGGTTTGCATAAAGCACACAATCCATAAATTACTTTTCACGGCAGCTTCTCGCTTGCGTATGGTGATACAACTAAGTCTGTCACCAGGAACAGTTTTCAAGTGACTGTGAAGAGTAAAACCATGTAAAAACCTTCTTGAAAAAATCTCTAACTCTCTAGGAATATGTGTACCTTTCATCCACGTTTGCTGATCCCAAGACTAGCAGTCCACCTGGGAGCCCGCGCGCCCACATGATCAGCTGCGCAAATAAGTACGCTAACACCATGCGCAGACGAGCCTGTACGTTCTGTAAAGCCAGATTCTCGCGGTGAGTCCCGCCATATAACTTGAATTTCGGGATTTTACCCGAGACTGCTGTAAAAATCCCGAGAACGGCACTCACAGCAGCATCGATTGTGATCCCTGAGCGAAAATGAAAAAAACAGTAATAATAATAATAATAATAATAATAATAATAATCGGCCAAATTCAGTCAGGCTTTCAAACCTGATTATTTTTTGGCGTCAAAGGCGTTAAATTTTGGCGCCAGAGTGTTAGCATTTTCGTAGAGAATCCATCATATCGAAAGGTGTAAGGCTACCGTAAAACTGGAATTCTTGGCAGTGTGAGAGAAGTGACTACACTGGCGTAAGCTGGCGAGAGAATCACCCGCAGTTCGTGTGAATTAAAAGGAATATGATCAAAGAGAAATTTTTTAATTGAGCGTCGAAAGTAATCCGGAATTGCACTGGTTTTAATAAACTTTGCCTTGCCAGAGCATTCGCACCATCCTCTCAACCAGTCAGATGCAAAACTAAAAACCTCTGCCGCTTGCCCTTTTGCGTTTTCTCACGCTTCAAACAGTTTGCGCTTTGAACTCTCATTGGCTAATAATGTTAACCTTTGTTGTGATTGGTCACTTGGATAACTTTGACACTTAGTTGAAAAATACTCTTGCTGATAAGGAGTATTATTTCTTGATGGAAAACACATAGGAAATGGTTCCCTCACCCATATGATGACTGCCTATCTCCTCAGCCAGATTACTTGCTCTTTTCCTTGTTTCTTCGGAAGAATTTTCAGTTCCCATGTAACAAGTAACAAAGATACGGCCTGCAAACTCCTTGGGATTGGTAGGAATGTAATTGCTGGCAAAGAAATAAAACACAACAGAAGTTAGCCTCGCTCACAAAACTATTCATGAAAAAACATAATGCACAGATGAAAAAACGTACAAAATGACACAATCTATGCATGGCAGTTCTTTTTGTCCATTCTATCATCCTTTGACCTCAAAACTGAATTGGATAAACATTCACACATTAGTCTGTCTTCCATCTGTCAGAGAGAACTGAGCAACATCCAAGAAAACAGCTGCCAGGAATACTTGACAAAGAGCAACATTATACTCTTAATGTGTGGCCCCGATGGAAACAGTTAGTTTTGTTTTCCCGAATGTCCTGATGTTTCCCTCGACAAGGCAAAACAAAACTAACTAGTTTCCCAAGGAACCATGCATTAAGTGCTTTGTTATATATTTAGACTTTTCCTTCAACAATCATATGGCAAAAGCATGCTGATGTATTTGGCACCCAGGCAACAAATATGCAATTGTAGTCTAATCAGGATACATTTGAATTTGATCAGGGGCACATGACCAAAAATCAACCAATCACAGTGCTGATTTTGTAGAGTGAAAGTCTAGATAAATAACAATTTTTGTTATTTCATACACCTTCCTAACTGCTGAATCCAAAATTCAGAAAAGGCTATGAAAGCTGACTCACCCATGTAATGGTAAGGTATGTAAAAATCACAATCTGAAGTGAATAACTTCACTGCAATTTCTAATTTAATAACTCACTTGTCATTCACAATCCTACGAGCATCTTCCAACACCTGTTGATCTCCACTTTTGACAGCTTGACACACCTGATGACACATGGAGCTTACAATGCAGGCTGTTGATGAACTGTCAATGCCTACAATTAATTTGAGATGAAAACCATGAATTTTATTCCAAACACTAATACAAATAGATAAATAAGTATTACAAAAGTCCTTAATGAAATCACAAAATGTAATTGTTCCATTTAGAAGAACTTCCAGCAGAGGAAATGACCCTCTCAGCTCTTCCACTCATTTTTTCTTAAATTATAACAGATCAAATAAAACTGCACTACTCTAGAAACCAAATTGCATAAATAAAGAAAAACTGTTCAAATTTTTTGGAAATTGACAAATTAAAAATGCTGATAAGCATTGCATAACCTTTCAAGTAATCAAAAAATTTTCAACTCAGAATTCAATTTCCCTGAAATATGTGACTGACTTATCGAATTCATACAAGTGACTAACATACTTTTTCACTGTAGAGTAACACTGCTGAATCAAACTTGAAGGTCACAAGAATAAAGGAAATGAACAGCAACTGAAACAGCTTTTGATTTTCAAACAAATTCTCCTTGTCAATATTACAAAAAATGTATAGAGAGCACTGTGAAGAATATGGATATTGATGTTCAGGTGTAAAGGGTTAATTCTTAGTTCTAAGTGATGAACATGTAACTTCTCCCTGTGATTCCAAAATGCTATATTAATTAAACAGATTATAAGAAAATAAAAGCATATCAGCCGGTGGATGTTATTTCTAAATGACACCAGCCGAGCACAACAGCTAAGCACAACAGCATATGGGCAACAGGTACTCAATCAACCTTATTGCCTGAAGAACAATTGCAGTATGCAGTCGAAACACCACTGTCCACATCCAATATGACCACATCATAAGACAAATGATAATACTTTTCTTTTGAAAGTGTTATTTACTATGATGACAGCCCACTGCCTATTTTACCACATCTCCTTTCTTACTCACAAAGAAATCTGTGGTAGTCTGTATGGAAAATTAATAGTTGGATCTCCAGAGCTGCAAGGTAAAATGAATTAATTTCACACCTCCACTCAAAGGTAGAAAAAAGCCAGCTTGGCCACTTCTCCTGAGGTAGTCCCACAGCCAGCATGCCGGCCCCAGGCTTATTTCCTCCTCTGGCGTGTGATAATGGACATCTATGGGTTCAGCAGGAGCAACCGAAATATCATCTTCACGGCTCAGTGCAAAGTCCACCTTGATTCTGGGATAGCTCTGGGTGAGATCCATTGCATTTGAACCAAATGTTGGCTTTGCACCACGATGGGAACGCACTTCTTCCAAATCGACAGTGGAGGTTACAACTTCAACCTCTTGCATGGAAAATTGCGAACCTTGTGCAACTATTTTTCCATTAACTGCCACCATGGAGCAGCCGTCATAGTAGACCCTTTCTCCATCACAACCTCGCATATTGGCATAGACATAAATGCCACCACCCTAAAAGAATGAAAGAAAATTCTTAGGGCTTGTCTGTCTTTTAACCCTTTAACTGCCATAAGTGACCAAGAGAGAATTTCTCCTTACATTATTAATACAATATCAACCAGATAAGTGGTGAGAATAAAGAAAAATATCACCTAGGGGATTATAAGTTGATCCAATACCAAATTCTCCAAACCAACAGGACAAGAACTGTATTAGCAGACAAGGAGGAGAAACACAGTCCAGGACCCAGTTGTTTAAAGGGTTGATAACAGCCATCCATAGAAACAGTCTGTATGGCAAAATATGGACTAAGTAAGAACCAATCCCCACACTTGAATCTCCCACAGGACTACCTTACCATAAAATATATTAAGTACTGCTAAAAATGCCTTGTGCCAAACACTACTTCTTTTTCGGCAGAAAAAAGTATATCAGCAATTCAGAAATAACACAAATGTATACCTTTGTAGTGGCATCCTTCACATATTCAACTCTCTTGTTTAACTTCCTAAGTTGATGATGACTTGCACTGGCATTTGTAAAAATCTCCACTCCATCAAGAGCCATAGCTATGTGAGGACAGTTTACACTGAAAAGTTCCTCACAGATTTCTGTGCCAACACAAGTATCCAATGTTGAGATCACACCATCTCCAAAAGGAACTGTTACTTGACCAGTAATTTCAGATATCATGCGAGGCAGGAAGTACTCTTCAGTTTGCCTTGTCTGATTTGAGGAGAGAAAAAAAACTGATTTAAAAGTCATATCAATCTCTGACTCCCATGGTCTGATAATTAGCTAGTTCTCGCCTCTACCTGCCACACATTTCCTTATAAATTAGTTATGAGAATTTGGTGGTAGATCAAGTGACAACTTCTACCTTATAGGTTTGAGTATTCTCATTGCCTGTTTGCTTGATTAAATAAATGGATATTATAGTGATCAAGACCCTTCCCCCTTTGCTAGCCTCTTATAATGGGAAGGCTTACTGTAAAGACATTGACGAAAACAAAAGTGAGACTAATGCTTTATTTCTCCTTCCTGTTTCCCAGCTTTAAAGAAGAATGTGCCAGGTATTCTTTAAATTGGTTGGGAAACCTTAAATAATTAGAAACAAAGATTTCCGAGATGAATATTTTCTATCATTACTAAAACAATTTCTTTAAGGGAAGGATTTTTGTTCAGAGGGAGAGGAGAGGGACTTAGAGATGAAGGCAGTGAAATGACCAGAAACAAAGACAAGGGAATCCCAAAAGAGGGAGGCTTATAGGAGGGAGGGGGGGGGAAGGGTTGGGGCTCGATCAAGCATTCACTAGTATTCTCTACCTCCAAAGTTAAAAAAAAATGCCAATACTTGTTTAAAATAGACAGTAAAACCCACAGACTGCTGGGATATCCCCAGCACAACTCGAAAAATGATATTATAATTAAGCTGGGGTGACGGATGCCAATTCAATGACAGAGTTCCTCTTCGCCTCTGCAACCCCCCTCCCTCCAGACCCCGGAACACATGAGAGATCGTCTTACCTTCGCCCATCTTGTAAACCATCTTCCTTCTCTGTAATTCGCATCACAAGCCAAAGTCATCTTCGGTCGAATCAAGAGGATCTTTCCATTGAGGAAGATAACTCTACAGTTGTACCGTACATTTCGGTGCATAACGGGCATTCCGACGTCGCATATAATGTCTTTGGTCACGGGAGATTTCAACAACAACGCCAGCACTTGAAAAGAATGCAGTAACGTGTCGCTTTCCAGGAAATGGTCATTGCAACCGTAGCCGGGAATTTCCAACTCAGGACCGAGTCTGTAAGTCGCTCCATGTGCGCGAGCAATGTTGATGCTCTGAAGAATTCTTTTCAAGTTTCCCTCGAAATCTAGGGCCCATTGATTTAAGCTACAAGCTGCAAGAGTCACTTTACGTCCCATGCCAAATCTCAAAAGTTTTTCATGAGGCTGAAAACGAGCTGTTTGTTAGATAACCTAAAGAGTTCGACGATGTATTCAACGTGAGTTTTATTTTCGTGAAAGTCGATTTCCGGGAATGTTCGTATGGACTTCGTGAAATGTTCGTTGTTGCCGAGCTAGATCCAGTTCTTCTTACATAGTAAAAGAATGTGTCGATTGCGTCAGCCCTTGTACTGCGTAATCCGGTAGTCAATTGTGTTAAGTCTATGTTTCGTTACGGGCTTCTAGTTCTTTCACCTTCGTGCCTCAGGCGTAAATTGCCCGCTCTTTTGACCCAAGTTTCGCAAGAAGTTAAAGGAGTTCTTTATGTCGATATCTACGAACCTGATTTTGTTGTCCAACGCGTTCGCAGTTTGTACGAGCTGTTGGTTCATGTTTATGGAACCGGCTCTTCCAAAATCGGGGAGCTGGATGTCCGAGTTTTACTACCTCAAACTTTGACCCCTAATGATGGTTGTACTGAAGAAGTAAGAAATCTCGTCAAGTCGCCCGAGGTTGCTTTCGTTCGCGATGTGTTTGAAAACGATCAATCGAAAGTTGGTCTTTTGAAGTTCAAGAAATGGTTGACGAAACGTTTTCAGTTCTCCGATCTCGACGGAAAGCTCAAGTATTTGAAACTTGGAGATGAGCTTATTAGCGAGGGGGAAGTACAAAAGCAGCTCGGTAATGATCTGAATGATACATGTCTACAGACTTACAAACAAGTGGTCCTCGGTGGAACGTTTGATCACATGCATTCTGGTCACAGGTTGCTTCTGGCTGTTGGTTCTTTGCTTTGCGAACAGAGAATCACCATTGGTCTTAGCGAGGGACCTCTTCTGGAAAAGAAGGTCTTAAAAGAACTCATCGAACCTTTCCAGGATAGAAAGAGTAACTTACAAGAGTTTCTTAAGGACGTAAAGCCAGGTAATGTTTCTATTGTGCGTTGAGTTGATTTTCATTAACAGCCATGTAAATAATTAACTACAATTGTCACTATAAGTACCAGGTCAGTTATTGTCAACTTTTTCTCCTCTATTTTTAAAAGATTAACTAGTGATATAGCCCACTACAATGGCTTTTCCTATTGCTAAATAAAATTATATATTTTTTAGTTCTTTATGTATTTTAAAGATGAGGTCTACCTACTAAACTTAAGGTTTTATTGACCAACATCTCACAGCACACTAATCTTGACAACATATGGCAGTTTGTGGCCTTTCCTTATATCTAGGCAGTTCAGAAAGCTGCAAAACACTAGGACAAAAATTTATCTTCCAGATTGGCACTCTTAATCCCCATGGTATCAACAAGCACTTTTCATTCAACTAATTTTTCCTGTTTTCTCATCACCATATTCCAACCAATAGCATAGCTCCACTTTCTGCATATAAACCCACACACAACTCACAATTCCTCCGATTGCTCTGATGAAGGGCTATCACTCAAAATTTCAGCTTTTTTACTCTTTATGACAGCAAATTTATGTTGTCAACTCAGTTGTTAACACTAAATTACCTGCTATACTCTCCCACCGACACAGCACCACAGTTTCTTTAGAAACCTACCCCCTTTATTCATAGTGGTACACTGAGTTAGCAATATCAGGGTGTAAAATTTTTTTTTTTTTTTTTGTGATAGCCTCTTGGCTCCTAAATTCTTCAAAGTGGTAGCCAATTCAAAAAAAGTTGGTCGCCATTTTCAAAGACAAACAAAACTATTTTTTACGCTGTTAGGGCTCTAGATAGGTCCTTCAAAATTAAGTTAGGAAAAAGATCTTTAACCTACTACAGAGTGGACACTAGGATGGAAGATATACAACCTTCAAGCTCACCTACATCCTAAATCCAAGGTGGCGTCTAGTCATTGATTGAGACTTAATGAGGAAGTTTGCCGTGGATTTATCTTTTGCAAATCTTTTTAATTCAACATATCTCTAAGTAAGGTTGTGATGAAACATTCTAGTCGCCAATTTGGCAACTAATTTTTAGGATTTGGTCGTCAAAGTGAAAAATTTAGTCGCATTGGCGCCTGTATTAGGTGCAATTTCATGCCCTGAATATAAATACGGCTCAAGACAAAACTATTAACACAAAATTATACAGTTCCAAGCAAAGCGTGTATGATATGCTAACCCTTTAACTCCTAGAAATGATTAACAAGTAACTTCTCCCTACAATATCCATGCACTATTAGGAAAACAAGTAATGAGAATACTCAAATGTATCAGGTAGAAGTTGTTATCTTGATCTAACATCAAATTCTTATAACTTATTTACAAGGAAATGTGTAGCAGCTAGAGGGGAGATTTAACAATCAGATCTTGGAAGTTGAATGGTTATACCCAGCAGTCTCCTTTCCCAAAAGATTACCATTCAATTGGTGTAATGACTGTATTACCTGTGTCTGTATCAAAATAACTTTTTCTTTGGTAATTGTGGTTCTGCACTGAAAATCAGAAATTCCAAAAATCTTAAACACATGTATACTTCCCAGGTTTGGAACACAACATCATACCACTGACTGACCCTGTTGGTCCAGCAGGAACTGACCCAGAATACCAGTGTCTCATCGTTAGTAAGGAAACAGAGAAAGGAGGATTTGTGGTGAATGACATGCGTGAGAAAAAGGGTTTGAACCCACTTGATGTGCATGTGATTGATGTTGTCATTGAAAAAGACATGGAGTCAAACCAGGGAAGACACCACCATGGGGAAGAGAAGATGAGTTCTACCATGGAAAGACAGAAATTATTGGGAAAACTTTTACAACCTGTTGCTAGGAAAGAAAGAGCACATGGGCACCCTTATGTCATTGGTCTAACAGGAGGGATTGCTAGTGGAAAATCATCAGTCTGCCAAAGGCTCAGAGGCTTGGGTGCCGCAGTCATTAGCTGTGACCAGTTGGGACATCAGGCATACACACCAGGGAAGAAGGCTTACAAAGAAATTATTGAGAACTTTGGAAATGGAATTCTGACTGAGGAAAAGAACATCAACAGGAGGGCTCTAGGCTCTGTTGTTTTTGCTGACAAGGCCAAGCTCACATTGCTAAATCGCATTGTCTGGCCAGAAATTTTGTTACAAGCCCAAGCAGAAATTGCAAGGTATGCAGAGGAAGGTTTCAAGGTTTGCATCTTGGATGCTGCAGTTCTTTTGGAGGCTGGCTGGGACAAAGCAACCGATGAAGTGTGGGTGACATTTGTCCCAGAAAATGAGGCTGTGACGCGCATTCTTTCAAGAGATGGCATCTCAGAAGAACAGGCTCTCAACAGAATTAAATCCCAGATTAGCAATGAAGAAAGGGTAAAAAAGGCAAATGTTGCCATTTGCACTTTGTGGGAACCTGAGTTTACTCAAGAGCAAGTTGAGAGAGCCTGGAGAAGTTTGATTGAAAGGATTTAAATCATTTTGACACTGTCTGTTGTCTGATTTGGAGGACTCCCAAAAAATTACTAGCATCTTATTCCTCCTTACAGTAATCTTGCTGAATCTTTTATTAACATCAGGAGAATAAAATAAGTGGTTGTTAATCTAAGAAGCTTAGATTTTTAAATGAAGTCTTGTTATTAGTACTTAAAGGAAATTTATAGAGAAGCGTATAGAGAATATGGATTCTCATGTTAGGAAGTAAAGGGTTAATATTTTTATCTTATCAGATGATTTGGTGCAAAGGAAAGCGGAGTATTTTTACATTTTTGAATTTTTTGCATTTTGATGAGCCCATAGGACAAGTCAAAATACAATCAATGGGTAAAAATACTCTGATATTACACACTAAAATGGCAAATATGTTATTTATTATCCAACTGCTTTTTTTCTGTGAAGTTTACATGTAAGTCTACATTTCTCACACAGCAGGAGAAGAAAAGTGGGTAGTGAAGCATAGCACACAGCCAACTGTTTAAACAGGTTTTTTACAGTGCAGAATAACCAATTGTCCAAATAACCATACAATATTGCAGGATATTTGTACTCTATTGGTGTGTTATTTATACAAGATACTAAGTGCAGTTGGATAATAAATAGTTCTATTTGGAAATGGTGTGGCACTTACAAGCATGTTTGAATATTTTTGATTTATGAAACATATTTTTGTCATGTCAACTCATGACAATTTTATATAATTTTATATAATTTTATATGTAATCTCAGCTATTGAAAGGAAAAAGGGGTTCTTCTAGTTTAAAATTTTTTACAATAGTTTCCTTAACTCTCTTAACCTTGCTGTTTGATTTAGAAGTTACAATGTGATCCTGTGGGAATCAATATCAGTATCTGGGCAACTGCCCACCTACCCCTCCCCTAACCCAACAACAGTCAATTGATAACAACTTAGGGCTAACGTTGGGTTAGGGGAGGGGTAGGTGGGCAGTTGCCCAGATACTGATATTGATCCCAATGTGGTTAGTAATTATATGCTAGTGACCCATTAGAGTTTACAGGGTCACTCCAGACTTTTAGTTCCTAATAATTTGCAAGAGAAATTAACTGGCATTTTTCTAAGTAGCTTTTTTCCTTATTCACACCTCTCACACTTTATCTATTTCTCACATTTAGAGTACAAAATATTCCTTTGACTGGCAGATAGCTGATTCAAATTGAGGCAGGTCAATTTTCTACCGAATTAGATTAAATTTATCTTAAATTACATGGACTGGAAATAATACAGAAATGAACAGATGAAACATAAATTAAAAGACATTGTACGATAACTATAAAATAAAAAGGAAAATGATTTACCAGTTGATTTTGGTGGCAAAGTTCATATTTAAAAAGTTTACAGGGCTATCATGAGCTCTTGGGAGAAAAAAAAGAGACAAAAGTTTTGCACATATAGGGTAAATTTAATTAAACACACAACCATCATGCCTACATTCATTTGAAACCAAAACACAAAATATGGTGAGGAAAAAAACCTAACTAGTTGACAATTTATTTTTGACAATTCCACACAGAAATTTGAAGGGCACTTCACAAAATCAGTAACTCAATTCAATCAGTCCAAACTCATAGCCTCATCCTCGTCCTTATCTTTGTCCTCGGTCTCCTGGTCACCATCATTAGCTGTAGTTGGCCGTGATGTTGCATCAGAGGTACTGGTACTATCAGCAGTACTGGGACGAGATGAATCCTGGACAGCACGCACAAATCCAACCATGTCTAAAATAAAGAAGGAAAGACAAGGTAGTTTGGTAAGTAAAACACATTTCAGACGTGGCCTACCCATCACATTAGACCAGATTTGCTAGGCATGCTAGCCTTTTCACATCTTAAAGCCATGCTGGAAAAGCCTCCAGAAAAGTTTTTTAAGCACTGTCCAATAATTGGAAATAATCTCACCATGTAGTCAAGACTGCCTTACCTCCTCTCCTGGCAGCTCCCATGACTTCATCATTAAACCCAAACTGACCCATCAAAGGACCCAGCTGACCTGACTGCAGAGCGGAACTGAACATTCCCAAAGCCTGAAAATAACATGAGCAGCATAACAATTGATAACACTTCACCTTTCAAACTACATTTGAGACTTGGATTGCTCACACAGGCAATTTTCCATCAACTTCAAAACTATTGCATTAACAAGGGGGGGGGGGCAAGTTTTTTAACACCTGTGGTGCTGCATTAATGCAAGGAAGGGGTATTACTAGATAATTTACTTGGATCACTATCAGTATCTGGGCAAATGCCCACCTACCCCTCCCCTAACTCAATAACAGTCAATTCATAACAAATTAGGGTTAATGTTGAGTTAGGGGAGGGGTAGGTGGGCAGTTGCCCAGATACTGATATTGATCCATTTACTTTTATCAACTGAGTTAAATTGGAGTTTCTAAGGCTTACAATACATTTTGAAGAGGCAAGTAACAGCTCCATTAATGTCATTTATCAAAAGAATGGTTGCTCTTGTGATGTAATTGTAAGAAAAACACTTTGATCCTATTTTCTGGGTGCATTAAGTTTATGTGAACACAGCATACAGTGTACATTCAGGCTACCAGGATGACCTGGGAAAGATCAGTTGTACATGTAGTTGTAGTTTCACACTGTCTCTCTCTACCCAGGAGTGACAAAGTGTGCAAAAGTGAATGGGGGGGGGAGGGGGAGAGTTGAAAGTTCGGTTTGCACAAACCTTGCCACAAATTCTGTCACTGGTAAATTTGCATTCAATTTCTATCAAACTAGGAAATAACTGACGTTCAAATTTCTTTGATTGTACTGTATTTATAAAAATAATGTACAATTTTCCATCAGAACTTTTGGTACTATGAGGTACAAATAGCCAGCTCAAGATGGCAGTTTATCCACTGGCTTTGGCCAGCTTCTGGTTCTCATTGACAGTTCAGTTCACTTCATGCCTATGAAATTGGGATAAGCTGCATAATTAAGGAGGCCAGTGAACTGACAAGAGTGATCAATCTTTTTACCCCTCAGAGTGACTGGCTTCTAAGTTCTTACTGTATTTGCCTTAAATAAAATGTAATAAACATGAGAATAAAGGAAATGATCCCCAATTTAACCCTTTAACTCCCATGAGAGAGTGAGATGGAATTTCTTCTTACAATATCAATACAACATCAACCAGCTAAGTGATGAGAATAAAGAAAAATATCAAATTTGGGATAATTAGTTGATCCAATATTAAATTCTTAAAACTAACATTCTAAGAATTGTATGGTTGACAGTAAGGATAATGACAAATTTGATCTGGAAGTTAAAGGGTTAAGAGGCTCTAGATTGTTAGACATGCTGTTCTTGTCAGCACCTAATGTATAAAAAACAGTGTGGATAATATGAACACTGAGGTTCAGGTGTCAGGGGTTGACCGCACACCATCCCATTGTCATACAGTACCTGCTGAAACTGAGGTGAGCGTAAGGTGTTTGACAACTCAGTTGGACTCTGAGGCAACTCTTCACCAGCGGGAAGAAAAGGAGCAAGCTGCTCACGGAACTCTGGGTCCGACAACAAAGGCATGATGGAGTCAGGAGTAAAAACACTGGACAGATCCACATCTGGAAAGATTTCAGGAGGAACTATTGTTATGGACTAGAGATTAGCCCTTTAAGCCCTGAGAGTGATGCACATCTAATTTCTCCCAACTGTATCATCCCTGAATCACACATTAAGGTCATGAGAATTAAGGAAATAATAACAAACCCAAGAAGCTCTTGATTGTTAAACAAATTCTCCATTTAAGTACCATGAGAAGTGTATACGGAACAGTAAGGAGAACTTGCATACTGATGTAATGGTGTAAAGGGTGAATACCTTCACCATTCTCAGTGCATGGTCCTTCTGAAACTACCCAGCTTGTAAAATTAAAAAAACATTTCCTTTTTGCAGCAGGCTTGAATTGTTCCAGAATCCCTCTCATAGTTTAAGTTTATTTTCAAAAGGAAAACTATCAAAAAATAGCGATGAATTTCAATTTTATATCATAAGAGCTGAGGCCATGTAAATTAAGAAGTAATAATCAGGAACATTCAACTTACTTTCTCGGCTTGCTTGTTCCGCATTTTCTGCAGGCACTGTTCAAAAATAATTAAATAATCAACAGAACCAAACTGAGTGAAATTAATAAAGGGGTAAGTTTCTAAAGAAACTGTGGTGCTGTGTCGGTGGGAGAGTATAGCAGGTAATTTAGTGTTAACAACTGAGTTGAAAACGTAAATAAGCCACCGTAAAGGGTAAAAAAGCTGACGTTTTGAGTGTTAGCCCTTCGTCAGAGCAAAGGGCTAACGCTCTGACGAAGGGCTAACGCTCAAAACGTCAGCTTTTTTACCCTTTACGGTGGCTAATTTACATTTTCAACCCAGTTGTTAACACTAAATTACCTGAGTGAAATTAGGAAGGAAAAATCTCTATTTGTTCTCCCTTGATTGTATTTTAACTCACAAGTTATGTGTACCCTTGTATCACATTATCACAAAAGGATTAAACCAGTCAATAACAGGGGTGATGAATAGCCTCTTGAACCTTTAACCCCAAAGAGTGACTAGCATCTAATTTCTCCTTAAAATGTCACCAATGAATCACACATTAATGTCATGAGAATAAAGGAAATGATCACCAACTAAGGAAACTCTTGATTGTTAGACAAATTCTCCTTGTCAGCACCTTAGTAAATGTACAGAGAATGGTATGAAGAATATGAATACTGATGTTAGGGTGTAAACGGTTAAATATATTGCAGTCTAAAAACAAATTTTGTCTTTCATTTCCAAGTTGTTTATCGCACCAACTCACAGATATCTAAATTCCTCTTCAAAGGCCAACAGGCAAAATTCTGACTCAGTCACAAATAAAAAGTTTGAAAAACTACCATAATAATTATCTATTGAACCCTTTAACTCCTAACAGTGATAAACATTTCAATTCTCCCAAAAGTTTCACTCCTGAATCAGAAATTAAGGTCATGACAATAAACAAAATAGTCACCAACTAAAGAAGCTGTTGATTGTTACGTGCAGAAAATGTGTTCTTGTAAGAAACTGTGGGAAATGTATAGAAAACAGAATGGAGAGCTCGTACAGAGGTTGCTTACATGTTAGAGTGAATGCTCTAAAAGGTTTTCTCACACATTATATTGCTTTCAACTAGTTTCACCTTGAATATTGGACAGAATATTCTGTAAGTCAGTCAGCTGCACAGCATGCCGAGGCTGTGTTGGACGGGATTGGGGAGCTGGAGGCACTGAAGGAGTAGCTGTTGCAGGGCGTGGTGTGGTGGTCCCTGATGATGAAGCTGAGGAAGTGCTCCTGGGTCCTGGTGAGGACTGAACCCTTGTGGGCCTGTGTAAGAAATGTAAAAGTACATCTGTCTTAATTAAAATTAGAAGTCACCAAGAATTTTTCAAATAAAGACAAGGGAGATTCATATTTCTGGGGAGCAAGATGGTGGTATTAACCCTCAGCACCCTAACATTCGAATGCATATTCTCCATACTGGGAGAATTTGTGCAATTTTTTAAAGGTTACACCTTTCACTCCAAGAAGTGATCAAAGCGATTTTCACCTTACGACAACAATTCATCTTCCAACAAAAAGATGATGAGGAGTGACAAATATAATCATGTACTTCCTAAGGATATTGCTTAATTTACCCCTTTAAATCCCAAGATCTGATTGCAACTCTCCCCTCTAACTGCTAGATATTTCCTTATAAATGATTTACGAGAGTTTGATGTTTGATCAAGGTAAGAACTTCTATCTGATAAGTTTGAGTATTCTTATTGCCAGTTGGCTGAATAATGTATGGATATTATGGGGAGAAGTTACATGTTAGTCACTTCTGGAAGGTAAAGTCTGAAGCACTGATAATCAGATCAATGGAGTGAAAGGATTAAAGGTGTGATCTTGTGGAAGGGTTCAGCTATATTTTGTTCCATAAAATAGTAGTCTACTCACGTAGGAGAAGCAGCAGTAGGTGCACTTATAGAGCTGCCAGCACTGGACAACCCACCATGCCCACCCAATCCTCCGTAACCACTCAGTAACTGAAGCAACTGCTGCTGGTCCAGATTTCCCAACAAGCCTTGCAACTGACCATCACCTGTTAAATGACACAATGGTTATCCATCAAAAAAGTATGAAACTTTGGTTCCATGTCAAGAGAGCTGGGTCTATTGTACAATATATTCTGGCCCTTGTTCCTGGCCAAGACATTTACAGGTTTCTTTGAGTATATTCTGGTGCAATTCAATCAAGAAGGGCCAGCATGCCTCTTATTTGTTTTTTGGCCAGATTGGTCACAATGCAGGAGCAGCTCCTAGTTAACACTTCAACTCCCGTGAGTGATCAAGACACAATTTTTCTTTACAATATCAATACAGTAGCAAGCAGACAAGTGAGAAGAATAAAGAAGAAAACTCAGTTACATGTAGGGGACTACAAGTTGATCCAATACCAAATTCTCCAAATTGACATCACAATTGTTTTATAGCAGACAGGAAGGAGAATTACTAATGAGATCTTGGGGGTGAAAGGTTTAACAGACTTTCAATGAATAGTTTTAATTCATGCAAATTTGCAGCAAGTTTTCCAGATGTTCTCATAGATAAGCTGCACCCTGCTTTGTTAAAAAGATTCTGGGAAAAAATGTTGCTGGTTATCTGCCAGTGTTTACTATAGCTTATATTGTTGAGAGTTGTCACTGATTTTCATACAAAGGTCTTTGCAACTTGCAAGTCGTGCATTCTGTAAGTACCAAACACTCTTACCCAACTGTTCACTTAGCCCAGCCAAAGCAGGGGGGAGACCACTGCCACCACCACCTGACCCTGGGGTGGGAGGATTATTCAGCAAATTGTTCACTTTGGTGCTATACTCCTCATCTTTGTCCGTCTTAGGTTCTTGCATCCAGAAAAAGAACTTGCGAGTGGATGATTTGAATTTAAGGATAAACACTCTTCCTGTAGTGCACTGCTTTACACGCTTGTACTCAATGTCATCAGGGAAGATGATGAGATCCTGAAAGTAAAGAAATCATATTTTATTTGAATTGTATGTGCAGTGTCTGTTCTTATGTAGTGTTCATATTCTCTTCAGCCTACAAAATTATTTTACTTTCAATTTAACAGTTTACACCCTGTCATAAGTATACATATTCTCCATACTGTTCTCTATACATTTCCTGAGTGTTGACGAGGAGAGTTTTTTTTAACAATCAAGAGATTCTGTTGTTAATGCATGGTCTGGATTGTGTTAAGTCAGTTAGATCTGAAATATTATTAAAGTGAAACTCACTTAGATGGTTTATAAAAGGGTTGTTTTGGAAAAATAAAATTAATTATGAAATTTTCCAACAGTCGGTGAATTCTTGATAATTTTGGCCAGTGACTGACTTAAAACAAAATGACTGAGTAGGCCTAGAAAATGATGTGAAATTCCATGACTTGCATGAACTCTGATATTTGGGGCGGCATATCCCAGATGTTTTAAGATGCAATCAAAATCTGTCTGTCTAAATTTTTATTTAAGATCCAAATTAAAATGAATTGCCTCTTACAAGTTGGGAGTTTTACAGGGGCACACTCTATTTCCCCTTTCTACGCTTTGAAGAGGCATTAAGGTAAAATTTCTGCACAGTCCCATCCCACACTATACATTCAGTTCTTGGATAGAGAAAACAATGACAAAAACGATACATTGCCATTGGAAAAACAGATTTGTTTTATAGTAGTATGGGGCTGTGCCGAAATTTTACCGGCATTAACAGTGTCCCAAATTAACTGAAAGATGCTGAATATGTCAACACTACAATGTATTTATTTTTAGTAGCCCCTACTAAGCTTGTATGCCATGATATTTATAGAGATTCGTATAACGTTTCGCCTTCCAAGTTTATTTCATTTTATTACTCTGTAACAAATTCCTTGACGACATCAAACCAAGTCAAATAACGATAAAAAAAAGCTGATCGATTGACGATTGTCTTAAAGAAGATCGAGGCAAGATGCAGTTCCAAAAAATTTAACTAGTCTAATAATTAGCGTTCACGATATATAATTTTTTCGAATCTGATATAAATTCCAGTGTTCCAGTGTGTTATCGTGAACCAAAATGTTAGTGACGCTTAACTTAGTGACATCTTGAAGTATTAGGCATAGAATTTCCAAATCAACTAGAGTACGTGATGAGACAAAAGAATTTATTGCAAGAATTTCTGCTTACGTCCTCAACATTTCCCGTGCCTCGATCCTTCCAACAGAAGTGCATAAGTGAATCTTCACTCTGGTAAATGTACACCATTCCCTTTCTTTTATCCGGCGTGACAGTAGTGCCTTTCATAGTCATTTTTCCAGCGCGGAATTCGACGAGATTTTTCGACGAAGATCGGCCCGCATGGCCGAAGAGACCGCTCGCCATCTTGAAGATTTAACTCAGAGTGACTCGACAGATAGATGACTGCCCAGATAGGGAGACTAGAACCTAACATTAGCAGCCACGCTCGTGGCGTCCAAAATGGCGGCCGTGAATGGTGAAAGCGTGCGCGATGAATCTCAAGAAGAATCGTCAACCTGGACGCATGAAAAGGAGCTCAAATTGTTTGAAAAAGTCGATGAATACTTGGAAGATGGTGAAGAAAGGAAAGAAATTTACGTTAAAGATATTAAATGGAGTGATATTGCATTCGATAATTTCACCACAGACGAGGTTCACAAACGCTGGAGAATCTTGACGTTACGGGTCAGAAAAATGAGAAATGCTAAAGAGATTCTCGAGGATGCGAAGCAAAGGGCGGTAGACAAACACGCCAATGCAGGATCTAGGAAAAGAAAAAAAGATGATGCGCTCCCAAAAGCACCCTTATCAGCCTATCTCCTATTCAGCAAGGAAAGACGACCGCAGATGGCCGAGAAATATTCAGATCTGAACAATAAGCAATTGCTGGCCAAAATTGGTAAGAAGTGGAGGAAGCTCAGCGCAGAAAAGAAAAAAAAGTATCACGACGATTACTTGGAGAATAAAAAGAAATACGAGAGCGAATTGATGCAGTATTTCATTGAAAACTTTCCAGAAGAAAAGGCTCCCAAGACCGCATTTGAATTTTGGTCTTCTAAGATGAAGAAAGAAATCAAAGAAGAGCATCCCGACATATCGGATAAAAAGTTAAAGAAAAAGCTCAGAAAGAGATGGGAGAGGCTAGAAGATGAAGAGAAGGGAGAGTGGGAGAAGAAATCTAAACAAGAGATGGATAAGTATCTAAGAAAAATGAGAAAGCGAGTCAAAGTTTGAAAGGAAATGTGGAAAGATTACAGCCCTGTACCATTCCAAAGCAAAGCTGTAGTTTGAAGGGAAATCTACTGTTTTTTGCCCTTATGTCCTTACCCAAGAACTGCATGCATAATGAAGTATGGGGCAGTGTGGAAATCTTGACAGAAATGCCTTTAGGTTTGCTCTCCTTCTAACAAATTCCTGAAAAGCTGATTACAAAATTCCATTTCAAGAACATGGGTGATCAATATTTTACTGTAAGTTCCTGTAAAGTTAGTCTTGAAAGGAAACTTACCGTGAACTTCACTTAACTAAGAAGATTTATGAATGTTATTGATTATGATAAACCATTGCCTTGGTGATGTTGTTTTGTTTGTTTTAAACGAACAGTTTAGAATGTTGTGTTGTGGCAGTCATACATTTGTAAGGAGGAAAGCAAAACCTTTTTAAGAAACAATAGCTTTAGGGGTGGAGTTTGTTACCATTGCGTAAACATAGCATATGAATTTGTCATTTTTTTTCCTTCAGATTCTCTGACTCTTCAGGGGTACTCTTTTGAGCTTTCTGATCATATTTTTGGACAAAAGAAAAAATTCCTTTTACCATTAACTCCCAGAATTGATTAACATTTAACTTCTCCCTATATATCCTTACATCATCAAGTAAAAAGGGTAATCAGAGTGATCAAACTTATCAGATAGAAGCTCTTATGATGATCTAGTACAAAATTCTCATAACTAATTACAAAGAAATGTGTTCAAGCTGGAGGAAGAATTACCAATCAGATCTTGGTATTTAAAGGGTTAAGTAGATGTTTTAGTATTTATAGTACCAATTTTTAGTGGAACTGTTGCAAGTAATATATATATATATATATCACCAGTTTGATGAAAAATTCCAGGTGAGAATTGTACCCTTAATTCTGGTCTTCTGGTAATGTAAATATTTTTGTGAAACCATCCAGTGCTCTAAGCTGTGACTTACTTGGTCTAGCAAAAAATTTCGGCTAATAAGTTTTCAGGGGGAGGTGCTAGATTGGTGATCTGTGTTTGGTTGTCATACGTGAAGATGAAATGTTTCATTCCCTATTGTTTAGGGATTAGATATAAGTGAGGTGTAAATCTGCATGAAGTATGACAGCTCTGTCTGTCCTGGGGTGAAAGGTATGGAGGGTTTTGTTTAGTTTCTTTTTCTCTCTTACGTTGGCGACTGAAATTTTATTTCTAGTGGCCAAAATTGCTGTGCCTGGAGCACTGGCAACAACCAATGTTTGGTGGGAGATTTGTTAATTCAAAAATGATGTAGTCTTGGGGGAAATGGTTACCTCCTCACCCCATCCCCTCCCCTGAAAAAATTGGTTTCGTTTACTTCTTACAATGCATAAAATATAATTTTATGCCTCAATATGATTTTATTCATTGCTTGTAGCTCAGAAATGCACATACAGGAAGTTTCTATAGGGTTAAATTATTGGTTGTTTTTTTAGGAATCGTAGACTTTATGGCCTTTGCTAGGTTCTCAATCAATGAAGGCAATTAAACAAAAATGCGCTTGCATGAAAAATGATGAGCAAGCAGGTACAGTTGTTGAGGAAATGGCTTCACCATTTCTATGCACCTTTTTTGCTCATCTTCATTGACCAAGAACCTTGTAGACTCGCAATGCTTTGCAACCAATTGAAACTCATTATTGGGTAATGAATAAAGAAGATATTTAGGTACAGTTTTCTTTTTAAGGTTCTAATTGATCTTCATGTTGATGGTTTTATATACAATTTACATAATTACATTCAGAAATGCAATGTATATTTATGCAGTGGTACCAAATATTTAGTTGGATTGATTAATTTAGAAAATTGGAGCATTGAATCTTTTTATCATATTTTTGCTCATACTACTGGTAGGTTGTATCTGGCTTGATCATCACAATGATGTCCTTAGCAACTACATATTTTTTATTTACGATTTCAATGTTCAAACTGTTAGCACAGGTTTTATACTAGTACTGGAACTTGACATTTAAACTAGTTATAAACTTGCAATCATAGTTATTTACTTATTAAGTTGTACAACAATAAAGATGTGTGGTCAAAATACCACTCTAGACTTTTTTTTTTAGTTTAAGAATTTCTTCACTTTATCAACTTCTAGCTTGTTGAATGCTGTTTGGCAAGTCTTTCAACAGAGGATTAGTCTAAGAGACTTGCCCTTCCCTATGTGAGCCTTAGATAATCTCTCTTAAGCTATTTATGGATCACTCTCATCTTTGGAGACTATGGTTGGATCTAAAAGTAGCCAATCCTGTGTCATTAGAAAGGAAGAAAAAGAAAGATTGACGACAGTGACTTAGTGACTGAGCTAAGTTGGGCAGGACAGAAAAATATTCGGCTTTCAGCCTTTACATCAAGATGGATAGCCAAATATTTTCTCCAGCCTTCCCACTCAGTCAATAAGTAAAAACCAAGGGTCACATTTAGTAAAGACATATTTACAAAGCAGGAAAGAAATATATGTTACATTGCTTACAAATGACGATACACTATTTCTTACTGGTTTAAAAAAAAAAAGGAAAGAGAGAAAAAAATTATTGTTTCCCTCATTAAAAGTAAAGTTTGCTGTTTGTAATGAAGTAAGTAAAAGTGAAAGTCTTAATTAACACTCTAACTTCCAAGATCTGCCCCGTACCTCTCCCTTCCGGCTGCTACACATTCCCTTCTGAACAAGTTATAAGAATTTACTGTTTGATCAAGATAGCAACTTCTACCTGATAAGTTGAAGTATTCTCATTGCCTGTTTACTGGATAATGTATGGGTATTATGGGGAGAAGTTACATGTTAATCAACTTCTAGGAGTTAAAGGGTTAGAGAATGAGACAGTAGCAAACTAAAAACTAAAAGGCGCAATCCTAAAGTTAAAAGCATTTCAGAATACGTGAATCCTGCACGATCTCTTGAATAAAAGCGCATGTCTACTAGTGATTTCATGTCGCTAGTAATGCTGTAAATCCTCATGTATTTCCCACCTGGCCAAGATTCTTCATTTCTCGGCAGTTTCACTGATCAGAATGCCGAGGTAGGTTGTAGACCCATTTTATATTTCTGTCAAGGGAAAGAAAAATGCCTCGGATCAGTTACGATTCGGGAATTGAGTTAGACAGCTATTAATTTGTAGTCATGAGATGGGCTTGTATGTTTTTGTTTTGATATTTTCGCTTATATCTTTCAGTTTTTTTGTTTTTGTTTTTTTGTTTACGTTTTTCTTTTTTACATTTTGCATTGAGTCTCTTTCAGGTTAAAATGCACCTATCAATGGTTTGTCCTAGGATTGGGGGTGGGGGCGGGGGGTGGGTCTACTCAGGGAGAATTGACTGAGAGGACCTCCACTTGAGAGGAGATTTTGACATTTACGCAATGCTTCTGAGTCGCGAATTTGACCAGGCCGCAATCTTGAAAGATCGGGTGGAACTGAAATTAGAGTCATCCGCCATCTTGGAAGTCACCTGACGAAATTTGTTTGTTGAAATTTGCATACAATGTCTTTGGTCCCCGGATGTGGAAGTTAGACATATATTGGATACCCAAGGGCGGAAAATTGACTTTGAAAACCTGAAAATGTAAAATTTCCTTAAGCTCGCAACCTTCCCCACCCTTCATGGGAAAAAAAGGTGCAGGACTACGGCCATATTTCAAAATTACGAATCACGATGCAAACTAACCACCACTAATAAAATTTTACTCAACTTTGAAGCTATATATACATAAAAACTACACATTTCTCGTTGGATCCACCTAATATTTCCTTGCATTCAATGAAACCCTGATACTATCATCGTGTGTTCGGTCAAAACAACTGCATTAGTTCAAACAAAAACTTTTTGTAGTCATTAATATAGTCGAAATTAGCACTGAGCGCACGCTCATATTTAAATAGAACCCTCCCACCTACACCATTGACAGTTCTGATTGTCTCTTCATCTCATTTGGGTTTGCCGTTTATTCCTGACTACTGGACCGTTGGTTCAGTGTATTCGTCAAATATCTCTTATGTAATAGTTTGGTGTGTTATTTACGTCGGATATATACATTTATTAAACTTTCCGGTCCCAAAGCAAGCTTCTCTCTTTTGTGGTGTTTAGTTTTGTGGCTTTCGACTAATTTTTATATATATTTGTTGTTGTTTTCGTGATACGTCGAATGAACGTTTTGCGGCGGTGTTCCTGAATCAGTTGGTGTGTCCTGTGGTGGTGAAAGTGAGTTGGATGAGGAGAGAGAATCGATCGAATCATTGAAAAATGAGTCAGCGAAGTTAGGGAACCCGCATTTCGAACACATCCATGTGAGAGATGAATTGCCGAGAACCTCATACATTTGCAAATCAGTAGCATCACACTTTGCGTGGAACCAGACTTCACACATATCACATTGGATCCCATTTTGGTAACTTATAACGGATTTGGTACATACACCACAAGGATGCTTATACTGAGGACCTGGATTGCTTTCAATATTGCCACCAAGCAATAGAAACATTTGAAGAAGTCGCCGGAAAGTATTCCTTGAAGACGAGGCATATAGATAGCGGAACGAACGAGGTCACTGGCGAGAACGACTTATGGCCGCTTCAAGTCTGGCCCGAATGGTTTGTTTGGAGGCCAAAGTTATGTTTAAGCCAAATTCGATGTGCTTTTCCTAAAATCCATGCGAACTTGGTAGTATTGAAAGCAAATGTATCCCAAATAGGAGCAAAATCGCCACCAAAGTCACACCCATTTTAAAGCACTCAGCTGAACATTACAACGCTTAACGTAACAATTCTTACGAGTCAACAGATCATTCGACTCTATGAATGTTCACCAAATCAATGTTTTCAAACAATATCAAATTTATGAATAAAGTTAAAAAAGTGTGTCATATTACTGTATTAAAGTCTCCAGCCTGTCAATTCAAAATCTCTCTTGCAGGTAAGTAAATCCCCCTAAAAAATTCTATATATCAGATAAAAGAGAAATCGAGATTGAACGTACGACTTACTTCGTATCGATAGCTGGCAAAGGACACATCTCTTCTTGCGTAACACTCTCCGTTTGCGTATCAGCTACTCTTCCGTGATCACTCGAGAGGGCTATTTCCTTCATTTCTTCTCTCAATTTGGAAGCTTCATCGCACAGTTGTTGAATTCTAGTCTGGAGACGAGCATTATCCGCTCTCATTTCGGTTGCCATTTTGCTTCGCCTGCGATACGACATTAAACTTCCTGCGTTTCCCATATAGGCGCTGAAATTCGTTTAAACGGCGTACGCTCGCTAGAAACTCTGTATTTAATTAAATTCATTTCGTTTTCCAGGTGATTTATTTAGTTGTTGTTTTTGCTATGTGAGATTAACTGTTTGTGTAAGAAAATAATCGTTGTTAAGAAGAAAGAATGATTTCTTTTCTAACGGTTTTCCTTAAAAAGCTGTCCTTTGAACATTTTCGGAAATTAAGTCCTATTTGTTGGGAAAACCCAAACAATTAGTCAGCTGTCACGCTGATTTTATTTAAAAAGCCGTCGGAATCTCCATTTAGGATATTCTGTATCGCGTAAATTTTTCCGAAAGTATCCTGTATCCCTATATTTTTTTACCCGAATTCAGTCGAACCTGTATTAAGCGGAACCGTATGAAGCGGTCACCCCGTGTTGAGCGGTTGGTTGTCAAAGTCCCGAATTTGTTACCTTTTAACTTGACAGTAATATAATTTTCACTTCTATTTAGTAGTCACGTGTAGTGCACTGAACAGTCGCTTGAAGCGGGTACACACAAATGAAACAAAGAATAATCTTTCAAGTAAAATTTAATCCATGTATCTCTCCCGAAATCAATGTCAGTTGTATTCTTTAAGGAAGGGGGGGGGGCATGTTTCATGTACATTTAGTGGTCAATTATGGCATAAAATGATGGCGTTTTTTATTTATTCCTATTCGCTGGAACCTGTATTGAGCGGTCGCCTTGTATAAAGCTGTCACCAAGTCACTCCCCGTGGGTCACTGCTTAATAGGGCCTCATTTTGCTTTCGTGCCATTCGATTAACCCAAATTTCCTTAGTTGTCACACTCCTACGATCGTCTTTGAACTGAAAGGTATTGATTGGTTGCACTTTCTTATGCATATCCTCCGAAAGAGGAAATAAGTCTTTCTCCAACATAAACTGATATATGCAATTCAAATTTTTAAGGATTTTAACCTGCACGAAGAGTTTTTACGTTGCCACAAAAAATAAAAAATAACAGAGAACATCGTGTCTGAGAAATAATGGACAGAATAAGCTAGCTTGTTGGCTACAATATTGTTAACTCATAAAATTTCGGAGTAACATCTACAAAATCGTTGCATGACACAACAAGCATGACTTTTTGATCATTAGAGACCCATTGGCTAGTGGACGTTATCCTGATTCATATAATACGATAAATCTTAATTCTCTCAGCTAACTTTCAATGAATTACTCAATAGATCTTCAGAAAGAATAAATGTGATTCCTCAGGGTAGTTCTCGAAACAAAGATAAGTAAGGAACATTCAAGAAAAGTTTCCTCTTAAATCGTTCGACAACGTTTACTGCCGAGGAAATAAGAAACGTCTGAAGATGGAAGTTAATGAAAGAAAAAACAAGTTTAAAAGAAAAATAGACAAACAAATGGGGAAAGAGGACGAGGAGTTGTTTTTAAGAACAAGGGTGGAGAGTTCTGAAATCCCGGCAAGAAAAATAGCCTTGGGGTAATGGCTTGAAATAAGAACACGCCAAAAAGGATAGACCGCGAATCACATTTGTGAAACATGGGCGTACTCAGCCAGAAATTACGATAGGGAAGGCAAAAATAGTCTACATATCTATCCAAGAGAACCTTTTATTGAATAATTGGTATTCTCTTGATCTATCACAATTGGACTTTTAAATCATCCTGAGTCCATAATGACAAGTCTTTACACAATTCAAATTCAAATTCAACAAAATCGGGAGGTATGACTCATGGTGTATCTTGTTCAAGATGCTGATTACACAAATTTGATGCCTTGTTAAGATTTTTAAAAATCCGAAGACCATACCCGGCATTAACAGGGAGAACCTCGAGGCCTTTCAGGGCAAACATCTCAAGGAATTGATGTCATATTCCTATTGTGCACGCTCATGACATCAGCAAACAAATCCCTTGAGGAAAAAATTTTCCTTCGGGTTGAAATGTTATAAAGCAATTGGTTCATACGTCAGCTGTGCGTTCATCGAGATATGAAGCACTTGGGAAGGTTGGAGAGCACTCAAGAAGCTAGAGTTGCTCTCGGCTACGCCTTGAGCAACTCTTACGCATCTTTCGTGCTCTCCAAACTTCCCGCGTGCTTCATATCTCGATGAACGCACGCTGACATATGAACCAATCGTTAATTTCTTGATATCTAGTAGATCAATGGGTGTATATTTCACTGGCTTTACATGCGTGAAATAAAATAGGCACTAGCTGAGAATCTTGCGTTTACAAGAAAATTTGACTTACAATGTGATTTAATTTTTTTTCCGTGGAAAAAATTTACCCTTACATTGTTTCCGACTCAATTAGCCCTTTAATGCCCAAGCTCTGATCAATAATTCTCCTCTTCAGCTGCTACACACTTCCATGTAGTTAGCTACAAGATTATGGTGTCAGATCAAGAAAAAAACTTCCACCTGATATTCAAGTCTGAGTATCCTCATTACCCGTTTGCGGATAATGTATGGTTGTAATGGGAGAATTTACACATTAATAACTCCTGGGAGTTGAAGGTTAAAAAACTTAACCAGGCTGGTAAAATACATGTGCATCAATCTCCGTCAAACTTCGCGTCGAATCTATCTTTAAAGTTTAAGGGTAGAAGCGTTCTTGATACAGCAAATTGGAAGAGCTGATACCGTATTTCCTCAAATAAGCGCCCAAGTGCTTATTTAAATGACGGCTGAAGGGAGGGGTGCTTATTGGAAGGAGGGCACTTAATCGAGGGGGGGGGGCGCTCATTATTCGCCTGTAACAAGAGTTTATACTATCTTACCTGTTCTGATTCTGTTGTAGTTGAGGCTAAAAAGGGTCTTAAATAAAGTGGCAAGAGTAAAAGGTTTTCCTTGTATCCCTTCTATTTAAGAAAGCGAAGAGGGAGGGGAGGGGAGGGGAGGGGAGTCTTATTCGAGGGGAGCTCTTGTTTGACATTATGGCCTAGAGGGTGGGCGTTTATTTGGGGCAGGTCGCCAATCAGAGCGTGGGCACTTATTCGAGGAAATTCGGTGACTCAAATTACTTTGCTCTGTTCCATCGACTGTTTCTTCCTTTGGCAAACGAGGAGGCCCATGTGGTCTTCGCATGTACCAGTGGCCTTTAATTCTTCCAGCTCGTTCTTTAAGTCGCTCTTTTCTTTCATGAGCTTGTCCAGTTCTATCTGAAGGACTTTCTCAGTGAAACCCTCAGGTTCACCAATAGCTTCTTTCCCACTTGATTCTTCTCGCTCATCCGCTAGAAAGATGAAAAATAGTGTGGCTCATAAGGATCTCGAATGGTGTCATTTATTATGTACAAATCAAGATTTTACCATCTCGACTCATAACTCAAGGTCTCATCTACAATGTAAGGTAATTTGAGGTTGAATGCAAGATCTCTACTTACATATCTCGTTTCCAAATTCAAGCCGTCGCAAAAACAAACGCAATCTACGAGATAATCGCTAAAACGAGTGCAGCACTTTCCTATCATTAATTTGCAATAATGCGAGGGAATTTATGCATAAGAAATACATTATGCAGCGAAAAATTGTTCATTTACTCTGGATCTCGGACTATCCAAATGGGGTCAGCGTCTTTATGAGTCTCGGATTTACCATCCAGCACCCTTCATAGCATTTCACTGCTCACCGTAGCCGAGAGAACAGGCGTAATTTTTTTTGCGTTTTTTCTGGCAAACGGAGGCAAGAGCGGGGTGACCGCGAAGAGAGAGTAGGAGCAGCAAAAGGGATTATTTATTTGCGCTCACCCCTCGCGCGTGACTCGCGCTTCAAGCTCGCCTCGCATTTGCCTCCGTTCGCGGACTGAACAAAGCCAAAAAATAACGCTTGTTCTACAAGTAATGCTTAATGTCATACAACTACATTATTATATAAATTGCTAACAGTCGTCAAAAAAAAAAAAGAAAAGAAAAAAATTTTATCGTTCTTGACGATGGAAATCCACTTCGTCCTACACGTTGTTTACGATTATCAGCTGTTGTCACGTATACTATAGATTCTAAAACTCTTTAGTACTTCGGCTAATTTTCACAAATTACTTGATCGCGATACTCGAAAATTAATTTCCTTGCAATATTGACGGTACATGCGCTTTTTTTAAACACGTTTTTATACGTCCACTGAGTTTTCGTGTCAGGTGACGGCGCTTTTGACTATAATATGCGGTACATACGGGTAAATTCATATCTGACCTCAATACATGATTCTGATGGAGATTACATGACGGTCGCGGATACGAACTTTTATGTTCGCTTGTTGATAGCAGATGTTTTTCCGTCAAGGCTTGACGATAAATTTCGTATGGATAATATACGTGTAATACCTTATTTATATCATATATATCAGTGAAGTATGTACGAATCAAAGACAACTTCAAAACACCATACAGTGCGGAATAGAGGATCACCTGCTCGTAATTTTTTTTCCTGTCGAAAACAAACAAACAAACGACAAGCTGACAGCAACTTTAATACTATTGGTTAAATAAAATACTTTCTTTCTTGAAAATGCCATGTTTACTTGGTTACCAAAGACAACATAGATGATGGTCCGACCGAACTTTGATCATTGTCGGTGAATGGCCCGACCTAATCATTCCGGCTGCATTGGTCTCTTAAGCCAATTTTTTAAAAGCAAGAACACATTTTCTCTGAGACTTTAAGAGGCTGTTAATTTAAATGGATGTTCAAACCCACTGTTGATGTTCAGAGGGACGTCGATATCACTGAGCGAGGCTTTTAGTTTCACACAGTAACTGTCGTGGTGCGTCAGTGGTAAAGAAGGAATAAAGCATGATTATCCGTTAAAACTTAAAGCTAGACTCTCTAGAATCTCTTCAGTCATTTTTTGGAAGCAAGAGCACGCTTTCTCAGACTTGAAGAAGCTGTCCACGCTTGCTGTTGCTGTTCAAAGGACTGTCGATATCGTTAAGCGAGATTTATAATTTGATATAGCAACTGTTAATTAGATGATTATTCTTCTGAGAGCTAGGCTGCCCTTCATATTTTTGATGCAGGCGGGACTTAAAACAAAATATTCGAAAAATAAATCATCAAAAAGTATTTGACAAGTCTCTTGGCGAGGACGAACCATAGACATTCGCTCTGACGAAGGGCTAACGCTCGAAACGTCAGCTTTGAAACTATTTACGTTATCAACTAGTTAAAATACTAGATTACCCGGTCATAAGCATGTCAGGCCAGCTAAATATTCAGAATAATCAACAAGAGATTAATAAGGATAGATAAAACGCAATAAAGATCGAGTTTAAAAACCTTCAAGCATCAAAATTCGTTTTTATTAGTACAATTACTTCATATCAGGAAACACTGGTTTGGTTTCAACCCTCTTTAGAATTCAACCCTCATTAGAATTCTTCGGAGTGAACATCTCTTAAATGTAATTTTGGATGGAAGTTTCTGGTTGTTATCTCCCCCAATAGACTCTAAATCGGAAAAAGTCACCTCTTCGTAAGAAAATAAATGAACTTTAACTCAGTAAAAAATGAAATCTGCTCTTTATTCGCCTTATGACCGCAAGTTTGAAAAATATAGAAAATAAATTGAAGATTTTCGACTGCTTCTAAGCCTACAGGAATTAGTTAAATAAAAACGACTCACACATAACTCGGGTGAGATCGCAACCGTGTCAGTTGCAACACTCAGTGCTTACTTGGAATTCGTCTCTTCAATCAGTTAACAGCGATACAAAATCTTTTCACATACCATTTGTCGGCGAATGGTGGATAAAGCGTTCACATTTTATTCTGAGATCTTCTTCCTCTTTTTCTCTTTCCTTGAGCATTGTGCTGATTTCTTCGTTCAGTCGCTTTCCTTCCGAGCACAGCCTGTCGACTCTCGCCTGTAAACGAACATTTTCCTGTCTCAGCTGAGTTACAAGGGATTTTCCGCGGGCGTCCGAGCTTTTACCAACACTGACCGCCGATCCCATTCTGATAAATTCTGCTGCGGAGTCTTTTCCACTTTTACATGCGCAGTGAAGCGGTGAAAACAAGAAAAAATAGCTTGTTTTGATTTTTTCTACTCGCAATTAAAGTGAGATGTTTTGCTTAACAGTTCCTGGCTAGTTCCTGGTTACTTTGTCTTTTAAAACAAAGCTCTTCCGACGGTATAACGCAACCGCTGTTTCCAGTAATTTCTGAGTGCAGCACAAGCTGTCATGTTCCCTTCAGTGTACCGCTCGGGAATAAGATATTGCAGGGAATTTTCATATTCCGCTCGACCCAGAGATGTCACATTTTTTTTCTGTTTTTCATTACATTATACTCGAATATATTTTTTTTCAAGGTAACAAAGAAACGCCATCTATGAAGAAAAAAAATTGAAGCAGAGCTAAATCACATCGCACATTGTGGAACTTGAAACAAAACAAATTTGTGAAAAAACATGCAAAAGGGAAAGGAATTTGAAGGTCATGTGAACGCAACACAGTATCATTGACGCACTTGTCAATAACGAATTTCGCAAAACTATCACAGGTCTCAATTACTCAGTTTTTTGATGTTTTTTAGAAAGGCAACAAAGTTGCCAAACTTATTCTTTTTTGGAAAAAAATGGCTTTTTCTAGTTAACACTTTGAAAGAGAAAAATGGAGATATACTTAATTGGTAAGGGAAGAAATATTCTTCATCTCTTGTAACTAACAAATATCTAATTTTGTGAATACGTATTTCACCAAGAAGAGACAGGAATTGTAGGAACATCTGCATGGATGGTCTTTAGGATCATCAGATGCACGAACAAACGAAACGAAATTATTTCAGTCAATACTTGTCTGTACTGCTACATTATTTTTAGGTGTTACTATTATTATGAAAATCATTTGAAAAAGCTGGGAAGAATTACAGTGTATCAGTGAATTATTGATTTCTTGTAGGTGAAAGTAAATGAGCTGTATTTCCTTAAGCTATCAACGCAGATGAGTTTTCAATAAATTGAATTTATCAAAATTTCGCAAAAATAATCTACTTTCAGATTTTAGCTCATCAGATGAGTGCGTTCATTTTACCGATGTTGTTTTCAAAATGGCGTTGCAAGTTACATGCATTTCGCCAATTTTTGCTCAATTTCCGAACGCTTAAGCTACTCTAAGAACCCTTTACACCCTAATATCAGTATCCATATTCTCCATACTGTTCTCCATACATTTTCTCAGGTGCTGACAAGGAGAATTTGTTTAATAATCAAGAGCATCCTCCGACAAATTACTGGGTTGTTTCAAAATAACGGTTTGAGTTGAATTTTTCGCCTTAGTTAATCACCGTTCAGTTTCATAATCTGCTGTAAGTAAAAATGAACTCAGTTTCATTAATTCTTGTTGACAGGGGAGATAAAATTATATGGTTTACGTGCACACTTCCTCTTAAGAAAAATAAACAAAAAAAAAAGTAAAAAAAGCGTCTTTTCCATCTGTTGTTTCTGAGAAATTTCCTGTCGTATAATTAAAAAAAAGATATTCTGGCAGGATATTTTTATTAGGGAAGAGCAAACAACGAGTAAATATTTACGAGGAAAATCGGCTTGGATATTTTCATTGATTTTTCGAGGAAAGTTTACCGAAAGCTTTGATCAAACATAAACTCAATGTCGGACATTCTGATTAAAAAATATTAGCCTTCACTGATAACATGTGCGAAGCTAGGAAATTCACTTTAAGCGGTGGACATATTCTACTTTGTCTGTACGGTGAAAAAGGTGTAAGGGGAAATGTGTAGTAACCATGGAAGGTCGCAAGATGCGGCTAACATTTACCAATAAAAGTCAGAAATGAGACTTTTTTCACAATTCGTTTATTTTTCGCAGTAAATGAAATTCTCATTACACATTATTTTGCTAACATGACTTCTTCCATGAAAGCGGGATAGGTTGCACAGCAAGGGAACTATGGATAAGTTACAGCAGAACAGATTTCTTTCACAATTTTGGTCTCTTGGCAGATACGTAGTGCCATCTGTCAACTGTTGGCAGGAAAAAAGAACAAAAGAAACCAAGTTAACTTCAATCGCTTGTGTACGTCATAGAGTCCTTTTCGATCGAGTGTCGCAAAACCAAAGTGACAAGCCAGGAACAAAGATTGACATTATCACTAGCCAATAAGGACTCGAGGTGAAAACAAGCGGAAGTGTTTGAAGCGCGGGAAAACGAAGGCGACCAATTAGTGATTCTCTTTTTTTTCAGTTTTACATCTGATTGGTTGAGAGGTTGGCGCGAGTTTTCTGGACCAACCACAAAGAAATAAAGTAAAAACCAAAATAGTCGCAGATTTCTTTGGATCATTGACTGACATCTTGACTAATATAGTGTTATCATACATTAACATACCGTTCTTGTAACACTTACGACCGGGGCTTAAGGAAAATTGACACTCTTTTACATGGGTATTCGAGTCTATAGGACTGCTATTATGTTGTACGGTATGGATTTTGAAGTAAAGCTTGCGCATTGCTGGCGTTTAGTGTCGCTTGTTATTACATTGAGTGTGAAAGCATCAACTTCATTCACGTCTGCCACGAAGGGTTTGAATTTTCTCAAAGGAACTAGGATTTTTCGTTAAACTGAGCCCTTACCAAAAGAATCTAGCACTTGCATAAAATATGGGGGTTTCCTTTCAAAATGTTATCAGGGATAATTCCAGTTTTGATTTTGAACTGAATCAAACCAAATAATGCCGTGTTCTTGGGTTGGACACTTTTACAATCTCACATCGCCTCTTCATCCAGGAACTGTCATGGAAGCCTAACAAAATGCTGTGGAAGGGGGGGGGGTCCTACTACGGACTGGGATTCAATCCAGGGGGAGGGAGTAGAATTATTCCTAGTCGCTTCCTGAAAAAGAAATCTGGATAACCTTCGGCTGGATGAGTTCCTTGGTTAGATCAAAAATATTTTGTTTTACCTACCTTGTTGGGCTGGGTCAATGGGTTTTGGATCAGCAACTTTAGCCGCCTAAATGAAATTCAAAAAACAATTGATATTCTGAATTTGTTTTTGTTTTTGTTTTTTTTTTTTTTTATAAATTACTCCAATTAGAGAGCGTAGTGAAATAAGAACACTGCGATGCTGTTATTCTCTCAAATTACTTCTACTCACGTGATTAAGGATACCAGTTGCTTCCTCGGCAGACATCTTGTATGGCGATCCATCAACTGTGACATTTTTGCTAACGGAGAAGAAAAAATTTATCTTTGAAAACCTCATCTCTAATTATTGCTCATAGAATTAAAAACAAGTAAAAGATTACTACAAGATTACATCCAATTTCTTGGTTAGATTGTTGATCTGCCAAGAGTCTACCCCCCTAAAATGACAAGCGAAATCTTAATCTGCCCCTTCCCCCCCCTGTAAATTTCGTACACCTATTTTTCTTACAAAAGACCTCCATGTTTGCTGAACACTTGTGAGTTATTTGTTAAAAAAAAACAGTCTTTCCCACAAAATGCAGGCTCTGAGTTGTTTAAAAATGGACTAATATTTTCTTACCAAGCGAGGCCTATGTCATTTTCCACCTCTTTGAGAACCAGCTTTCTCCAACATTCGTGTGTTTCACCAATGATCTTCATAGCAAATTCCTAAATAATTCAAGACCATATTAATGACTCACACATCAGTTCTTAATAATGTTACAAAACCATATAGTTTGGGAATCAAACTTTGTTTGATCATCAATTGAACACTTTACAAATAGTCCACTCCAACATCTGTATAACATTTTCTGTAACGGTTAATTAGTATGTCAGTATTTTTTATCTGGAACCCCTTTCTCCTTGATAGATTACTCGTTAACATTTCCTTACCATATCAAAACATTATCCAGAAAAATGGTAACGAGAACTACAAAATGAACAGCTCCAGAGTGTTATCTTGAAGAGAAAAAATTCCCCATACTAATTCATAAAGTAGTGGGTCGCAAAGAGAAGGAAGAACTTTGTATCAGATAAACTGTACCTTGTTCTTTGCTTCCTCGTTGAAAGCAAACTGATTTTCACCGCTACCAGCTGGAATTTTGTAGATCTTGAACCAGTCAACTGTGGCCTATAAAACGACACAACTGATCATTAACATTGCTATTGTTATTTCTAAAGCCAGACTTCTTCATAACACATCATTGTGATCATTATCAAAATCTTAGCCTCCATCATCATTGCAAAATTTAAAATGCCCTCCACACAATACCTTGAGAAGTCCTGGCATGTGTTTTTCAATGTCATCAACATCTGTAAAAAAGGCCATATTGTCAGTGATACTTATAAAACTGTGTACACCAGAAAAATTTTAGGGAATGAATCAATCAGCTGTAAGAAAAAAAAACAGCAAACAGAAACAATAATAGACCTCTTCAGCTTGTATTTCCAGTTTAAACCCATTTCAGGTCATGTCATAATACTCTAGTGAATTGTCATCTATGCATAATTTACAAAAGGTAAAGCTGGAAATTCCCTTAACACCTACAATTGGCAAACAAAACATGCAAGCTAAATAGATCTGTTAGTTTGTTGTTTTGTTGTTTCCATGCATGTCCTGAAATTTATCATGATTCAGTTGGTCAAGACACAATTTATCTGTCCCATTTACATCAAAGTGTTCATGGTTCCTGAGTTGAACAGTAATAATAATTACCAGAAATCTTAAAATATAAACAACAACAAATAGAGTACAACATGTATCTATACAGCTGTGTGTTAACAATAAAAAATGGCCATTGATGTCCCATGTACTTGGAGCAAAAATACGAATTCCTTGATTTTGATTTTGACCATAAGTTTGGTAGATTGGTTCAGAGAAGGTGCTTACAGCATCCTATGTCATGAGGAGTTTGTTATCTATATGCTATCTCAATAAATCTCCTAGGTTTTACACAGAATTGGGAAGGCAGAAGCCCTGAATGTATATCATGAACTAGTCACTCTAAAACTTTCACAAAAAGCTATCTTACCATTCATCTCTTTGGCAAGAGGATCATTTACATCAATGCAGAGAATTTTCCAGTCAGTTTCACCTTCATCAATCAATGCAACAGTCCCCAAAACTTTCACTTGTTTAACATCTCCTTGCTTGGCAATCTGCAGGTTATTAATGATTTAACCCTTTAACTCCCATGAGTGACCAAGACAGAATTTCTCCTTACAATATAGATACAATGTCAACCAGATAAGTGATAAGAATAGAGAAAAAATATCAATTTAGGGATAATTAGTTGATTGAATCCTAAATTCTTGGAACCAACATTATAAAAACTGTATGATTGACAGTAAGGAGAATAACAAACTTGGTCTGGGAGTGAAACATATCAAGCAATGCTCAAAGACTGAAATGTGCTAGAAAATCTGCTCTGTCATGTAATTCTACTATAAAGAAACAAACAAATGAAGGTTTCGATGCAAACAAAAATTACTATTAAAATTGTACTGAACAGAGCTTTCAATTCAAAATAGGCCATTGAAAGTTGATTAAAAGGGGAAAGTTTGCCAAGAAACTGTGGTGCTGCATCGCTGGGAGAGTATAACAGGGTAATTTAGTCTTATCAACTGAGTTGATTATGTAAAGTAGCCACTGTAGGGACTGTTTCTAAGCTGACATTTTGAGTGTAAACCCTTTGTCTATCACTTGGATGATGAAGTTACCCCATTTTACAGTTGTGTACTTAGCTACCAAGCCTTTGATCTGGAGTAAGCCTGAAGGTGACCTTGGTGTAATAGAGACCAGTATCTACTTAGCATGATAACAAAGTAATTTACATTTGAAAAGCAGCAACATTTGTATCAAAACAAGGTCAACCTTTGTCTCACTCCTGTTCAAAGGTTTGGCAATCAAGCACACAACTGTAAAATGGAATATAAAGCAATGAACAGAATAGTTGGCTGAGTATTACACTCACCATGGTACCAATTTCACAGGCATCTATTGGGTCATTATCTCCCATGCACTCTGTGTTTGGATCTTTGTGCTTTGGATCTTCCCAGGTCTAAAATAATAGTATAAAAAATTATACAAAATTAGTATGTGGCAACATATGAGGAATACAATTTCTATATGAGGCAGCTTACAGGCTGTAATGTGATCTGTTATTTCCCCCAGAAGAGTTCAAAATCTTGGCATGAAAATGAAGGACCTCTAAAGATCTTAACAAGAATTTTAAACATCTTCAAGGATTTTTCATCTTTGACAAGATCCTCAAGAGCTTGAAAGGTCCTGAAGAAGATCTAGGATTTTTCTTAGATCTTTGACAAGATCTTCAAGAGCTTCAAAGGTCTTGAGGAAGATCTTCAAGGATTTTTCAGAGCTTTGACAAGATCCTCAAGAGCTTCAAAGGTCCTGAAGAAGACCTTTGAGGATTTTTCATAGATCTGTGACAAGATCTTCAAGAGCTTCAAAGGTCCTGAAGAAGATCTTCAAGGATTTTCATAGATCTTTGACAAGATTATCAAGAGCTTCAAAGGTCCTGAAGAAGATCTTCAAGGATTTTCTTAGATCTGTGACATGGTCTTCAAGAGCTTCAAAGGTCCTGAAGAAGATCTTCAAAGATTTTTCATAGATCTTTGACAAGCTCATCAAGAGCTTCAAAGGTCCTGAAAAAGATCTCTTAGGATCCTTGAACATTTTTCAAAGATTTTCATTAGGGTAGAATCAACTTGACAGTACAAGAGTAGAATTATATCATTTTGTAGCAAATGGTAGGTAGATCATGTCATGCACAAGCATACCAGTAGCCATGAAAAGGTTATTTGCAGACCATGAAAAATATTTTAAACAATAATTAGCAGGTTTTCCTAATTATCAAGGAACTGAAACTATCCAAAAATAGCAAACCTGAGGCAATGCTCCATAATTCCATATGTATCCATGATAGGGGAAGCAGTTATGAACAAATCTGAGTTTTCCCTTCTTACAGTCTTGTTTGATAGGATTCAGAGCTTCCTTGGTAGAAATCTGTTTTGGATTTACATATAAATATATCATCACTTTCAAAACTTAACATATCAAAAATATATGATAATTTGCATATTAATTAGTTGAAGATTTATAAAGTAACCTTACAACTGTAGTTTTGATTCAACAATTAGAAGGTGCTCTTAGTTAGATTTCACACGCCTACCATTTATTGGTACATCATCTCAGTGAACTGAACCCTTTGAATAGTGACAAGCTTCTAATTTCTCTTACAATGTCACCCTTGAGTCCCATATCAAGGCCATGAGAATAAAAGAAATGATCACCAACTAAAGAAGCTCTTGATTGTTAAACAAATTCTCCCTGTCCTCAACTTAAGAAATGTATAAAGTTCAGTATGGAGAATATGCTGACTGATTTGGGGGTGTGAAGGGTTAAACAATGAAGCCATATAATAACTTCACTGCTTCATATTAAATACCAGAATTCCTCCTTATGTTGTTTAAGTGATCATTGTATTGTATCTCAGTAAGAACAATTGAGGTTATAGTAAGGCCAAGCAATGCATTCTTGTATATGAAATTGTTGAGTCTTGAAACAAAAAAACAAACCTCCATTTTGGCATTTGTCCATCTTGGAACTTCAACTACCATGTTATAGATTGCCTTCTAAACAGAGCAAAGAGAAACATAAAATAAACAGATAAGTGTCAATCTTCAGTAAAAATAAAATTTTTGATGACAACATTTGTAGTAACCCATGTTCACAGAGTTCTCATCAAGTGCTTGCTGCTAGTTAAAAAACCAGTTACCTCAATTTCTGAGCGCTATACTTCTTGTGAAAAAATTTGACAGTGCAAGTTGTCACTTGTGACAAGTCACTGCTTCAAAACAATTTTACAAACAGACAACTTTCATGAAAGCCATCTTTGTATCACACTTCTTCTGACTAGTCAAGGACTTTTCTAATCATTAACTAAAGTGTATTTACCTAACCAATTGACGACCACAATGCTTTGCATGTATACCTCCAAAAGAATGCATAAAAAGGCATTTCAGAGCCTTTACATTACAAAATGATATTTTTTGGGGCATGCATGGAGACCCTTGGAGGAAACTCTCCCCTCGTCAGCTGCTTACTTCGTGCTGCTAGCCATCTACTTTAATTGTGACTTATTGAGGACCCTCTGTGCATTAACCCTTTACCTCCTAAGATCTCATTGGTTTTCTCCTCACTATCTGTCATACAATTCTTATTGTGTCAATTTGGAGAATTTGGTATTGGAAAAACGAATAATCCCTTAATTGATATTTTCTTTATTCCCATCACTTGTCTGCTGGATATTGTCTTGATATTGTGAGGAGAAATTCTCTTTTGGTCACTCATGAGAGGCAAAAGGTTAAATTACACTCAACACATCTGTGATAATCACAGAGCATGGCAAATTAAATTGTTCTTTGAGTAAACATGTAGCTGAATTCAGCTCTACTGTGGAAAAATTCAGTATAATTCCTTGCAACTTGGATTATAGAGTCTTATCACTATGGACTGACAATACATGATAGTCTGAACTTTGACAGCCAAAAAAAAGTTGTATTTAATTTTTAATGCACTTACATCTTTATCAGCAAATAGTGGAATGTCATGGAAGGGAGAAATAGCCTGGCCACTTTGGTCCTCTGAGAATTTCAAATAGATTTATCAGTAAGAGTTTTGTAAAGACCCTTGTGTAAAATCACTGTGTCAGGTATCCTACATTCATTGATTACCAATTACTCCCCAGTCTCAGAAGAGTTATAAACTGACATTTCTGATAATTGATTGATAGATTTGTGTCACTGTCTCAAAAACAAATTCTGCCCCAAAAATGTATCCATTTAGCTTTTTAAAAAATAATTAGAAGGCGTAAACGCAGGCATTGCTTACTTCACAAAAAACCTTGGGCGATTTTCCTCTTTGAAACCAATATTCCTCAAAAGTTAATTAGCCACCCCACTCCCATATCACATTCGCTGAAAACCGACACTGTACCACTTCCTTCAGTTGAAAGGTCGTTCTTATTTTGGAGGTGACTAGAAATCTGTATCAACACATATTTTTCCTCTTTACCCTCAGAAATTAATTAACCAAAAACTTATAAGCCAAAAATGTGCCCCATCGACAAGCTTAAAAATTTGCAACTAAACTTCATTAAACACGAATTACACCCTAGTCCTCGGTGTTAAGATATGATCGAGTTAACTTTTACATATATTCGATCTCCACCAAATACCAACTATCATTTTCTTTTAGATCTTCAGTATCGAGTATCGCTAAGTTTATTATCACAAATCGAGTCAATTCGATCGATTTTCTCCGAGTGAGGCTTGAGGCGAATGAAGATCCATATTTTTCAGGTTTTGCGAATACTTACGAAAATACATTCTGTATTCCAAGGAATTTGGAGCTCCACTATCATAAGTTGAATATGCCATAGTCCTTCTGATCAAGTGAGAAAAACACAATTTTCTTCGGCAAGAAATCGATCTGTAGTTTCGCAGACCTTCGCGAGCTAACGAGGTAAGAGGGGAAAAGGTGGAAATGAAGACACGAGCCATATGTAAAGCACGATATGATATAAGAGACATTTCTATTGGTTTATTTCAAAATAAGCCGCCACATGATTGGTGAATGTATTCAGTTCATTCCATCCGACGAGCGTGGAGTTTCCAGGAAACTGAAGAACATCTGCTTATTCGCTTTAAGACTGCAGGGGAAATCAAAATATTATTTTAGCGTCTTTTTTATCTGAGCGGAAATATTCTCCGTTCATTTTTGTTACCTTCCTTTCTGAACTGTTTTTCTTTTGCGTTTATGATTGACGTTTAGCGTGTTGCGTGAGGTTGCGTGACGTTGAAGCGTGACCGAAACCTTGGGTTTAAATCTATGGTACTTTGTACTTAAGTACATTGAAGAATAAAACCAAAGAGATCCCTCTAAGTTTCCATATAACCCTTAGGCTTCCATGGGTGACCAAGACAGAATTTCTCCTTACATCATCAATACAATATCAAGCAGGAAAGTGATGAGAATAGAGATTGTAAATTAGGGGATTATTAGTTGATCCAATATCAAATTCTCAGAACTAATATCATGAGAATTGTATAGCAGACAGTAAGGAGAATTAGTAATGAGATCTTAGGAGTGAAAAGGTTAAAAGTTTGTTTTGGTAAGTATGAGATAAGGAAAATTTGAAAAGTGATACAATTTTTCCAAATCATATGAGATTTCCATGTCAACGCATGCAGGCCTTTGTTGGCTGAAAAAAAAGATAATTACATACAGACAAGTGAGAGCTATCATACTTTCAAAAAAAATTGAGTAATAGAACACAAAAGCAGGGCAAACCAGTTTAATTTCTAAAAAAGACCTGCAGATAGGCAAATTATGCTGCTGTTTGTTAATAAAAACAGTTGAAAGAGTGTGGTAAAAAGTTTGAACAATTCTCAGAAAACTGCCATGAAATTACTTTCCTGGATACTTAAAAAAAAAAAACCTTTATAAATTATTGCAAAATTAACATTCCTCTCATACCACAAACCCCAGCATTCTACATAAGTATTTTGATTAAAACTCTTCACAAACTTCAATTACAAATGGCTCATACTAATAAATCAAAAGTAAATAAAAAAGAGAGTGGAGGGAAAAAATGAGAGAAGAAAAGAAGAAAGTTAAAAGCATCGTGGGGGGAGGGGCAGGACCAAAGTTCCTACTCTTCACACCCTCCTTCGATCTCCATTGAGAGCTTCTCTCTGATAAAATTACTTTAATCAACATACAGTTCCAAACTAACTATAGGCAGGCGCTACAATTTATTCTTTCGGACAAAAATATATTCCTGAAATTGAGTTCCTTCCAGTTCACCATCACTGCCACCTCCGTTGCAACCTTCTAAGACAAATCCATGACCATAAAGCAAATCAAAGGCGTCGGCTTTGGTGAGCTCCGCACCCCCGGCTCTCCAGGGGACCCGATAATTCCTCACGTATCCCCGTGCGGGGAGTAGAGTTAACACAAGTTCCGATGGTTTGATATATCCCTGAAAAACCTCTTTTATGAGATCTTCGCGCCCGCTCAACAGCAGCTGGTTTCGATATCTGTCCACTGAAATGATAATAGTTCCTTGTCCTTCACTGAGTTGCATATTCTTCCGGCGATCTTCCCTGTAAATTTGAAGCGCTTCTATCAACTCGCCAACTTGATAGAAGTCAGCTTCGGCACTCAGTTGATCGAATTCGTCGAATGATTGAGGAAGGCATAGCTCTGAGGTACGTAAAAAGTTTAAAATGTGGCGAAAGAGTGCTCCATCTCTGTCAATAAAATAGTTCCCTCTCGTATCCTTTGCTACCTGTTGTCGTCCGCTGAACATGGCTCCTAACATTGAGTTTGGATCGCGCGTCAAAGTGTCCATAGTCGTTGTATACACATAACCACCAACGTTTAAATTGAGAATTGATGGAAAATTTTCGTCTCCTGCCATAATCCGAATGGAAAGCGCCAAAAAGCTTCCATAGAACGAGAAAATTTGCTTTTCCGAGCGAAATAGCACGAGAGCTGTTTCTTACTCACGTGCTAGGCCTAGTGGCGCGAAATACGTTATCTACTAGAGTGGTGACGGGGTTTGAAAAAAAAACTATTTTCTTGAATATTTGAGACCAAATGAACAAGATTTTCATCTAAATAGTCAGCCATCATTCAATGGTAATCAGGAAAAAAATGCTTCGCTCATACCGGTAACCAGCTGTTCCTGAGCAAATCCAACCACAATTTTCCATAATTACCCCTCCATGCAAAGTAAGACTTTTGATTTATGTTTTTCCGCCATGGAAAGTTATCGTAAATATAGCAGTCGATCGACGGAGTATTCTTATTAACCTATGAATACATGTAAGAGATCTGTCTCGTTCGTCGAGAATTTACAGTTCGAGATTTCCGATAATTTGAACAACGAAGCTTTGGTGCTAGCCGATGTCGACAATGATGGTGACAATGAACTTGTAGTTGGACAAATCAATGGCGAATTGTTGATATTCAAGGGCAGCTCTGTCAAACCTTACAAATCATGCCGTAATTTGGGTATGATAACTTGTGTTGGAGTGGGAGACTTTTGGAATCAACGGGAAAATTATCTTTTCTGTGTAACAGTGGAGGGATGGTGTCATATATTCTTTGTAAGTCACAAAAAACAAACTTGTCGATCGCCAAATATATACCGCAGGTAGTGCTGTAAAGAAATCGAGGACAATATAAACTTTTGGTCTGCTTCCTGATTCATTCATATTCAAACAGGTTTTTTTTTTGGCTCACCTCTCACCGACTCAAAATCTGGAGCAATTTAAAAAGTTTATCGCTTTTATTTTTGCTTCATCGCATACAGCAGCTCACAAGTGTAGACGATGATATAGGAGCCAGTTCGTTCTAAACAAAATTGCTTCGTGCGGAATTTTTGGAAAGTGTTTGTCAGGGGAATAAAATCAAGAAAGATTTCCATGAACTCCCAACGTACTATTTTCATACAAGGTATTAGTTTCAAAGTTAATCAATTGTTTTCTTTTATCAAAAATGAATAATGACGTATGATTATGACGTTGAACGTTACATGGAAATCTTGCCTCCAAGTGTATTACACTTTAAAAATTTGATTTTAATTTAAGTGCCAATGAATTAATTTTTTTAAAAGTTGCACACAAGTCCTTAGCCTACTCCAGCAACTTGTTTTGATGTTAGTGTCAAAGAGTGTTAAATGACTGAGTTTTGATTGTGTCCTTCAGCATTGAACATAACGAACAATGAGCTTTACTGAATCATTCCCTTAGGGTTTTTTTAGTGACAATATTACTTAAATTAATAGCATCATTAACCAAGTAATTTAAATCCAATTCACTATTTCAACTTATCTTAAAAAAAACTGGTGGTTGCGAGCTGAAAAGGCAGGCCCCAAGCTGCCACAACACACAACACAGCGGCGCAACTCAAGTGATTGAGACTTCACCCCTATGTCTGAAAGAACTGCCTTAAGAGCTGACTTTTCAATCTGCATTTAAAACCTTAAGACTGACTTTCAGTGTTATTTCATGTTTTTTATGTTTTTGTGTTTTTTTTGTGTTCAAGAACACAACATACCAAACTGACTCAGGCAAGGACTCTCCATCCCTTTATTTGGGGACACCTCACCAGTAACTGGGTCAAAACATCTTCCACACACTGCACTCAACAACTTTGTTTGAAATATTTTGCAGATTACTCCAGAGACAACACAAGAGACTTTTAAACCAATTTCCTCCCTTCTTCTTCCTTCCAATTGTAAGATCATTTTGTTGGCAGATGTGGATGGAGATGGAATGCTGGAACTTGTGACAGGTCATGCAGATAGAGCTGTGTATATCCACAAGTTGCATGTTGTGAAAGAGCATCATAGGCAGAGTGACATCTGTGATCAGCCAAGCACAGGTGTGATTCAGAACAGAATATTAAGGGTTTTAGTAACTTAAACAAGCCTATATTCATTGTTAGTAGAGGTGGTTACTTAACTCAAAACAAGGAGTATCAGACCTCCCACATACTTTCCAAGAGGCCTGTAGAAATTTTGAAAATAAAAAATGAAATAAAATCCTATCATAGCACTGTTACTACTACTCTTAAAAATAGTGCTAAAGATGATAATGATAACAATGAAAATGATATTCTTAATAATTCACATTCATAGATAGACTCATAACTTTTGTCAGTCAGTGTGATGTTTATTTCATAGAACAGTAAGGAATTCATTTCAAAGCAACTTCTTTAAGTTACACTGATTTTCATCCAAAGAGGTTTCAGTTCTCAAGCAGAAAAATTAAATTTCTGTTGTATGTTCAACAAACTGTGCACCTCACTGGTGCACTTTGCAAGCTGGCTCATCTCTTAGGGCTCATAAAGCATGCCGCAATGCCAGTCAGAGCTTGTTTGCAGATTATAGATATCAGTACAACAGCCTAAGTGCATAATATTCATAAATTTTAGCCTCTTAATCATAAGTCCTTTGAAATTGACATTTTTCCTCAACCCTGATCTATATAAATTGATTATTTTTTTATATGTCACTTATTGTATTCTAGAGAAGCATGCTCTTAGTTCTTTGAGGATAACACATACCTGACCTAGGAAAGCTTGCTCCAGTTTTACTAAAAGTTCAGAAGGCAAGCCATCAGATAAACTGCTAATTAAAATAACATTTTTCCCTCTTTTTTTGGCTCTCATCCAATGGACAACAATAGATCTTCAAGATAAGCCAAACCAGTGCTTGAGAAATCAAAGTCTTACAAAGTAGTCAATACGTTCACACTGCCACAATTTCATACCATGAAGAGACAAGAAGTGTTCCTTGGGGATATAGATCCATTCAGTCTCCTTCCCCCCTCCCTCGACCCAGCATTTGTGTGTTTCTGTGACAATTTAAGACTACTTTGAATATACATGACTGGTTGGAGAGAGGCACTATGATGATAAGTTATTTGAGGCACTGAGATCACAACACAGTGAAATAACATAAGCCTGCCTCAGTAACCCATGCCTAAAGAGTGTATTGACTATATCATCAACAATTTCTGATTTGTTGTAGAAAAAGAAGACAGGAAAAAAAAGGTCAAGCCATCAGTGTCTACCAACAGACATGATTTGGATAAAATTACCGAAAACAGCATAGAGACAGCCCAAAAATTGAATGGAAAAGATTTAAAGCAAGAAGGAACAATTGCCAAGTTGTACCATGTAGGAAACAAAGAGTCAGGAGATGCAGTTCAAAAGCAAACTGTGTCTTTTAAGGTTGAGGAAGTCCATCACTGGACAATTCCAAGACAGATTGGTTCCCTTGTAGTGTTTGACATGGAGACAACCAGGTACCTTTTGGCCTCATATCCTGGGGGTTCTTATATCATTTTGAATTCATGGAATTTGAGCGAACAACAGAAAGATGGTGACCAGGTAAAAAAGTATTGCTAACTTGGAAATTTTAACTTAGAGTTTGCAACAATTCTCTTTGGTCATAATTTGTGATCAGTTTTTGTCTTTAAGATTCTTTTGCTTTCTTTTTTTTTTCTTGAAAGTTTTTTGCAGTAAGTTTGAGTATTTTGAGCTATGTAGTCAAGTAGAGAAAATGCTATTCATTTTTAACAAGATTGTAGCAGAGAACAAATTTTAGTTTTCCCACAAAAAATCTAACTTGAGAACCTGTTGATGATCTAAACCACACACCAGGGCCAGGTTGTTCAAAGCTGGGTGAAGGCAACCCAGGTTAGTGTGAAATCTGATTTCAGATATGAAAGCTTTCGAAGAAAATTCGGTACAATTATTTTTTTTTTGGAATTTGATGATTGGATGCTCTAAGAAGGCTTTTGAGCAAAGCAATAAAAAATTATAATTTAACCTTTGGATAGCACTAAGCCTTCAAATTGCAATTAGCAGTAGCTTTTGAACACCTGGGCTCAGGCTCTTTAATCCTTGAGTAAGTTAATTTGTGCATGCTCATTATGTAGGTGTAGTCCTAGTGACAATGAATCACAAAAAAAAAAAAATTCTTTATCACTCTGTCCTCTTCAGTTTTGTGCCAAACATTCTGATCTAAAATCCCTTCTCTACTAGATGTCAAGCTCAGCTTCCAAGTCCACTTTTAGACAATTTCCCCATATCTGGGGAAGAAGTAAAGACATTCCTTTAAATTTACTCAGTCTAAAATGTTGCGATCCTGATGCACCAGCTTCCTGCTCAGAGAAATATTTAGTGCTATGTACTCAAGATGGTCAGGTGACTCTACTTTATGGAAGTAAGCTTCAGTGGTCACTTTGTATCGAGCAAGGCTTCTACAATCTCTTTGCTCTGTCAAAACTCGACATTACTGGTGATGGTAATGAGGAAATAGCTTTATGCTCTTGGGAGGGAAACACTTATATAATTGATCACCTTAAGAATGTGGTACAGTTCAGCTTTGGTGAAAATGTGATGGGTTTCTGTGCAGGGAGTTATGCTTTTTCACCAGGGAAGAACCTTCCTGCATTGGTTTATGTGACATCTTCCAATCGAGTGATCATCTATTGGAATGCATGGCAGTCGTTAATGGTTCCGACTTATCTGAATCCTTTAACTCCTGAGATCTGATTGTTAATTCTCCCCTCTAGGTGCTACACATTTTTTTGTAATTAGTTCTGTGAATTTGGTGTTAGATTAAGATAACAACTTATGCCTTATGTGAAAAGTTTGAGTATTTCCATTGTCTGTTTGCTGGATAATGTATGGAAAGAAGTGACATGTTAATCCCTCTGGGAGTTAAAGGGTCAAAGTCAAAATGAACCATTAATCATTTATTATAATCATTATCATTGTCATTATCACTGTCACTGTCATTATCATTGTTATTATTGTTATCCTTGTCATTATTGTTATCATTGTCATTATCATTATCACTGTCATTGTTGTCATTGTGGTCATCACCATGATCACTAGTATGTCACTGTCACTGGCATTGTCATTGTTATGTTATCATCATTGTTATTATTATTATTATCATTCTTTATTTTATCATTATTATTATCATAAATATTATTATTATTGATATTATTATTACTATTATCATTATTATTATATATTATACATGCATAATATTGTATAGTATTATATACATCCTAGACCTCATTGATGTTATTAATTATCAATGAAGTAAGATTTCTCTTACGCAGGAAACCTCTTTACACGTATTTCTCATGTATTTTCTAACTTAAATTTTACTGTTTGCAGTCTGAACAGAACCTGATGTTTTTCAAAGAATATTTTATTGTAAGAAGACGGTAAAGACCGACGTAAAAAAAATACATAAGGAGACACAATTATTTATTGGCCTACTATAGGTATTTGCAGAATATTATAATTTTGGTATGCTTTGATAAACTTTGTGTTGGTTCTAAGAGCACATAACATTGTAATTATATGTAGAGGAAGGAAGCTTTCTTATGCAGTTTTTACATCATAGCTTAGTATTTTGTCTATTTTGTGTGATATTTAACCAATAAAAGATATTTATTTGGTTAACTGACTACAACTAACTTGCTGTTTCCATTCCTTTTTTATCACAAAACTATGTCGTCAATTTTCGAGGAACAGATTGACTATTCCCTCACTTTTTCACTCCTTCTATAATTTCTCTTCAGCATTTTCATCATCCTTTATACATGTTGTCACCTTTGGAATAGCGTTGTGTTTTTATTGTAATGCAGGCACTGTTCTTGTTCTTATTTTCTGACCAAAATGCAGCTGCAGTAACATGAATACGAATGCTACTCATTACTCAATCCTAGAAACTCCTTTAAAATTTTAGGGGATACCCATGGTTTTCAGGGGGAGAGGGGAAGGGGAAAGTCATGGCCAACAGAGTATTAAGGGGGTACTGTAGAATAATGACTGTCAATTAACTGCTGATGGGAGGGGGGGAAGGGTCATAGAAATCTTAAAGGAGCCTTATGGGGGCATCAGGTAAATTTTATCATATGACACAACCAATAAGTGACAACGAGTACTGAAATAAAAAATTTTGACACGCTACTGCTGAAGCAGCAGGAACGTCGAAACCTAAGTGAAATAGATCAATGTCATTATCCTAACAACAGCGTACCTACCCGTCCCCCAATCCAACATTAACCCAGTGTTATTATTAGTTGACTGTTGTAGGGTTAGAGGAGGGGGAGGTGCCAGTTGAACAGATACTGACATTAATCCGTCCATGCAGTTCTTGAAATTGTTCTGGCGGCCGTCAAATCAGACTGCGAGTAGTCGTCAGAGTTTTGGTGAAAAAAATTTCCTGTCCTGCAAAGTTAACCCTTACCCCTTTACTGAAACCATATAAGACCAAGTAAAGCTTGGTATGAAATGAATTGGCCAAGGGACTCTTAATTGTTGAATTTTGTCCAATCATGAAAAAGTGTAATGAGCTAGAAAGTCACTCGAGTGTATGACATGCGTGTTTCGCTTTAGTATCTGTGAGGTACCGCATAGACATCCCGCAATCTCCGAGGAAAAGTTTGCATGATTATTATTCATAACAAAGCAGTTTTCGCAACGATTTAAGGCACATGATGTGGGCCTGTGGGCCTGCGGATTAAGCTTTGAGGCCTCGGCGAACACGAGCCGGCGAGAGGGTTTAATCCTTTCCAAACCTCTCGCCTGCTCGCAGGCTATCTTGACGTAAATGTTTTAAAGATCATGTGATCAACTCACATCCGATAGTTATTTTTTTTCGCTTTCGATTTCCGGGCTCAGTGAAACGTAAGCGGAATTTGCTTCAGTCTTCGAAAAGAGTTGCGCTGAAAACTTCCATAAACGTTTGACAGGTGAGTATAAATAATCTATAGTTAATTTGATTATATATAAAGAGTTCTTGTGTACAATATCTTAGCGTTATTTCAAAGGCTTGATTTAGAAATCGGGGAACAGATGCATTATTTGATAGGTAATGTCTGCGCTCGACAAGTGGTTTCGAAATTTCCAACCTCCATTTTTTACCTATTGTGTGTGTACAAGAGGCAGTCCTTCAGACTGAAATCATTAGAAGGGAATTTTGTGAAAAGTATTATGTTAACAACAAGCCTTAAAGTCAACAAAAAATGATGAACTAGCGAAGAAATCAATTCCGCATTGAAACATGAACGGAAATTACTTATCGATCGAGTGTAGTGCGTTGATTGAAACCTTTTAACTAATGAAGGGCTTAGAGAAAATACAGCTTATTTGCCCCAACACGAACACGAATAACATTGAAAAGGCCTCGAAGGGAATTTTCGCGTACAACCGCAGCAGCTTTAACAATTACCTTGGTTGTGAGGTATTAAAGTGTGTTTTTGTTCCTTTCATTCAAGGTCGAGCGCTGCTCAGGTCCTTTGAATTCAAAGAGGTACTTTAGTTTGATCTCTATGTCTTATAGTTATGTTAGGCTAATCAAATAAACTTAGCTCCATCTGAGTGGATTGTGGCTCTGAGTTCTTTCAACTGCAATTTTGATATTATTTTTTCGAGTGAGTTAAGTATAAATTTCTTAATTGAAGCTCTAGGTATCTATTCCATGCAGTCACTAGAGGTTCGTGTTTTCAGTTTCTACATCGTAACTGCGAACCAAAATGCTCCAGTTTTACATAATTAGTGCAGCCAGTTTTAATTAAACTTTTATCTTGAAATAGAAACAAGGTGGTGACATCATCATCATGTGATTATCAGGTGTTGTAGGGGAAAGAAATTTTGGCAACCCATCACTTTCGCTTCGATCTTCCGCGTCTTGTGCATCTTGTCTTCATAAAACGCCATAAACGGTGAGTAGAATTTGTTATTTAATGAATTTTTTCAATTTTTACTTTTTGAATTAGATAATTATAAGCGTGAGTTTCAAACGAGTTTAATTCGTGCCATTCATTCGTGCTTTAGTTGCAAAACGCACACGCCAAAACAAGATTGATCTTCCGCGTCTTGTGCATCGTGTCTTCATAAAACGCCATAAACGGTGAGTAGAATTTGTTATTTAATGAATGTTTTCAATTTTTACTTTTTGTATTAGATATAAGCGTGAGTTTCAAACGAGTTTAATTCGTGCCATTCATTCGTGCTTTAGTTGCAAAATGCACACGCCAAAACAAGATTGATCTTCCGCGTCTTGTGCATCGTGTCTTCATAAAACGCCATAAACGGTGAGTAAAATTTGTTATTTGATGAATGTTTTCAATTTTTACTTTTTGTATTAGATATAAGCGTGAGTTTCAAACGAATTTAATTCGTGCCATTCATTCGTGCTTTAGTTGCAAAACGCACGCACCAAAACAAGACAGAAATTTCAAAGTGCTTCTTGATCTGTTAGGTGTGTAGATTTGAGGGATTCCCTACAGTTAAAATGACAAGAATAAGGTTAGCTTGACAAGAGACAAATAAACAGTACTTTCAAGAAAGAAAATTCTCAAGAATCCAACCACATGTTCTATTTCACTAAGGAATAAATGCTGACAGATGCATTATTACATGCTCCCTTTGTTACTCGTCATATAAAGCAACTTTTAATTTAGTATGGTTTTTGGATAGCATATTTAGACAGCAATTTCAGCCTTCTTCTCACTCACTCTTCAATTTATATAGTGATAAAAATAATTCAATTTTGTTGTAAGCGATGAGTACTGCCTGTGTTAAATGTGTGCCTTTTTACCTCGTGGTATGACGTAGTCATACTATGAGGTTCACGTATGGATGGAAAATTCACTCACTCCCTCACTTGCACACTCATTCAATTTCTGATCTGTGGCACAACTGATTTAAGCCTTAAAACTTGGTTCAAATTCATTTTCCCCTTAGTATATCTTAGTATATTTGGGGGCTAGGATTAATGAGGAAATTTTTGCCAGAGTTCATGGATGGAGCTCTCAACATGATTCAGAATGGGGTTATGGGCAAAATTGCCTTCTTTCACCCTATTCTTGATAAAAACACACTTTTGTAGACCACACAAATGAAGAAAAAATGTGCAAAACTACTCAACTGGAAAGAAAAGAATATCAAAGTCTTGAAAACCGGCGGTGTCAGCAGTCCCAGAGATAGATATGGAAACATTTAGGCGCACCGCGAAGCGATTTTATTTCTTGTCCTCAAGTTAACTTTCGCGTATCTATTTGGCTGCTATATGGCTAGATTTGACACAAAGTTGGCAGCTGATTGTTTTGAGGTTTTAAAATTTTATTTGATTAGACCTTTGTAAGCGATTTCAATTATTCTTAATTTTGATTTCGCATATCTGACAGGCTGCCATTAGGCTCAATACATTGTACACCTATTTTACAGCTGATTAACCATGTTTTGAGGTTTTCAGATTTCATTTGATTTGATCTCTCTTTTTGTAAGGCAATTACCTTGTGAGCGTTTTTGCTCCTGGGCGTGAAACGTCTTGGTCAGAATTTTAACACGCAGTTAAATTTTACTTCATGTTTGGGCACAAATCGAATTTGTGGGGTCTAAAAAGATGTATTTTGATCAAGGATGAAGAACAAGAAGGAAAAACCATCTATAGCGTACGGCCCGACTCGACTGAAGCGATTGAGAATTATGTTGATAATTCCATTTACTAAGGCAATGATCTATAAACAGTAGACGATAGGTACAGAAACAAACCTTGTAGTGGAGGCGGCAGACAACGCGTTTAATCCAGGTTTTAATGCATAAAATAATTGTCAAACAGATTATAATTGAGTGGATGACTGAATTTAAGTCCATACTTAAACCGATATATTGTCAGAATTGAAGACATGAAAACTATAAAGTTCCTGGAGAATACTTCTCCTTTAGACATGGTTTGGTAATTCCGCCCACGTTCCTTTAAATCGTGACGATGGGGGTTTGCTTCCTGACGCCTATTTACACCTCGTCAGAAAAAAGACCGCTAATTAGTGATCATATAAAAGGACCTCTTGTTGCAGCGTTTAGATCACCCCTGATGAAGGCACCAGACAGGAGTGTCGAAACGTTGGGTCTATGAATTGTAACTTCTTCGGTTACATTCATTAAATCTGCAAACCAGAGTAGTATCAAACCATGTCTGATTGTCCACCTGGTTGCCGTGTAAACTTTAATATACTTCTCCTTTAGGCTGGTCTCCTTTAGAAAGTAGCAGCTCATATACATGAGGCCTCAAAATTTTATTGCGCATGTAATATAGAGAAAGTAAGAAGAAATGGGAGAGAGCCATTATTCGATCAGACAGCTGGAGTTCTACTCAACTGCTGGCCTTGGTTGCATTCTACTCAATTAATATTCGCGCTAGGTCCATTACCACTTAGTCGTGTAGAAAGTGAAACGTGCATTTAGCAGAAGTTCACTTTTGGGTCTTATTTTTGCTTTCAGCGAATTATGGGCTGATATGTATATATTCCTTTGAACCACATAGCATTAGCTAACCTTAAAAGACGAATTCAGTAACTGAAGCTTAAAACACATTTGATTTACTCTCAACAGCAAGCTAAGATCAAGTTGAATATGGACACAGAAGAATACTCTGACGAACAACTTAACTTCTTTAGGCTTTGTCATATCTTCACTGATGAAGTTGCAGGGAGTCTGCGACTATTCTTCAAACAGGAGTGGGATCGACGTCACAAAGGAAAATGGAAGGACGGGCGAAAATATGGACAGAAATTTAAACGTCGTGAATCTGGAGAAAACCAAGAGAAAAATAAAGAAAATCTGAAAATCATGGTTAAGGGAAATACAGCTGAGTGGGATTGCACCAAGTTGTTCTATGCCATCTGTTATTCTGATTGTATCGGCAGGAAACTCAGGACAGCTCATAAAAAAGCACTAGAGAAACTCAGAAAGGCTCGTAATAAATTTTATGCGCACGTCCCACGCGGCATGATCGAAAGCGCGGAGTTTGAATTTATCGTCAAAGAAATTGAAAATGCCCTTTTAAATCTTGGTCTCTCCACGCGCAATATTAGAGTGATAAGAAAACAGACAAGTTTTCCTACTAAGGAATTAAATAAAGTGCTGGCAAAGGTCAAGAGTCTTGAACAGGAAGTGAAGGTGCTCGAAGCTCAACTAAACAAGGACGTTTCTTCCTTCTGCGTCCTGCCACCCAAACCTTTCCACGATGTTGTAGATCGTGATCGCGAGGTGGCTAAAATTGCAAAACAGTTGGAAGAGCTCAAAGAGGCCAACGAGAACAGATTAAGTTACTTGTACATTTCTGGAAACCCTGGAAGTGGCAAATCTCAGTTAGCCGGTCTCGTGGCGAAGAGACTTTTCAATGAAGACACTCAAATTCCATTTACAGCTTCCTTTGTGATGACGATAGATGCGAAAACCCCAAGCACTATTCTTAAATCGTATGTCGAATTGGCCCGAAAGATTAAGTGCCCAGAGTATTCCATTACTAACACACTTAACTCTTCGGGTTTGAACTCAGACGAAAAGATTGCTAATTTGAAGTCCCTAATCGGCTCAAAAATCGAGCTTTACACCACCTGGCTTCTGGTTGTTGACAACGTCGAAAGTATCTCTAAGATTAATGCCTACCTGCCAGCGTCTGGAAATGAAAAGTGGGCGAGAGGTCAATTGCTGATCACAACACAAGACACCGCGCATATTCCGTCAGTGAGCTCTTTTGTCAATCACGTCTCAGTCAGCAAAGGTATGGAGGCCAATGATGCAGTACACCTACTAAAAAAGGTTTCTGGCTGCTCAGGTTATGAGAGGGAGGAGGTTGCTCAAAGATTAGACTATCAGCCCCTTGCCTTAGCAAAAGCTGCCGCTTACGTCAGGGGAGTTCGTGATATCGAAGGTGGAGCAAATTTTGGCTGGAGTGATTACTTAAAGAAACTCAAGGAAGGAAGAACAGTTGCCTCTGAGAAAATTGTCGTAGACCCAGTTTATCCACAATCAATGGGTGAGGTAACGAGAATAGCTGTTAAAGAGGCAATTAAATCCACCAATGTTATAATCAAGAACGTTTTTACTCTGCTTTTCTTTTGTGCACCGCAACCGTTAAGTTTGGAGATAGTAACCAATTATATTCGGAACGTAGCGGAGGAAATGGGCGATAAAAATGCTATCAGACTGCAGATTCAAAGATGCTCTCTGCTCCTTTTTCACCAAGAGAAGAATGCTCTCTTTATAAAAACCCATCAGGTTGTACACGATGCCATCCGCGCTGTGCTTAAAGATTATCTCAAGTATGATAAGTTAGGAGCCATGAAAGCAGCATTCATGTCATTTTACCAGTTCGTTGAGGATACTCAACGAGATCATCTTTCCTTCTTAGATACTTTCGCGAAGCACTCTCAATGCATTCCTCATATAGAATCATTGACGACACAAATTAAAGATATTTTTTCTGTGGAAGAAACGCGAAATCGTGTAAAGATTATGTTTGAATCTGACGCACGTTGCCTGGAAACACTCGGGACGATTTGTGAAGAACATTTTGCAGACCAAGCGGCAGAAGATTGCTTTGATATTTTCCTTAAAATCCGGCCTGAAAACCTCAGCCCTGATGATCTTGACGTCGGAATGGCCTACAGTTCCTTGGGTGGTGCGCAGATAAACCTGCAAAAATACGAAAAGGCAAAAGAGAGTCTTGATAGTGCACTTAAAATTTTTAAGAAGCTCAGACCTGGGGATGTCATAGTTGGAGTGACGTACAGTAGTCTAGGAGATGCGCATCAAATCCTATGCGATTCCATTCCGGCAAAGCAGTGTTATCGTCGCGCAATTTCCATTTTCGAGAAAGAGCTAACACCTGACGATTATATCGTCGGCGAAACTTATAGTAACCTGGGAAATGTATTGAAAGACCTCGGTGAGGCAAAAGAGGCAAAAGAGAATTATGATCGTGCACTTCCCATTCTTTTGAAAAAGCTCAGACCTGGAGATGCCGAAGTTGGAATGACGTACAAGAACCTAGGAGATGTGAATTATGATCTCGCACTTCCCATTCTCCAGAAAGAGCTGGGACCTGAGAGTTATGTCGTGGGAAAAACACTCATGGAGCTGGGAAAAGTGCCAAGTGAGCTAAACCAGGCAAAAGAGAGTTATGAACTCGCACTTCCCATTATTCTGAGAGAGTTTGGACCAGAAGATTGTTGGATAAAAATGATCAAGGACCGCTTGGTAAAGATAAAGCAATTGCAGGAAAATGTCCTGCGATCTTCGGGTAGTTTTGGAAAACGACCCAACTGTTCAGGACATCTTGGATTAGTCCCTGCAAAACGATCGAAAAAGAAGTAAGAAATCGACTCTATCGACCTTGGGTTTATTTGAAATGGTAAAAATAACTCGAGAGACAAAAATGGACATTCACATCAAGAATGCTATAGCGTACAAAATACAGATATCGATTCCGCATCATATGGTTACGTTTATGCTACCATGCGCTCTGGAGTAATACAGTTTGGAGTCGACCGCCATCTTGTTTGCTGATGGTGTTTATCTTATTACCAGTCACCCGAGAATTAAACATTTCTGGCGACGAACAGATCATCTTCTCAAGCTTAAGCAAAACGGAAAATTCCAATCCAACAGCCACAAGAGCTAGTTGCTACTTCGAGCGGTGAGCAATATTTAACAGCAAACAGCGTTTCCGCCGCTGCAGACACACACGAGCGAAGTGCTGTCATGATTTCTGTCACTATATATCGCCGAAGCCTACGATGCCCTTTCAATTTTGTACTCTCCGGTTTTCTCATCAAGGTAGAGCCTTACCCATCTCGACGGATTCCCGAGATCTCATTTCGCACTGATGAAAATTGTCATCGTAGAAAGACACAGCAGACCAAGCCCTGTGGCAACTGAATCTGGCACAATAATAGCACAAGTATAAGCGGAAGCAGCAACTGAGGACTCTTCTCCTTCTAATGTAGTAGAACCACACCCCTACTGGAAGTTTTGCAGAGCGGTAGAGTCACCTACAGCTATTCCTGTCACTCCCTGCCTACTTTGGTCTCAACTTGCCTCCAAGCCACCTCAGGGACCAGTTAAGTTACACTTAAAAGGACAGTTCACCTAAATGAACAGTTTTAAAAATCTGTGTGGTTTTTAAGGATTTACTGAACATTTAAGATTTTCTGAGCAATTAGTTTTTTATTTGCTCATCAGTTTTAGTCATTCCTAGCGAAATGTTTCCACGGGAAGGAGATATAGTTTCTCAATATAGATATCGAGCCCGCAGTATTTTTCTTCACTTATTCGGCTAGCATGTACTTCAGAGTGATACATTTTAGGAGTGGTTCCGCCATCTTGCGTGCAGTGTTCGTCTTCTTATTGGTCAACCACGAGAACATAAAACAATGTTGCTATGTGACAAAACAATCTTGGAACCACGTGAAGAGGCGGAGCTCACTTTGTTCATAGAAATAACCAGTTACAGTCGAGAAATACGCTTTAAAATAATATTTAATGTGCGAAAAGAATTAATATCATCTAGCGCGAGGGTTCTTTATAGGAGCGTTAGAGGATTCGTCTTTAGGGCATAGTTAACATTTTCTGTTGTCGTTGAGAATTCGTAAATCGTAAGAAATTGGATATTCGTAGTGTAAACTAGATTCTCTTAGAGGGCTGGCATAACGAAAAATAATTTTGGAATCCTACCAACTGTCCTAATGACGAAATACATAGCTGAAAAAAGAACTTTTATAATCTGATTAAGTACCTCGAGGACAGTCCTTAACCAAGTTAAAGTCCGTCTATAGCTAGCGGGGCTCATACACACACGCACAATTGACTAATCACATTACGGGAAACGAGCAGTGATTTTCCAATTTGATTCTTTATGATCCTTTCTATCTAACCACTGATTAGCACGATGTACGAAACTGATACTAGTCTAGGACAAATCTTGTGGAAACAAATCCTGTTTTTCTAAATGACAAAGTAGCTTTAGTTGGGAATTTCTTCGTTTCTTTTCCCGTTATGTAATTGGTTTGTTTGTTTAACTGACATTGGAAGAACAGAGGCCTTGTAATATGTAAATGGTGCCACGAATTTTAAAGAGACCATGCTGTTTTACATTTTATAACTAGTTTTGGACCTTCATCACCGTTCTAAGTCATTAAAGCACCTTAAGAAATTCGGAAAATTATTTCGTCTGTTTTATTTTTCCCCCTAGGTATGTTTTACTGAACATTTTTCTCTCTGTTCTTAAAGTTTATCAAGTGTCGAGCCGTCTGCTCAATGTTACCACACTTTGAGTATTTCCCCAAGAAGTCTACCAGATTAGCAAGTGGTTCAAGCGTCAACGTACGTTCATCGAGTTATGAAGCATACTGGAAAGGTGCCAAGAGTTGTTAGAGGCGTAGTCGAAAGTTACCATGGCTTCTTGAGTGCTTACCAAATTTCCCAAATGCTTCATATATCTATGAACGCTAACAGCTGACGAACGAAGCAACTCTTCTACAAAATGTTCAAAATAGTACTTCAACTGGTGTTTAAAGGGAAACTTGCCTTTATTACACTTCTACGCGCGCAGAAAGCGTGTATCGTGGAATTATGAAAAACACTCGCGCGATTGAACTTGACGGACTTTTTTTTCACAGGGTTAAGTATCACTTTTCTTTACGGACGGAATTTCATTGTTTTTGAAGGGAGAAAAAGATTACTATTTTCAAAATAAGGCATTTTTTTTCGTATCGTTAGCATACATTGTCTTGAAGGTCCGTTTTTTTCTTTTGTTGTTTCTCTGATTCGCTTATGCTCTTGCAAACAGTCTCTCAATGTTTTTCAGCCGCCTGGTAACTCCTTCGCTTGTTCCAGGTACATCGGACACTCTTTCGCTGTCTTAACTCATATTCCTCATTGTTCAGCTCAAAATTCTATTGAAGTGAAATTAAGGGTATTGAAAACGTAAAGAGAGTTAAGATTTTGATCACTTGTGTGAATGAAAGGATTCATCTGCTCTTCTATTCTAAAGAACAGCCTTGGACATTCCAGGAGCGAAGCAAGTGACATTTTTGTCGTGAGTCGTGTACTGAACAACTTTGGAGCCTTCTTTAATGTTCCTCTGGTCTCTGATATTTATGGTTAGCTGAAAAAAAAAAAAAAGCAAAAGAGATAAACCTTTCTGTTCCTGTCATGAGCCATCTGCAATCCCAGAGGGAGAATTAAACAGTGTACGGCCCATAACCAATTAATCCTCTCTGCGGGAAGACAATGGATTGTCTTATTCAGAGACTTAAGAATTTGCCCATCTAGCACCTGCGATCAAGTAAAGATGAAGTAATTCCCATGTTTCCGTGCGTCTGTTCACTAATAGATCACAGATCACGTCAAAACGTGGTAAGTCCAAATAAGTAGCACACAGGACGTAGCTGAGCATTTCACTAATATTTTTACCATATTTTGACATCTCCTGTGATCTATTACTGAACAGAGACACAGCAACATAGAATCTACATCTACAAAAAGATAAATGTTCTAATAAATGACACCATCTTCATCGATCTGTCCTCGAAGAGATTATAGATAAGAAGCAATTAAAATAAGCAAAATTCATCTTATATAATTTTTCACACATGTAGTTTCCATTCCTGTAGTTACTACTCTGAGGACAATTTAAGATGTAACTCTTTGATCCTGATAAGAACATACAACTATTTAAATAGTTCACATGTAAATTTCTCAATCTAGCTAAGAAAGGAAACTTTTTTAACCCTTTAACTCCCAGAAGTGATCAACATGAAACTTCGCCCTATAATATCCCAACATTATCCAGGAAACAGCTAATGAGAATATTCAAACTTATCACTCCCATGTAGAAGTTGTTATCTTGATCTAACACCAAATTCTCATGACTGATTTACAAGGATAGGTTAAGCAGCAAGAGGGGAGAAATAACATTCAGATCTTGGGAGTTAAAGAGTTAATTCACATCTCTGTGGCCCTACATGGTTATCATGTGCTTAGTGTAGTGTCCACTCAAGGGGACCATTAATATGCATCACATAACTTTAAGTGTGTTCCTTAGGTTTTATTACCCCACTACTAACCTGTCCATGTACATCTTTACAATAACCACTGCTAAGCCCTTTGACTTGAAACTCTATATCGGTAAGATAGCATAGCTGTTTCCATAGCAACTTGGACTCTTCATCATCAACATCATTGTCATTATGTACAAGTGTCACCAGGCAACCATCTGACTGAAGGTGAAATATTGTTGAAATCTTTATTATAAAAGTAATTGAGATTAATTTTCTTGACACCCTACCCTCATTATATCAAGACAGAGTTTACTAGTGATCCTACAGAATTTTACTATGTTCTAAGTAGATTGGAGAAGGAGACCAAGGAATTGCAAATATGAGGAGAGGGAGGTCTCATCCCTCACCAAAATAATGCACAAGTCTTAATCAAGTTTCCCAGATACCCTTTGTGTAGTTCATTGGCATGAGCAGACCTAAATCCAAATGGTCTGCTATGTGTCAGAAATCAATTCTTGATGCCAGTTCAGTGTCTGATCTAGAGTGTGCCATTATGGGATTGCCATGGTTTGAACAAATACGTCCCTTCATTTACTTGTTCTGGATAATTTAGGCACACTTCAAATTATGTTTCAAAAGAAAAAGAAACAAGGAAATGCAATTTCTCCTTGTACAAAATCTTCTTAAAACAATATTTTGGTTTACATTTCAGATTAAAAGTAAAGCAGGAACCAAAATCCAGGGAATGTAATATACATAAAAGGCTCAATTTCCTAAGGTTCTCAAGCACTAGTATGAATAAATGCTATGGGGGGGGGGGAGAAAGGTTTGAAAATTGTTAACAGTGACACATTGCCTCCCTTGCTGGAATTCCTAGATCAGACACTGCCAGTTGTTTATTAAGTCCTACAAAATACATAGTGATCCCAACACAATTAATGAGACTGACTCGTGCAAATGATGAGACTGAATATTTTACCAAGCCAGTTTTAACTAAGTTTGCAATAAGTCATAAAAAGTGTGTTAAACTCTGGAGAGAGGAAAGTTTTCTTCCACTGTCTAATTGATTGGCTAAGCATGAGTTAACCCTTTAACTCCCATGAGTGCCCAAAATGGAATTTCTCCTTGCAATATTAATACAATATCAAGCAGACCACTAAAGAGAGTAAAGAAAAATATCAATTAGGGGATTGGTAGTTGATGATCCAATACTAAATTCTCCAAAACTCACATAAGAATTGTATGGCAGTATGGAAGTATAAAGAATATAGTAGCCCATTTTACAGTTACATGCTTAGATGCCAAGCCTTTAAACAAGAGTGAGGCTAAGGGTGACCTTGTTATTATAAAAAAGTTGCTGCTTCTCAAATGTAAATTTTTATTTGTTATCATGCTAACTAGATACTGGCCTCTATCACAACAAGGTCACCTTCAGCCTCATTCCAGATCAAAGGTCTTGAGATGGTATTTTGAGACATTACACACCACAGTTGGAGAGTGACACATCAAAGCAGCACAGTAGTGTATGAAATTGGTGAGTTGCTGTAGAGGAACTCCAATGGAGAGAAGAGCTGTTAGATCATCAATCAGCAGCAAACAGGGCTTTGTTTCAGTACCCAAAGATGACTTGATTCTGTTGTATAATGGTTGAAGAGTAAATTTTGGGGCTCTAGGAAAACAATTAAACAATAGCAGCTTTCAACCTCAACAAAACAACATTTCATAAAGAGGAGCATATATTGATACAGCTGGAACTTCATAGTTAAGTAAACATGTACAGTGGCATGAAGGAAATAAGGTTGTTTCTACCCTTCTTACTAAGAGCATTTTTTCAGGTTTCCTTGGACAGTTCGATCATCTATACTTCTAAAAACAATATGGAAGAATCAGAAAGGAACTGTGAAAGTTCTCCAACTCACATCCCAGCTACAGCACAAACCCAAACCTTGATGTTTGAAATTCAGGAACTTGCCATTCACACCTATGCATTATGGGTTATCTCATGTTTACAAAATAATACTCCTCAGTCTGACTAATAAATTCAGCACATGTAAAACAGTTTTAACAAAAACAAAATAAAGTTAACTATCTTGTAAACTGCTTAAGAGAACAGACAGGCTTATCAGCTAGAGGAAAACATTCGGGTAAAGGGCCAACCTCTTCTGTCTAGTACCTAATTTACATGGAAAAGTATGACAGAAGGTGGGGAGAATTACTAATTGGATCTTGGAAGTTTAAGGGTTGACTCACAGTATACATTTTTGTTTTTTACTTCAGTTTAAGGGACTAGGTGCACCTCAACTTAATCCAGTTATGGAAGCATCCTTGAAATTTTTCAACCAATCATCAGAGCAGTTTTCAGTTGAAAATTTTGAAAAGACTTATATATTTTTGGGAACGTATTACTGTGGAGAAGGAAATCAGACATGCTACATAATTCAGAATTGCAAAAAGAATTACCTGACATTTTTAAAAGGGTTGCTGCTATCTGCATTTTCATTTCCTACTGTGCTACTTTGTGAGTTTTTGAAGGCATCTTGTTGACTTTCATCAGCTAAAGCTTCAGATATACAACTTAAGCCATCTACATATGTCACCTGGCCACTCTCACAGATACTGCTGAGGTTTATACCCTGAATAATGAAGTTTAAAAAGACAATTATAATATGTTGGAAATTGCTTATTCAGATGTTTAAAGCCTTTAACTCCCAGAAGTGATTATCAAGTAACTTCTCTCTATAATATCCATTCATAATTCAGCAAATAGGTTATGAAAATATTCAAACTCATTGGGTAAAGGCTGCTCTCTTAATCTAGCACCAAGTTCTCATCAAATGTAAAAGGAAATGTCTAACAGCTAGAAGGGAGAATTAACCATCAGATCTTGGGAGTTAAAGGGTTAAATCAAATGTTTTCTGGTGAAGGAAGCCAGAAGGGAGAGGGGAGGGGTACCCTCTTTAAGTCCTACAAGTGACCAAGACAGAATTTCTCCTCACAAAATCAATACAATATCAAGCAGACTAGTGATGAGAATAAGCAAAAATATCAATTAGGGGATTATTAGTTGATCCAATGCCAAATTATCTAAACTAACATCATAAGAATTGAATGGCTGATGGTAAGGAGAATTACTACTAAGATCTTAGGAATGAAAGGATTAACACATAGCCACTGAGTTAGACATTGGCTGGCAGTAGCCAATTGCACATGCAAATAAAATGCCCAATACAAAACCAAAAGAAATGCCCAATACAAGACCAATATTATGAAAGTAAAGAATAAAAGTATCAACATAAAATGATTGGTAATTCAAGATCAAAACATTTTTCTGAAATATGCTACTCTGGGTTTGACTGTCACTTCCTCAGGAGACTTTTAGAAAAAATTGAAATGATAGAGGTATCAATCCTGTTGCTTTTACATTAAGATAAAAAATATAGACATGTCTAATTCTCACCAATTTCTGTGCAACATTACTGTAATGAGAAAAAGACTGGACCAAGGCAATGAAAAGTACTTTGAAACCTCCTGAAAAAAACAGAAAGACAAATATACAAAGTTCTAAATTTCAGAAACTATGAACTGCGGTGGAACTCTCTCCTGCAGGGAAGTAACATATTAGAAGTAATATAGGCAGGTCTTACTTCCAGGCAGTTACGAGAGATTGAGAGGGGTTCTCTACAACTGACAAAAGAGATCTTCATTTAGAAGTAATATAGGCAGGTATTCTTTATACACAGTTAGGAAAGCTGTAAGACTCGAGAACAAACATTTATCTTTCAAATTATCACTCTCAATCCCTGAGCATTCATTCATTCAACTGAATTTATTCTTGTTTTCTCATCACCATATTCCCACCAATACCATAGTTCCATCCTCTGCATAAACTCAAACAAAACACAAAATTTCCTCCAATCGCTCTGACAAAGAGCTAACAATTGAAATGTCAGCTTTTAAACTCTTTATGATGGCCAATTTATGTTATCATCTCAGTTGATAATACTCAATTACTCAGGTCCAACTTTGGCGACTTTCTAGAACATGGGAATGCTGGCTGTGATCCTATGATAAATTTACCATATTACTTCTAAGTAATTATAAGAGAGGTGACATAAACCCTTACCCCACCTTCCAATGAAATGTGCTCTTTTTAAGAAGACAGTATGATAAAACAATTAGCTGTTTGTGCTTAAATAGAATGTGTATTGTATAAAGCAAAGTATGGATACATCATTAACAATTGAGATCAGAAATTGTAGACTTCTGAATTGATCACTCCACCCACCTTTGATGTACAAGGATAAAAAGTGATGAATGAGAAAGCTTCCATCATTTTGGCAGTCTGTTATCAGCAAAAACTTTCTCTGAAAACCATAAGTTACAAGAATTATGTAAAACATCTGATTCATAGCACTATTATTTGATTAAATTAAATTTTTCCTAATTTTGAATATCATTTTTTATATAACGCCATTATTGAAATGATATTATGGGGTCCTCATTAGTTTTGCTTTTGGAAGGTGGGGTGGGGGAATATACAGGGTTATTTAATAAATGAACTGTATGAAGCTGCTCTACCACACCACAGGTGCGATGTTGAATGGAGTCACTATATAAACAAAAACAAACTTAAGGGGGGTGCTCATTAGAGATGGGGCGCTTATATTGAAAGGAGGGCACTTACTCAATTTATTACAGTAGAATAACAGCCAGCAACAATTTAGCCTGTAATTGATGTTCTCTTGGCAAGATTTTGTGATCTATTGTACTGGGATACAAAATCATTTTCCTTATAAACTAAAAAATCTTTTGTTATCTGTTAGATTGTATAAGAGGTTCTGAAATAGTACTGAGGTAGGACATACTCCTTCCCATTCCCCTGTTTGCTAATTTTTCTACCTCTGGCTTAGTATTTATTGGCACCCCACCCCCTTTGGTTTGACTTGCCTTATCCTTGCACTCCTCGGTAAAATTTCCGCACAGCCCATAACTACATTATGCATTCGGTTCTTGGATAGAGAAAACAATGACAAAAACAATACATTGCAATTGGGAAAACAGATTTGTTTTACAATAGTATGGGGCTGTGCGGAAATTTTACCCACTCCTCTATTAATTATCTGCTTCAAATCCAAAATGTCGCATAACCATCTACGAACAGTTCTGTGATTACATATGTTAACAGACTTGATATTACCACAGGATTTCTCGATCGAGACCCACAATGTAGTGAAACAACCAACTTTATCCTGAAGATCACCCCTACTTCCGAGGTATCTCTGGATTGTCTTTGAAATTCACTTGAAACATTTTATTTCACATGTCTTTCAGATTTTCAACTTGAAATCACTAAACAAAGGTTTATAAACTTGAAATTTGATGTCTAAAACATATTATATCACTGTAAGTCTACATCCCCAAGAGGTTGTACAGGAGCTAATGAATGCAATTTTTCAAATATGGTTTGATGCTACACTGATTTAAAGATTTGATGAAAGTAACCTAGAAGTTACAATCCATAGACCCAACGTTTCGACTCTCCTGCAGTCTAGTGCCCTCATCAGGATGTAGCGAAATAACCAACTTTGTTTGCGATTTTATTGATAACAAAAAATGAACACATCTACAAGAAACTGGGAGAATTATTCCTACATTATACTCGTTGTTTCACTACTTACCTTTGGTGGAGACTTCTCACTGAAATCTGTCAAAGAATTTAATTCTCCAAACATGATGAGATTGATCAAGTTTGAGTGCCCATGCTATGTCATGTAATACCAAGTAAATTGTCCTTTTTTCAAACGATCAGTTATCAATGCCCCGTGCGCAAAAATTTTTTTTGGGATCACTTTCTGAAGGAGCTTAGACACCAGGCTCAATTAGGGAACCAAGCCTTTTGATGACGTGAACAATTTTTCACTCACCGCCCCCGACTGGTTGAAGTGTAGTTGGAGGGGACAGGGAAGGAAACATTTTGTTACTTGCGCGGGAAAAAAAACAAATGTTATCTATTACCTTTTTTTTTTTTTGTTGTTGTAATTTTCCAGAAAAAAAAACAAATGGGAAGTTATCTATTACCTTTTTTGTGTAATTTTCGCGGGAAATAATATTACCTTATCTCGCTCCGCTCCGTACATATACGAATCTTCTGCCTTTGGTTAAAATACACTTTCTTCGTTAATTCTAAACATTGCTCACGGTCAAATGGATCCAAAGGGAATTTCAAACCTTGGAAATACTTGCTTTCTGAATAGTGTCTTGCAAGCTCTGCTCTGAGTGACATTTTTCCGAAGGGCTCACTGGATTGCAGCACAATCGCAAGAAGTGCACCTCATCTAAAACAGGTCTCGAAAATGTATTCAATATTATTTTAGCACGTCAAAATAACATTGATATTGGAGTGGAAGACATAAAATCCCAGCAGGCAAACAACATCAACCCATCGGTGAACTGTGTAATTGAACCAAGTACTTTTTTAATGAACCACAAAATTCGTCATTAGTGTGGTAATCCGCTTAGTTATTCTCGACATTAAGCTTATTTCGACTTTATGAAACAACTGGTATCAGTCATATTAAAATACGTATTTGACAACGTGATAATTTTGTTAGAACGTCACAGGAAGTTGTACCTTTGTACGGAGCTACGAGTAAAATGTTTAAGGCCTTTTCACTGTTTATGGCGGTAAATTTATATTAGTCCTGGAAGCTTTGCAAGTCGTAGTTCTTTGCTCGATTATTTTTTGACACTGTTGTGTTGCGCGTTCATCTAAAATGTGCGTGTACGAGTACTAGGAGTGCAAAGAGTGAAAACGGTACGCAAACCTAACACTTTCGACCCCTCCCCATCCCCCCCTCCCCAGCCCCACCCTCTGGACAAATGAGTAGTTTCTGGACCATATTGACTTGATAATCTTGGTAACTCCTAAATTGACTATGCCTCACACAAGAGAAAACTATTTTTATACAACTGTGCACCACTGAGGTCTTGCATTAACAAAAGGCTTCTCTGGTATGTTCCACTAAATACTCTAGGTCAGATGTGTTTGCTGTGTAGCACCCTAAACTTTGTGAATGCATATAAGACTGCACCTGGAACAGTTCACCCAGCAACATTGGTATCCTGTCTGCCACAAATTAGCAGCCAAATTCAGAAGGGCCAACAACAGTGTGCAGCAGAATTTTTTCAGGAATATTGTAGAGTACTTGGAAACACTGCAAGCCAGTACCAGACTCAGCAGTTAATACCTGCCAGCTGTAATCTCTCCTTCCTGCAATCCTTTTTCTTTGAGTTAAGGAGTGAAGTAATGTGCTCATCATGTGATAATATTACTTCAAACACTACAATGGAAACAATTCTCCCTCTACATATTACAAAGGTATGGGGCAATTATAGTTACAAGGTCACAGCCTATGCCAATTTCCTGTGGATTAAATTAATTACAATCACAAACCTGTAGACAGCAAAATTAAATCCAGGAATGGTGTCCCTGCCACATGGATATTTTTTGTTTTGGTTTCTTTTTTTTTTTTTTCTGGGGGCAGAGTTCAACCCCCCCTTTGAAAATTCATTTCATGTCAAGCATTTCCTTAAAAAATTTTGGCACTTTTGGACCCCCTCTCCCTGGAATTTTCAATGATCCTACTTTGGGAGGGGTGTGTTGATCTTTCAATTCTTTCTAGAACTACACCTTTACTACACATTCTTTCTTACAAAAGTAAATTTTGTGGTCAAAATGATCTCTATAATAATCACCTCCACCCTTATATTTTTCTTTTGCATGTGGGAGAATAAACATTGACATTGACAACAATGACAACAGTTCTATTTGCACTCAACATTTACATTTTTAGTTTAGCCAATAACTACAAGAAAAGTCAAATACTCATCACAAAGACAAGCTACCATAGTATTTCTGATACCCAATCACACACTTTATAAGTCAGTATTATTCAAACATTTATCCTGTTCCATTAGTGGTGTTTGTCTATTCATTCTTAAGGGTTGTACTATACAGAGCTTCCTGAAGGACTATTCTAACCCAGTGGAGCTGGAATCATCTTATTACTGTAGCAGGTAACAAATTTTAATAGCATTAAACCTAACACCAAAAGGACACACAAATACAACTATTTTTTTGATAACTGCTACAGTGCTTAACACTATAAACTACAATGCACAAAGCAGACTATTTTCTTCCAGTGCAAGAAATTAGGAATGTCAAAGCTACTACAATTGTACAAATTGTTTCAAACTTTACCACCCCTTCCCCAAAGCAGCTACATGTATACAATACAGGGCCTTTTAAAAAGTCCTCAATGTTTAATGCCTCAAGGCTTGCTGGTTTGGCAGTCAGTGGAAAGGTAATGAAAGAAATACATTCAGTTGGATTTATATGATTATAATTAACATTCAAATATTGATTCTAACTCTGCACTGACTCAAGATATAAAAAACAAGACATTGATTGCATTATATATGGTGGCTTGATGCAAATGAGCCAAGAGAGCTTTTTTTGGGGGGTACATGATCATAAAAAAGCCCCATATTCTGTAGTTGTAAGTCATAGAGTGAAATTCAGTACTTTAACTATATTCAGTAGACCTCAATGCAGTTTTCAACACCACCTTTATGTCAAATAGTTTTTGTGACAATTCTGTTATCATAAAAATATCAGTAATACTGCAAATTTAAGCAGCAGTTGTACACGTTATAGGAAAATGATTCTTCTGTAAAAAAGTTTTCTTCTAGCAGACTTAGATTTTCTGAAAAAAATAACATACAATGTATGGAAAAAACTATCACAAACAACAGGGCAGATTCAAGGAAAGGTACAGCCATAGCCACTATGAAGCAAACAGGGGGTCAGCGGTGGTCAGCCATGGCGGTTGGACGTTTTTCTTGGAGTTCCGTCACTTTATATGCTTTTCTGGTTCAGTTTCGCTTTTACTGTTGCTTCTTCGATGTCGAAGCCTTCGGAAAAGCCAATGAAATGCGTAGTGATGCTTCGGAGTGTGCCATGGATTGGCGAAAGGATTTTTTCTACCCGACTCTGGCTACATTTCCTCCACGTGGTACGTATCATCGCTCCCACGGTAGAAGGTTCTTCTCAACTCGGGTTTCTCTGTATCCCAACTCAGTCAGCACCTTTAATTTGATAAGGCTCTCAACTAGTGGTGACATTAATCCTAATCCTGGTCCCCACTTAACAGCCCTAAGTGCCCAATTTGCGAGAGAGCTGTCGCCAAAACTCACCGTGCAATAGAATGCGATATCTGTCTCCGTTGGTGCCACATAAAGTGTGGAAGAGTTAACCCAAGTGAATACAACAAACTTCAACTCCTCGATCATTTCTTCTGGAACTGCCCTTTCTGTGAACTGAGGGCTCTTCCCTTTGCCGATGCCAGTTCTTTTGACTTAAACCTTGACGATGACGTGGTGTCTGAACCTGACGAAGATGTTTTCACTACGTTAAAGACTACGATGGGAAACAACAAGAACTTAAAGATTGGACACATAAATATCAATGGTCTTACTAATAAATTGTCTGAAATTCAATTCCTATTAAAAGAGGTTGAATTCGACATCCTGGGCGTTACTGAGACCCACCTGACCGTAGACCTATCAAATGAATTAATAAGAATATATGGTTATAACACGGTGAGAAGAGATAGATCAAATGGCTTGAAAGGTGGCGGCGTGGTAATATATTATCGCGATAATTTGAACATTTCTGAAAACCTAAAGTGGGACATTCATCAGGACTTGGAGGCTGTATGGATTAACATTACCATAAGATCACAGTCTACTTTACTTGGCTGCCTATACCGACCACCTAAATCAATCACGTTTTATGATGACTTACATGACCTGCTTAATAAAATATGGATCAAGAGGAAGAATGTCATATTATTAGGTGATTTTAACTGTAATCTCTTAGCTAATACGGCAGATACAGATCAAGATGCGCCATATGACTGTAATAGAATGAAAAGAATTCTTAGGCGTTTTGGTTACGTTAACGTCATTGAATCACCAACGCGCATCACAGCTAACTCTAAGTCACTTATCGACCTCATTATTGTTAGTCCTAATTTGCATGCATCAAATGTCTTAGCTGGTTCTATTGACCTGGGCATTTCAGACCATCATCTTATATTTGCTGCCTTTTCTACAAGGAGGAGTAATTCAAAGCCTAAGCTTATTACAGTAAGGAACTATAAGGATATGGATAATGAAAAATTCCAGAGGTCCTTAGAGGAAGCTCCATGGCATATTGTGTCTGCTGTAGAGGATGTTGAGGACAGTGTTTACTTATGGGAAACCATGTTTAAAGACATTATAGAGTCCAACATCAAACGAAGGAATGTGAAGGTCAGACACAAGTCACTTCCCTGGATCAATACCGAAATCAGAAAGGCTATGAATCAAAGGTATAAGTGTTTAAAAGCTGCTCAAGGTAAACCCCATGATAATCCTCAGTGGGACATCTATAGAGCTAAAAGAAACGCTGTTAGAAGTATGCTCAGAAAAGCTGAGGCCTCTTACTGGATTGGGCTATTTAAAGAATCTTCTTCACCTAAAGATTTCTGGAGAATATCTAATCGTATACTTGGTAAGACCAAAAGTGATAAAATTGGTCCCCTACAAGATTCTAATAACACTATTATTTCAGATGATAGGCAGAAAGCGAATTTGATTAATAACTATTTTATTGATATTGCACATGATC